AGTAAGAAGCTTATGGACCTGCAAAAGCCTGGATCAATGGGTGGAACATATGCTGGTAACCCCGTCGCATGTGCTGCGGCAACAGCAACCATAAAAGCGTTCCATGAAGAGAAGATTCTTGACAATGTTGCCGCGCGCTCGAAACAGATATTCTCCTTCTTCCATGACTTGAAGGCGTCTGGAACCAAGGCAGGAAAATTGATCGAGGATATTCGCGGTTCTGGTCTCATGGTCGGTGTACAGTTTGCGAACCCAGCTCTCCAATCCGAGTCTTCAAACACTGCATCAACACACGCACAAAGTCAGCCACAGATAGCACCAAAGGTCGTTCAGGAGTGTGTGAAGCGTAATATGCTTCTTCTCAGCACTTCAATATTCGATGTACTGAGGTTCATCCCGCCCCTTACTATCAGTGAGGGCGAATTGACGGACGCATGTAAGATTTTCAAGGAGTCTTTGGAGGCTGTTGCCAAGGATTTGTAACTAAATTTGCCGGTTCGGATATTGTTTTGGCCTAGATAGCAATGAGTTATGATTGAATGTATTTCATTCTGGACAACTCTTGATGCCCTACTATACAGTGATATTCTCTCACTGTGTCAAAATTCGACAACTTCCATATACCGTTGGAGAAGCAGAGGTGGTCTAAGGAATTTTGCTCTCAAACACCGCTTCAAACAACAATATCTCGCACTTTTCCTACTCTTCTCCAGATTAGAGCGGCTTCAATTCAGATCGCAATTCAACCAACATTCCGCACTTTTATGCAAATCACAACATCAAGGTACCAAAACCGCCTTCTGCAATCAAATTTCACAATATGATTTGAGAGTCTTGCGGCCATCTACCTATTCCAATAAAAATCCCTTCCTGGCCCAATCAACCACACGACCCTCAAAGCCTCGACCCCTCCCGTCCCGCAAGTCTCATCCCCTCCTCCCCATCCACCAACACACACCACCCCTCGCTCCCCCAGCCTCCCTCTCCCGCAATTGCCGCCTTGAAATTGCTTCTCGCATACTTCAAAACCTCATCATCGAAACTTCCCGGCTGCAACCACACCGCGGGGATCCCAGCCTCTTTCGCTTCCTTCAGTAGCTTCTTGGTGACGCTCGGCGGCGTGATGACGGAGAGCGAATAGTCAGATGCAGGGGGATCAGTGAGCGCGGTTGGAGAGGCAACGGTGGTGTGGTCTTGGTCTAGGATTTTCACGGTGGGAGAGCGCGGGTTGAGGGGGACAGCGGGGAGGGAGTGGCGGAGGTACCATGCGAATACTGAAGTGGGGGTGTTAGGTATTATCTAGCTACACATGCACTAGAGCGAAAGAAAGTGTTGGAGGGGGTTAGGGATGTGGAGGGTTTTGTTATGTAGGGGCGTACTTTTATGGCCGTACTTGTGCGGATCAGATGATGCGCCTGCGACGGCGAAGCGAGGCGATGAGAAGAAGAGTTTTAGCGCTGCTTCCATGTCTGCGGCGTGCTGTTGGCCTCGTGTTGTTGGCATTTGGGAAAGGTTTACTTTTTTCAATTGAGGGTGATTGAATGAGGAATGTGTAAGTGAAGGTAAAGGGTAAATGTATGTAAATATGTTTGTATGGCTTATCGGAATACTAGATCGCATCAGCCGAGGCACATGTCACGTAATTATCTAGCGCGATTGGCGTGCTATGCGACTAGTACGGCGTTGTTATTGCTCTAATATACATTTTTTATTATTTCGTTACGACTCGGAGTTTTGCTCGTATTGTATTTCCCCATCTGCTGGGAGAGTCTGGACTAGTCTACCCAAGCCGGACTACTACTAACATACATCGCCTGTAAACCGCCGTGAAAGCTGCAAAGACGTGCGTGGGATCTCAACGTTGAGGAGAGAAGTCTGTGCCGAGTCGTATGTTCGTGTCCTCATGCTATCGTCCTCTTTCTGCACACCGTAATGTTGTTCTTCGACTATTGTCTCCATGGTGTCGGCTGCCCTCGGTGCTACTCTGAGCACGGGATGCTTTCGGTCGGCTACATCGAGGACGGCCAAGAGATCGTTCTTTCGCGTACGTGGATAATCGTCGCATGCGCCCTTCCACTCTCCTGCACCGACGGCCTCGTGTGCTAGCCGCTGGAGCTGCAATGTGTCGTTTGAGACCCATTCCAGGCTGGCGAAGGGGTTTCGCTTTTTCTGCAAGTGCGCAGTCGCTGATGGTAGAAAAGCCGAGATGAGCACGATGAGACCGCCAATAGAGAAGATGAGTATTATACCGAGTACGTTGAAAGAGGTGTAGGAGTCGGATAAAATCTTCTGGTTCTGGCAGACAGCGCGTGCCTCTGCGGTTGTAGGTCCAGAATGAAACGAAGCCGCCCTTTTGTCTGCTGGTCCGGTGGCCTGGTCGAGCATTGCTCGTTGAAGATCGGCAAGGGTGGTTTTGAACCAATGCTCTAATTCAAGTTCCCACTGGTTGTCAGGTAGAGCAAATTGTCCAACTCCAGAGAGGGTGTCGCTTGCGAGAAGGGCCCCACCTCGCAATACGGTGATGAGCTCATTAAAACCATTTGCCATATACTTGATCGCCAGCGAGGACCAACGGAAGGTGTTACTAGCTTTTGGATCTGTGAAAAGGGTTGTTTCAGCCAGTCTAGTAGCTTCAAATATCCCCATCAGTGGCGTACAGCTGATGTTTTTGGGAAGAGAGGGATTACAAAATTGATACTGCTGAGCGCACGCGAGAGTCCTTGCCGGCTGGTCGCTATAGTAGAAAGTCGTATTGCCCAAGGATGTGGATCCGCTGCGAGGTCCTGCTTGTGCGTTGTACCAAGGATCATCCACCGGACTGGAGAAAAAAACATCGTTGATTTCCAAGAAAAGGACACTGATGTCTGCGTTGGGCACCTCCAGCTCAGGTATTGGCTCCCATTCATTAAGATACGAGAATTCTTCGTTCACCTGCCATTTAGTAGCAGTCCTACCATTTGAAGTCAGTGATTGGTACATATGTAATGGGGGAGGAGCACACACGTGACTGTGTATTGGTTGCGTGATAGGGTACTACCCACTCGCACTCCATAACCAAATGTCATAGTACAATTTTCTGTTTTTGGACATACTCTTGGGTCACTTCCATATAAGAGCTGCATGGTGTTTGGCACACTTGTTGTGTTAAACCGTGCGTAGCCCTTGCCGCGTATAGGGGCACACTCGTTGACAGTGCGGTAGAGGAACCGAGATGAAGGCGGCGCATTGATGCCTAGATCGTGATGGCTGTTCAAAAGTCCAGAGTCGATGCGAATGGCCCCGTTCTCTGTGCGACAAATGGTATCTTTTCCTGCAAAAGGACACGAGTCGCTACGTGTGACTGTAATGGGAAGGCTGTTTCGAACGAATGTGCGGCAGAGCTCTGTCGAATCTGACCCTGAATAGCAGTTTGCTTTGTAATTGAGGCTCGATCTGATCCGACTGGCAATGTAGTATTGGGTCAGGGCAACATTTTCCCTTGTTATGAGAGAACCGTTCACAGTAGCGCAATTGTCCCCAAGAACTAGGACTTCACTGCCTCTAGATGAGGCAACGCGTGAAGAGAAGATACCAGCTGCAGTAAATGCAGTAAAGGTAGCTAGACTCGCAACTAGCGGTATTGATGTTGCTTTCAAGGAGGCGGCGCACGATATCTTACGCCAGGCCCATGACAGCCTTATCAACCTCCATAATGCGGCAGAGCTGGTGTCGGAGCTGCGAAGAATAGCTTGTTGTTGGTGGTAGATGGCATTCTGAGGAGAGGATCGACTCAGGATTTGGTGGACGGTGAAGGAGATGATGCTCCAGAAACAGGTACCGGTAAACGCGACGAAAAGGGCGAGAAAAGCGATGAACAAGCCGCCATTGTCTAGTGTGGTTGTGTAGGTTAGACCTACTACCGACCCGTGAGACCAATTGGTCCAGAGTCCGAGATAGATCGACTTGTCTTCTGATGACATGGCAGAAGGAGGCCCCGTCTCAATGTGTGAGCCCGCTCTTTGGGATTTGTTGTATTTATTTTGTTAGACTGGAATAAAGTCTGCCAACGGTCGCTTTTGTAACCGCCGAAAGATAGGACGATATCGTACTCCCCGGCTCGATTAATCCTCATAAGCACTTTCCCAATCCTACCTCTTGGGAGTCCTCTCATTGGTGCAAAGTCATGCACCTCGGTATCGTACAAAGCTGAGGCAGGGGCCGGAGCCTAGTCTGCAGAGCTCATCATACATTGTACAGTTATATGTGAAGCCTGATAGGTACTTGGCCGACAGGGAACTAATGTCAATGCTGTGTAGTACTACTGCAAGTTGCCCATCTGCCAGCCGTGTTTTGGGGGCCAGATGTCCGGTTAAGATGGCTGGGTGGGGGCCAAATTTCATTGAGCCGCGAAACTTGGAACTTTGAACTTTAGACCCAATCCGAAAAGGGCCCAAGTTCAGTTTCCAAAGAAAAACTCCATCTCAGTATTAGCAAGACCTGTTACTTTGATTCTTCCTATATGTATGTGAATAGTTAGCTTACGGCCCCGATGATGCGTCGATTGCAACAAGGCCTGTCCATCCTCAAGGTGTTTTGTAGCCCAGATCCTCGAATTGCACGCAAGTCTGGGCAATATGGGTACAAATCACTGGAATGAGAAGGTAGAGGCTTTTTAGGTTGGAAAGAATTTGAGGGTTGGTCCAATACAGGGCTGAATTGTCCAAACGGCTCACTAGTCTTGCTCCACTACTAACGGCCAACCTATGGCGCCATTGGATTTTCGAGAATCAGGTAGCTGGCCCGCTGTGGGTCATGGCAACGGAAGCCGTTTTCCACTGTTTTTTTTCTGGTTTCTTCCTTTATCTCTTCTTATGCAACACATTTTAATTGCAGCTGATGTACCGATGAATATGAGGGCATCTACAAGGCTTGTCACTGTTGCTGTGGATGTGATTACAGAGACAGACAGGGCTAGAGTAGCTTCTGCATAATATGTATATCTTGACTATCCAGAGCCTTTTCTCTGCAGATATCACCTCTCTATTATCAAGCAAGCTGTAGCCAAAGATTACCGATTTCGACCTGAACAAGCGAGACGAGGCGAATGCGGCTGCCCCCAACGTAGCACACAATGGTCTAGATTGGAGATGTTTGATATGACCGCATTGTGCAGTACAAGTGCTTACTAGATAATAAGCAATTCGCACCCCAAGAAGACATGATGAGCCAAAAGAATGTAAGGATAGTGCAGATACAAGAGGTACCACATTCTACACATTGGTACAGACTGAACGACTGTATGCAGTGTGATTGAATCCGGTTGAGTCTTGTTCTCTGAGAGAGAGTTGTCATCCCAACCTCCCCCACGACCCGATACAACGCACTTACCACGGCTGCACACCATCTTTGTTGATAACCTTGCCAGCATGCTCGTCTCGCTTCCCCTCAACAACATCCCTGATGAGTTCGCCACCAACGCTTGGATCCCCTGCACCGAACTTCTTCAAGAGGTCAGGCCCCAATCCTCCCAACCCCGTAGCCAAGAACCCTGGACTGATACCGAACACCTTTACGCCATCTGCTTGAAGCATTATCACCCAGCTCAACATTAGCATGTTCAACGCTGTTTTGCTGGCTCTGTAGGCTGTTGGAGTCGGGTTTTGAGGCTTGGGCCAGCCTTTTGCTTTGCCTGCATCGACGAGCTTGGAGTCAATGCTATTAGAGCAAGTTTTTAAAGAGGTCAAACTAGAGGTTACAAAGAGTAACCTGGGGTCAGACGAAGCAATCAGGAGGGGCGCAAAGGTATGCGTCACGACTTGAGTCGAGGTGACATTGAGCGAATAGGCTTTGTCCCAGACCGCGCGGATACTTTTGGGACTGGAATCTTTGCGCAGATCGTTGTCAAAGGATGCACCTGTCCATCTGAATAAACGAGTCTAGTCCTATCACATCCAGACAAGTTATGACATACCTGCATTGTTTACTAGAGTGTCAAGACGACCATACTTGCTCTTGACCTCCTCGAACGCTTTCTCAATGGACTCGTCATCCTCAATATCGAGCTGAATTGCCTCAACTTCAGATTTCGATTCCGGAACCTCGGTCTTGAGCTTGGAGATTGCATCCTTGGCTTTTTCCAAAGAGCGACTGCCCATCAAGACTTTGTAGGGTTTTGACGAAGCATACAATGCTTTGACGGTCTCATAACCAATGCCGGTGTTTCCGCCAGTAACCTTCAAGTAAAGCCGAAGATTAGCACATGTTGTTTTGTTGCGTGTCAATGTTGCTACTAACAAGAACAATAGAAAATTCCGTCATGGTGATCTCAAACTAGTAGCAGTATGCAGTGGTTTAATGATCTTCGTAATCTGATGCTTTCCCGTGGTGTGGGGAAATGTCCTTTCCATGCAAAGATGAACGTGACCTCGGTGCCGGATTTAGGCTAAAAAAGCGAGAATCGGAGCTATCACTACCTGTATTCAATAAATCAAAGAGACAGCACGCACAAGTTGATAGGTGATTGGTAATGGATAGATGAAGGTATCTGGGTGCCTATTCTGACAAGTGATATGATGACGACATTTGGACATGGGTTGTAGACGGTTAGCGAAACTTTGTATGTATGTATACGGTAGTACCACATCTAATATGGATAACACTGTGGATATAATATTCGACCGTACATATTATTACCCTGAGTAGTAGTAGCTAGGCTGAACGCCCGACTCTCGTGTATTGACAAGAACCACTTTTTCTAGTTCAACCATCCAATCATCAGAACATGGTCATCGACACAAGAGGGGAGATACAAAAATAGTTATAGAGGAACCTATACGAATCATTGTGTAGATCCAATATGACCAACAAAACATATTCTCAACTTGACTTTCCCAAGAATCTACTCACCAGCGACCTCCTGCTAGACTTGCACTAGCGCCAAACAGCTGATGGCGCGTCATTGGGGCGGCTTGGCCGTTATCTCCGTATCACCGCGTCAACCAGTCGCCTTACAACATACAACCTTCACCGTCCTTCCGAACCATATACCCAACAACCATGAAGTCAACAACTCTATTGCTACCGCTCTACACTGCTGCTCTCGCGGCAGCTGTTTCGTCGCCTCAAGACCACCAAGCTGTGCTCCAGGACCAGCAGCAGGTCACTATCACCGAGCCAGATGAGTATCTCATCGAGCTCTCACCTGGCGAGACGCGATGGGTGACTGAAAACGAAAAGTGGGAGTTGCGCAAAGTATGTCATCTCATATGACACTGTAGATAAATTAGGCACTAACTATACCGCAGCAAAACATCAACTTCTTCGACATCACGCACAACAAGGAGCTCGGCACGCTGAACCGCAAGGTCTCCGCCGAGAGCGTCAAGTTCCCAGAGAAGCCCATCCACAAAAAGGCCATCGATCCACTCCTCAAGGAGCTAAAGAAGGAAAACATGCGCGCCCACCTGGAGACCTTCACCTCATTCCACACGCGCTACTACAAGTCGCACTACGGGGCCGAAAGCTCAGCCTGGCTCCTAAGTCAAGTCAACAAAACCCTTGTTGATGCCGGCGCCGTCAACGCAACCGTAAAACCGTTCCCCCACCCCTGGGGCCAATCCTCCATCATCGCCACGATCCCTGGCAAAAGCGACAAGACCATCGTCATCGGCGCCCACCAAGACAGCATAAACCTGTACTTCCCCGCCTTCCTCGCCGCGCCCGGCGCCGACGACGACGGTAGCGGCACCGTCACCATCCTCGAGGCCCTCCGCGTGCTCCTGCAATCCCCCGAAATCCTAGCCGGCGAAGCAGAAAACACGGTAGAATTCCACTGGTACTCGGCCGAGGAAGGCGGCCTGCTGGGCTCTCAAGCAATCTTCCAATCCTACGAGCGCGCAGACCGCAACGTCAAAGCTATGCTGCAACAAGACATGACTGGCTACGTGCAAAAGACGCTCGACGCAGGCGAACCGGAGTCTGTGGGCGTCATCACGGATTTTGTCGACCCGGGCCTCACCGAGTTTATCAAGAAGATTATTACCACCTACTGCAGTATCCCGTATGTGCTGACAAAGTGTGGGTATGCCTGCTCGGATCACGCCAGTGCGTCAAAAGCCGGGTACCCCTCTGCGTTTGTGATTGAGTCGGATTTCAAGTATAGTGATAATAAGATTCATACGACGGAGGATAAGATTGAGTATCTTAGCTTTGATCATATGTTGCAGCATGCGAGGATGACGCTTGCGCTCGCGTATGAGTTGGCGTTTGCGTCGTTTTGAGTAAGATAAAAAGAGGTTGGGTTTGAGGTATATAAGGCCCAAGTTTGAATACTACTATATGGATCCCCCCCGCCCTTTTTCTTTTACGACTAGCGTGTTTGGGGTGATATGAGGAAATGAACAAGTGTATGATGTCTTCCAAGTCTTTACAATACTTACTGTGTAGTCTTGAACCGAACAAAGAGTGGAATATGCGCTTCTACCATGTACAAAACATGCCTACTAATCCACTGGAACCATATATACACCCTTTCTACTCACCATGCACATGACACCTACACCAATCCATACAACGGCCTAGGCAACCCCCCCTCCACCCCCTTCTTGACCCCAATATACGCCTCCCTCCTCGCCGGATTCCCCACCGTAACACTCCAAGTCCTCAACCCATAATAAACCCCAATATGATGCACTAGCCACCTTCCAAAACACCCCCCAACATCTTCCTCGGGGGTATCAAAAAGCATAAGCTCCTTCTTGGCGGGAAGCACCGCCGACGAAGAGGGAGAAACATCATTCATATGCCCATTCCGCCCCACAAAAACAATCTCATCGTCCTCACTGTCGGGGTCAGTCGGGACACCCAACTGCGCGGCTTCCCGCTCCTTCTCATGCCACTCCGCCACGAAACCCCTGACTTGACCCTCGAGATCCATCAGAAGCCCCTTAGCGCCGCGGGAGCGCTTGAGTTTGTCGCGGAGTTCCTTGGGGACGATACCTGGAGCAGACGGGTTTGTAACGATGGTTTTCTGAGAGGCTTTTTGGGCGAGGGCGGCGGAGCGGCGGTCGGTGGATTGGCGGTTTAGGCCTTGGTCCCAGAGCGGGGCGAGGTAGTAAGGGACATGTTTTGGGGTGTAGGTTGGGTGGACTTCCCAGTCTCTGGGAAGCGGGGGTTCGGCGTGGGGGTTGTTCAGGAGACGATCTGATGGGTCACGGATCAATTTTTATTGTTGTGAGAATGGTGATTGTTTCAGGGATTCATGGGAGGAGTAGTGGTGCTATGTGCAAAAGCGAGTATCTAAGAGAAAGGGTGGGAGACGTACCATTCTCCCATCTCTGCCTGCGCCTGGAGCCCTCTTTCCCCTTTAGCAGGGCCTCGCGCCGCTTCATGCTGTCGCGGCGAAGCGGCTCCTTGCGATGATAGTATCCGCCTTCTTTTGCGGCTGCTGAAGCACCTACAGGGTGTGCAGCAGCCGCGGGCGCATCGTGCTCATCGAGCGGAATGGCAAGCGTAACCGAGGCAGTCTGAGGCGCATCTCCAGGGACGGAAATGGCTACAGAGCCCAGGGCAACGGTTGCTTGCTCAGTCCAGGCATCAATGTCGATGGGTTGAGGCGGCGCCGTGGCCTGCTGGGGGCTAGAGGGGACATCGCCGATAGCCATTATGGTGGCGTTGATAGTGCTATTGAAAGGGGGGGAGGCGGGGGAGCAAGAGGTGAAGGGCAGTGCCTAGAGAAGACGGATAGCTGGAGAGCCGGGAGTACAAGATGACGAAACAAGGGAGACAGTAACCAAGCTTCTATCACCAAGCTGTTGGGAGGATGTGTCTGGGGGACAGATGGCGATAAGTGCGGCGGCGCGATAGGGAGTCCGGTCGGTCGGGCATGTCATGGATGTTCGCGTCATGCTCGGGAGCCAATCAATTAGCGAACGTGGGGCGGAGCCTGTCGTCAATAAGCTACGACGGCGACCACATGAGTGTGACGGCAGACATGTCGACAGAGTCAGAGTCAGAGTCATGGTCACGGTGCACGTGTAGCAGTGATTGTAAGTCAAGGTGCGGCTCTCTCAAACACGGCGGATATGCTATTTCTGTCAAGGGCCTATCCCAGCTCTCTGTCACATGTCATTCAGGGCCACTATGCGGGGAAGGGGGCCTGCAGCCATCTGCCCAGTCCTACTATTCAGCCCAGAACCTGTCGATATCGTCTGGAAGGGTAATATCATTGCGCTCAGCAAACTCCTTCCAATTCAGCATAGGCTGATGCCACTTGCGCAATGTGACCCAATGCGTCGTCGTCTTGCGACTATCCAACTTACCCCTACCCCGGCTGCGCTTCACTTGAAGCTGTGGCCAGTCAGTCTCTTGCACTTGGCCGCCTTTGCCTTGTATACAAAGCTGCATGCACTTTGCGTACCAATCAGGGAGCCCGTTGACTTGCACGTCTTTGATACCACGAAGCAATGCCAGACTCTCTAGGCCGAACATGTACTTTTCCAGGCTCTTCGGAGGCCGAAGAAATTGCAAATACGAATATCCGGTCGACTGAGAAAGTGGAAGAAGCCTTGGGTCAGGAACCTGGGCGAGCCGAAAGTCGACCCTGAGATGCTGCAACAAGGACCCTTTGTTTTGGTCGTCAGCATGCTCCTTGAGGATTTCGACCAGGTATTCTAGGCGTGCTCGTTGGCGCTTGACTGCCCAGTGGCTATCAACGTCAGCAACAACGTCGATGTGGATGCGACGCAAGTCGCGTAGCAGTGGGAGTCGGAGAGGGTGGCCAAGAGATCCAAAGACGTATGGGCTCCTCAGCGACTTGGGCCATATGGCCCTTCCATGAATGGTGAATTTGTACGTGTTCATGCCATAGAGGACGGCTGTAACTGTTTAGCTGGGCAGGGCACGTGCATTGTCGGGGCTTACTTACACCGTGACTCGTTTGAGACAAACTTGCTTACTCGGAATAGTTGCGTTTCGACGGCGAGGTGGTACGCGGGACGGATGCCTGTATCCAAACAAGAAGTCGCTCCACCAATTGGGACTGCATCCTCTCCATACTGTCCCAGATCATAGGCGACAAACAGAGGCTTGCCCTTTTGCCAAATAGTCTTGAACTCGATGGTTAGATTGGTTGGCAATACAAACGAATAGATTTGGTATCGCAGTTCTGCTGGCAGAGCGAGCAAACTGAAGCCTATCGGGGACTGTGGCGTTTGATCAAGCGCTCCTTGTGTGACATGCACTTTGCCTCTATCCATATCGTGATCGAGAACAGCGCTTTGGAAGTAGTTGCATCTTGCGTAAAGAAACTCCGAGCTGTCAGAGGAGCCAGGGTCAATGTTTGCTCTGAGCATATCCACGCAAGCCGAACACGAGGGCGTGTTGCACGTCAGAGATGTTTGCGAGGTCAAGTACGGAACACTTCAGCAAGGGGGATTTTACAGCTGTTGGGTTTGAGATGAATGGGGAAGTGTGGGTAAGGGTGCAAGAGGGCCAACCATGGTCCACGACTCCAGGCAGCAGTGGACCCCGCTGTTTGGAAGGGGCGATAGTGTTGCAGCAAACATGATTGTATTTGATTTTCTAGCAGGTAAAGATAGAAGCGGCAGTTTTGGAGGCAGTGAGTGAGTGAGTGAGTGAATGGGGGACGTGGTGGCTCAGACAGCAGCAGTAGCAGCAGCAGCAGAAGGAGGCTCATCCTTGGCCATTTCCTGGGCCAGCCACTCGGCCTCTTTTTGCATTTCGTCGTCGGACCTGGGCTTGCGGCTGTCGTTATCGACGGCGGGGAAGCGGGCCTTGCGTTCCAGCTGCTTGCCTACGTTGGCGTCGTCGCTGTCGAGCATGGCGTAGATGGCATCGGTGCCGCCCTTGTGGTCGAGGTCGGCCTTCTTGCGGGGGATGATGTGGACGTGGACATGAGGCACACTCTGGCCTGCATCTACACCATCTTGGATGGCAATATTAAGCGACGAGGCGGCGAAGACACGCTCTACCATGCGCGAAACGCGCTGGACAGCCAGAAACAGGTCATGGACCTCTGCAGCAGACAGGTCGTTGAAGCGGGGCACGACGCGACGGGGCGAGACGAGGACATGACCGGGCAGGAGGGGCTTGAGATTGACTATAGCAAAGGACAGACGGGTTAGGTGGAAGACCTAGGGGATCCGGTCAGTTGCCTGACTGGCTGGGTGCTTGTAAGTTGCAGCGCTCAACAGAACGAAGCAGAGGGCAGGCGGGCAGGCGGGCAAGCGGACCTGGGTGGTGACGACAAAGGAGCCAAAGGTGATGAGCTGGCTGGTCAGCGGCATTCTGGCTCTGTGGACTTTGTGGACAGTGTCGACACGAAAGCGTCGCAAGCATGTGCATCCAAGACCAAGCAGGCCAGCCCAAGACAGCGACAGTATCAAGCTCGGAACACGGCCGGGCGGCGCGCGTCAGCGTCGTGAAACGGACGGAAGTTTCCCAGGCCTTGGCCCATGTCGGTCCGCCGTAATAATTGTACTGCAATAGCAGTAGAGTACCCACCGTGATATGGACAGATGCAGACGGACATAGGCCTACGTGGAGGGAGGCGCTGGCCGGTGATTTCGAGGCGAGGCGAGGCGAGGCGAGCAGAGCAGAGCACCAGACTTACTTGGCCCCTAGTCGCTTTCTCACCATCACATGGCATGGGAGTAGCAGATTGGCAGGGGGGACGAGCGGCGCTGCCGGGAGCCAGACACGACCAGCGCGTGGTGGTCTGCTGCAAATCCATTCGCACAGCCAATTCCACGCCAACAAACAACCGTGGGGAGACATCGTCGCTTTGGGGTGCCCGCCGTCCGGTCTTTTTTTTCGCCCACCATCCATCCACCCACCCACCACCATTCGTAATGACGCCGCCGCCGACGCCCGCCGCTGTTGCCCACGCCGCGCTGTGCGGTGCAGGCCGGGCTCACGACAGCACGCTGTTGCCATGCTATAAATCCATGTCCTCCTCTATGTACCCGCCCGTTATTTGCACCACCTCCAACCAACCAAGCCTTGTTTGGACTCTGTCACCGTGCTACTACTGCTCTGCTCTGCTCTGCTCTTATCACCACCCGTTGCGCAAGTGGAGCCTGTGACTCCTCGCCCGCCTCTAGTTGCCAGACGCCATCTATCGTGCTCCACCCGCCGACGCGCCCAAAAGGGTCTCATCAGCGAGCTTGGCTGAAGCACCGAGCTCCGACCATTCACGCTCGACGCGGCCTCCCAAACAAATCATCACACACCACATTGTCCATCCCACTCGACCTCGTCCGCCCGCCTCGCCTGCACGGACTATCCCACTCCGTCCTTTGATTGACTTGGCACCCTCAAGTTGTGTCCGCCGTCGATCAACTTGCCCGCCCGTGCACCCATTGCATCCCCACAGTTCCACTCCCTGCCCTTGTCTCGTAAGCCTCAGCGAAAAGACTAGGATCAGGGTCCGCTTTCACACACACACAACGACTAAGCGCAGAGTATAAGAACCGTGGTCGGACCTCCGATTACTCTGGTCATCACTAGACACTCTACACTGTTACCCCATTCAAGTCACTCTCACTTGATTCGACTTGATTCGCATACATAAACACCCGCCCATACAAACAAGTGTCCCACCATCACTCTACGGATTCCGTTGATCGGACCCCGAGCAGACGACTATATATCACACCCTCACCACACACAACCACAACCACCACAATGGATATCGCCACCACCTCCCGCGCATACTTTGCCATGCCTTCTCCCAGCCCAGATGAGAAAATCTCCCTCCAGGCCTCAAACACAGTCTACACCTACCACTGCCTGTGCAGTCATCTCCTCCTCGCAACAACCACACCCCTGCCCTCACTGCCTACACGCCGCCACAGCCACGATGCCGCACACATCATGCCCCTACCTCCCCCAGTCCCCGTCGCACGCAAGAACTCTACGGATAACTCCGCCACCACGCACGACCACTATGGCCTCCTGCTGTCCACTCGCCAAGAGCGCCAAGCCGAGATCATCACCAGCGACTCAGGCTTCGAAAAGCGCTATCTCCAGCGCTGCGGCCGCTGCGACCTCGTCGTCGGTTACCAACTCGACTGGCAGCAATTCTCCGTCGATCGCACCGGAAGGCGAGATGATTATGTCTTCTTGCTCCCGGGTGGCTTCGTCAAGACTAGCGACATGGTTGCGAACAAGATGGCTTCCGCCTCTGCATCTTCGTCAAATCCCATGGGCAGCACCGTCAACGTTACAGAAGTAAAAGTCTGAGGCTGACCAAGATCATCGACGACTTTTTCTGCTCTATCTATCCATCTATTCTCAGCTTGCCGCCTCGGGGATGGTGTTATCTCGCTTGCTCTGCATGCAGAGGCGAAAACATGGCCACACATTATATACAATGTGTGCATAGCAACGAAAAGGAACAAAAAAAGAGAACGCCAGCCTCCTCCTTCCTCCCCACGCTTACGGCGCAGGATGGGGTAAGGGGTTGGAAGGGGCCCTTCCGCAATCGGACTTTCCCCCGCTTTCCGCCCGCCCACACCCCATTCTACCTAAAGCTATCTCAACCAACTCCGCATCCAGGCTGGCGCACGGGCAAACAGGCGTTCCCTTTCTTCTCATCCTCTTTTCTTTTTCCTCCTTTTTTCTCATCTCGTCATGACTTCTCTCTTATCTCTATAGCCATGAAAGAATTGTCCTTTCCTCTTGTCATGTCCTCGTCATCTTCCTTTTCCTTTTTTTCTTGTCACGATATGGATACGGTAGCATTTTCTCTCTCTCTCTCTCTCTCTCTCCTTTCCACAGACAGACAAGTCGGGAGATACACACATGTACCAAGCGAGCGTTGAGAGCGCTTTGCGACAGATACCCCACAAGATTAGATACATTACAAGTAGTCTAGCAATTTCAGGTACATGATATACACCCACCGCTGCGTGCGGTGCGGGAGCTCCAGATCTCATCCCTTGTTCCTTTGCCTCTTTGAAAACTAGATATCCCAATGCAACAGTGATCCGTCTTCTTTGCTATATACTTGGATGCATAATACAAGTAGTCTAAGCGATGAAACAAAGCATAATCTCGCGCATGCGGCGGACCGTTTCTTTCCTCTCTTTCTCTGTAAAAAAAAAGAAAAAGACTGGAAATCTAAAATTCCAAGTGACCTCTTCAAAACTTTATTCACCACACACACACACACACACACACACACACACATGACCTACACTCTCACATACACGTGCATGCGTGCATTCGGGGGAGGGGGGAGGGGAAGATGGAAACTCTGCATGCTCTACCTCCCTTTCTTCCCCCCCCCCCAACCCCAACCCCAACCATTCCATTCCTCCAAATAAACCATATCCAACAAAACTCGTCTTGTAAAAAAAAGAAAAGAAAAGAAAAGAAAAAAATCCCGAAATCATTCCGTTCCGAAAGAAAGAAGGAAAGAAAAAAACTCTAAATTCACAATGGGCAATCTAACTCTTTCTTGTGCTTGGCATGATACCTACTTACCTACTTACCTAGCGAATTTAAAACCTTAATCTAGCCTTATTGTTTGATCGTCATTTACGGTACATTTCTTGGCTTTGTTGAAACTTCCAGACTCTAATAAGTAGTTAGTGGTGGAAAGTGTATGTGATGTGTGATACATGGATGTGTGATACATGGATAGGCCGCTATCTAAAGGAAAAAAGAAGAAAAAAGGTACAGTAATAGTTACGGTAGTTAACTATGTATAGTTTGTGAATTAGGTTTATGCAAGTATAGATGGATAAGTTGCATGCATGGACGCAGTTAACGCCACACTATTAAACATAGATAAAGGTAAAAAGCCACAACATCACGCATGCACAATGAAAGAAAAAAAAAGAAGCAAACTTGACAAATTTCGTTCCATTTCCCCGCCAAGATTCGCAACCCCCTATCGAAGTGCTGATATCAAAACAAAGAAGAAGAAGAAGAAGAAGAAGCATATGATACTACCCCATCATAGTCGTAATAGTTAAGTAGTACGTTCATTTGTCTTCCAACGCCCCATCATGCCATAAAAAAACCCAGAGGAAAAGAAACCATGACCCGTTTCAGACATTGCTCGCGTTCACACAAAAAAAGTCCCCGTCTCATCTAACTGCGGGAAACTCCACAAAAAGACTTCGACATCGACTCGACTTAGACATCTTAGTTCTCCGCAATCGTCTTGACGAATTCTGATCACACACGTTAGCCTTCCACACACACACACACACACACCCTTCAAAGGGTAGAATAGAACAAAACTCACCCCTGTAATCCACCTCGTTATTACTCGCGTCAATCGTACTCTTGAACAACTCATCCACCTCCTCCTCACTCATCTTCTCGCCCAAGTTTGTCAGGATATACTTGATTTGACCCTTGCCGACAAACCCGCTGCGATCCTTGTCGAACACCTGAAACCCGCGGATGTATTCTTCAATGTCAAAGGGCTCACGGAAGCCGCCGGGGCGGTTGAGTATCTTGGAGAAAGTGTCGAAGTCGACTGTTGGTTGTTCAGTTAGCCAAACGGAACATGGAAGATCGGGTGAAGGTGGGTGAAAGGAAGAACGTACAGTCAGCTCCAAGACCACGCTCCAAATCGGCAATCTCGGCCAGCGTGGGGTTCTGGCCGCAGGCACGAAGCAAGTCGCCCAGCGCGCCGCGGTCGACGCGGCCGTTGCCGCGCTTGTCGAAGAGCTGGAAGGCTTCGCGGTAGTTGGTGGAGGCCTGGTTACTGTTATCCATTGTTCCTTTAAATGTGCCGCAACGAAATCTCTAGTCGAGGTCGGTCTTTTTCCGTGGGTGTGAAAAGAGAACGGTAGTTGGAGTGCCGGAGACGGAGAGAGACGGATGTTTGTTGTGTGTGGTAAAGGGAAACAAGGCAACGAGTTCGGTTGTCGGAGTTGGAGTTTGTTGTGCTTGTAACGTTTAAGCCGCGGAGAGGCATTTTGATGTAGCCAGGTGAGGCAAAAAAGTAATCGTTTGCTCGTTTCTCGTCGCCTTGTTTTGCCCTTGCTACACCCGCTGTATTCCGTTTGAACGGGCAGCGTCGTTCCATCTCCGGCACTCACTGCTTGGCGTTCAACACACCATTTGCGCGGCGGGTTTGCTCGCCCTTGCGGGGTGCAAAGGGGTACAGACGGGGGCGGCGGTGCGGGTGCGGGGCAGGCCTTGTGTGCCTGTGTACATGCCACCGTCTCTTTTCCGGGGATACGCCAGATACAAAATGTCTGTTACATACCATTGTGTAGATGTAGTTTGTTCGTAGGGAGTGTGGGTGGTGCAAAGGTGCTCGGTAGGTGTTCAGAAAGGAAGTCCAAAATCTGGAGTGGATAGGGCGGTGTGAGGCTTTCGAGTTGGTGTTGAAGGGGCGCCTGTTGATGTAGCCTGAGCGTGGGCCGTATGGTGCGACGAGCGCAAAATAATGTCTGCCAAGGGCGGAAGCGTCGTCGTCTCAGCAACCAGCGGTGTACGACTATCTACGGCTACACATCACTGGCTGTCAACCAAGTATAAGCGCTGCATCGCTGACGACATGGCATTGTTAGGCGCTGTGGCATATTGATGTTTACATCGTATTCATCCTTGGTTGTACACTACAGCCAAGTGCCATACAAACCCTCTATTTATCTATGCACACCAATAAACGTCCTCTCACCTCGATACATGTGTATACTCCTACTAAAATGATCCTCTTCCTCTTCCTCCTCTTTGATCCACACTCCATCCACTAGTTTTGCTCTCACCATCTTCTCATCGTCTCCCTCGCCAGGCAGCGTCCCACCATCCCTAACCTTGCCTTCAGCCATCCTCACACCCACAGCCTCCACCACCGTATCAAAGCCCTGCTCAATGTCCTCTTCTCCCCATGGGAGGCTGTCAATATCAATTTGTTTTTCCCTGCCCAACAGACACATGATGATGACCATGGCCCCAGCCTTTGACATGACCTGATTCGCCTGTTTGCACGCATCGTCATTACAGCACTCGTTGCATCCTTGCAAACAGTGACAACTCGTCAGTCTCTGACACGCCTGCTGCAGCAACGTATCAATAAACTCAAAAGCCTTTGTGCTAATTCCAGAGCCACTCGCACCCCCCTTTGCATCGTAAAAAGTCAGCCGAGCCGGCCGCTTCCTCGTCGATTCCTTTTGCAGAAACTCCTTCTCAGGCACTTTGCATTCCGTCCGGACGTCTCCCGGCATCGAAATGACAAAGTTAGGCATCAGACATAAGACCGCGTGCTCAGCAGCATGGATGCCGGCTGCAATGTTGAGCCGCCGGGACTTTAGAATATCCATGGCAGACTTCGGCACGTCGAGCCACATACCCTTGCTGAAGAGGATAATGGGCGGGTTGTCGACTTGCACCGCGTCTAATATCCGCCGGCGCTTGTCGATCTTGAAAAAGCCATACACAACCTGCTTGATCTTGATCGGGCCGTAAAAGGCTTTTGATCGTGAGCCTGGGATGCGGCGAATGGCTTCTGTCTCAACAGGATCAATGTCCATGTAATCACGCTGTTGAGTCGTCCAGTCTACCTTTACGTACTCGACCTTTGCCAGCATCCGCTCCGGGGAGAACTCCTTGACCAGATATGTGTTGCCCTGATGCAAGAAAATACCGCCGTCGTAGAGCGTGAAAAAGGCACGACTGGCTTCTAGCTCTTCAAGCACAGTGTTCTTGCCATTTGTAGTGTCGATGATAGCAAAATGATCTTCTTCTGTATCCCGGATAGCTACTGTGCGAGACGGCTGTGGGAGGAACCGTTCATTGACGTGGTAAAAGCCCTCCTTGTCGAGACGCATGCGCTCGCGAGCAATCTTGGGAAGCAGAGACCCAAAATACTCCATATCAGTCTCCACATTGATCGGCATCTCGTAAGCAGCACACTGAATATGACCTTCAACCACAAGCATATTCTCCAGGTCCACCTGGAGCGCACAGTTTGGCTTTGTGAAAATCTCGTCTGGGTTCGACATGTAGTACTGGTCCGTAGGGAAGGAATCCCCGACCAGAACAGACAAAGAATCCTTGTTTCTTCGGCCAGCACGTCCACTCTGTTGTCGGAGATTGGCAATGGTGTAGGGAAAGCCAACTGTGATGACTGCGTCCAAAGATCCAATATCCACACCAAGCTCGAGCGCACTAGTAGCCACAACACCACAGAGTTTGCCATCAAACATTTCTCGCTCAATCTCCCGCCTGTCTTGCGGTGTGTATCCACCTCGATATGACATGACGCGAGGGATAACTTCTGGCCTTTCCAAGTTCGTCAACTCCGTCTTCACAGCCACCATCAGCGCCTCGCATTGTTTTCGTATGCGACAAAACGCAATAGTCCGTACACCTCTAAGCATAAGTTGGCAAAAAAGCTTTGCAGTCTCAGCCATACAATCACCACGTCCCGACGTAGGATCGCCAGGGTCCTTGAACGGCGTGTTCCAGCAAAGAAACTCCTTACGACCAGACGGCGATCCATCAAAGTCTGTCAGTCTGACTTGTTCAACCCCAAAAATAGTCTTCATGTGTTCCTCGGGATTTGCAACGGTAGCAGAGCAGGAAATAAACTTGACATGACGGTTTCCCACTGCCGCACATACCCTTCGTAGACGCCGCATGATGAAAGCCATGTGTGCGCCGAATAGTCCATTGTACACATGCAATTCGTCAACCACCACAAACCGCAAGTTCTGCAAAAAGGTACGCCAGGAATCCTCTTGCGGTAGAATAGTAATGTGCAGCATGTCAGGGTTCGTGAAGATGATGCGCGCCTCGTCGCGGATATAGTTGCGGTCACCCATTGGCGTGTCGCCATCAAATGTCTCAACCAGAACATCTTCAAACCCAGGCATGAACCGCAGAAGCTCCTTCATGCTCTTCCTCTGGTCCTGAGCTAGTGCCTTGGTGGGAAAGATGTACATAGCCCTGGTATCCGGCTCTTGTTCTAGCTGATGTAGAACGGGTATCTGGTAGATGAGCGATTTTCCAGAGCTTGTCGAGGTAGACACAATCACATTGTGGCCATCATAGAGATTGTTGATAGCTTCGGCCTGGTGTGCGTACAACTGGGTGATATTCTTCGTATTGTAGAGGGCATTGACGAGGTTTTGTGACATGGCAAAGTTGAGATCTCCATACACGGGTTCCTGAGGATCGAAAACTCGATGACCGTCTGGTACAATTTGACCAGTGTACCATTCAAGCGTCTTGATCTCGTTGAGGATATCCGGAATGGATTTGCGTTCTGCAGGTATCGAAGACGGTAGCAGCGACCTCTCTGGACCCGGGGTCGACGCCCTACTCTCAGACGGCATCGGAATGAAAGCTTGTGAAGCCTCCTTGATCTTTTCTACAGCATCGACACCATCTTCAGCGCATTGGTTCAAGAAGGCATTGATTGCCGACGTAAACTTGGCGTTCCTCTTCTCAATCAAATTCATCATCTGCTTCTGGCTAAACACCGGCATCTTAAGTTCTTCATTGCGCAACTTTGTCGTGGCATTGGTCGGCTCTCCAGTCTTCTTATGCTGAACCTGACGCCTGAGATCGCCATCGATGAACTCAAAGAGCAACACCTCCTTTTGCTCGCCTTTTTCTGGTTCAGGCCCGAGTATGGCAAAGTCAGTTGTGCGCCTCCCGTGCATGTTGTCTTCTGAGCCCATCAGATTGATCTGGAGCATTGCCTCATCCACGTATGCAAAGTTGATTGCCTTTGGGATCAATGCCGTGATTTGAGCCACATCCTCAACCAACAGCTCGCGTTGTATGTTGCCCTCGACTGTGCTCTTAAGATTGTCCAGCGTCGTCGCTAGATGTTTGCGTGTGCATAGAAAAGTATACACTAGGTTTACCGCGCGATGCACTTGAGCAAGTTTTGTAAAGTGCCCTGGCCATGGTATTGAGGTTTCGACAAGTGTGGACGATCCATGGCGCACGAGGGGCGGTTTATCAGCGCCAGCTTTCTTTGGGGCTCGCCGCGGCTTCTTCCCTCCGTCGTGTGTCTTCGTAGGGACGCTTGTCGTAGTCGTGGTCTGGGTCTCGTCATCCTCGCAGGTTTTCCGTTTCCCCTTCCTTAATCTCTGATCCGAAACAGTGGCAGCCTTCATTCGAGTCATAGTTGTCGCATTGTTGTGTTCTGGCTAGCTAACAGCACTGATCAAAACCATGCCCAAGAATCGATGACGCAATAGCGCAAGGGCAGTGCTTTTGCTACGCACACGAAATATTCTTCTCGAGCATTTGCTTGCTTGTTTGTAGATGGTATGGGACGTGTCAGATATCGTACTTTCACGGTCTCAGTGGCTGTGGCGACGTACATTTGAAGACGCGAAAGCCCTGTCCGACGCGTTGCCGCGCTCTCACGTGCAGAGACTCCAAGCGGTTAACTCCCATACACCAGCAGAACATGGCAAACACAGTAATAACAGGGATTGGCACATACATTCCCTTCATCACATCACTTCAATTCAAACACAGCCCAAATTCAAATACTGCATATACAGTGAAAAGTAAAGATTTATTCTCATGCCGCATGAGCACACACCAGCCCGGGGTATAAAGCAAGTAGCTCAGCAGTATCCCTCCCACATTCCATCTTCCAAATAGTCATGTGCTGCCTTGAAAACGAAGATTAAAAAGACCATATAAAACAACACTCCTTCGCTAGAATGCAAGTACAACAGAAAAGACAGACCTTAAATAGCATATACATACCATACCATAACCTCGTGATAAACATAATACCTGACCCCATAGATTTGCTGGCCAGATCCAATGTTGCGGCATTGAGAAGCAAAAGAATAATATCATCGTCCATACGTGTGCTTATACCACGGTTGCCCCTGGAATGAGCATCTCAATGCACTTGTTCAGCAAATTGCTTGCCTCGTGGAGCAACTCCCATCTTGTCTTCTTGAACATGTCCCTCATGATGATGAGCAACCCCAAGCAGGCATTGCGGTTTGTGACCTTGCTCAAGTCCTCTGGCGACCTGACTCCACCAACACGGTTGAGATACAACACCATGTCTCTGACCTTGTCGTCATAAGTAGGGAGCTGATAAGGTTCCTTGACTGGCCCGTCAAGTGCGAATCCGTACGACCACACAATTAATGTGGCAAAGTATAGCACCCACGGTCGGTTGAGGAGGTAATCGTCGCGTGCAGAGTAAGAAATGCCAGCAGTTGCCGGGGTGCTGGGATTCAGACTATGATCCCCAGCAACCATGACGCTGGACAAGAAGCGCAGAGCATAGAAGGTGGCGTCCCGGGCTCGGGCGGTGGGGGCCCATACATCCTTCATCCGGCGTTGAGCGCCATTGTAGTCTTGTGACGTTATTGACCTGCCGAGCAGTCTGGGTGCTCCGGCGTAGATTTGGCAATCGACAATGTCCACGTGCATTGCCATGTGCGCCAGGTGATGAAGGACAGTGCGGGACTCGAAGACGATATCGTCGTCGATACCCCGAGAATGGTTGTGGGAGTTGGAGGAAGATGACTCGTCCGATCGATTAAGTGAGTTGTCGAAGTCCTGCTTCCAGAAGTCGAAAGCCCGAGTGAGGGAACCTCGCCATTTATCACGCCCACCCAACGCTGTAGTCACACCGAGAGAGCTGACCTGCAAATCTCGCTGGTTCATGTGCCATGATACACTCAGCAGGCCAGCCATGAGGATGGTGCGCCCAAACGAGTTTGTGCGGACCGACTGTCCATTGAGTGTCTTCTTAAGACCGTCAAGGAACGACATCGGCTTGATCCCGTTTGATGTTAGAGTCTGCTCAACCCGACCCACTTCGGAACTGCTCGTCGCAGACCACAAGGCTTCGTCACAGGGCAAAGGAAGACGCATCTCGTGGGCGACCATGACAGCGCTATGACCAAACATGGTGGCATGGATGCTGTCCATGACGAAGGCTGCAAAGGCAGCTCTCCGAGTAGCCTCGTTCGTGATCCAGTGGTTCCACCATTCGTCTGGCGTGTTTGCGATTCCATTGCTTTTGCCGTCCTTGACGCTGGGAGGTGAGTCCATGGCCGAACGACCAATCAACGAGCTTCCTCGCCTCATCAGCGTCAATGTCGTTGCATGGTGAATATGTGCTCGTTCGTGTAGTGGGCGCGTCGAGTACATCTTTTCAAAACTCTCGAGCAAGAGCAGCCCCTGGAAGATCCAAAGTTTGGCGGGTGGGCGGAAATCGGCATCCATAAACATCTCCCAGCGCAAGTGCCAGGCGAGGAAGTTGGCCAGCTCAGCACAGGCTTGTGTGGTTTCTCGGCCATATGTCTTCTCCAGACAAGATGCTCCAAGACACATGATAGCGAGCAGCAACAGGTCGGGGCAAGTGCTCGCGTTAAAGGTTGGCTTGTGCAGTATCGGCAGCTGCGGGTGGAAGTGAACCCAGTACGAGCTAATGTACGTCTGCATCATGTGAAGACTCAGGACGTGACGGCTATCGTCCTTGTCGCCATCCATAATATCCTCTTTTTGCTTCTTGACCGGTGCATGGTCAGTCTCGTTGAAACGGAGATGAATCAAGTCAATGAGATCTTTGCGCTTCTCTTCTGACAGGGCAGATTCTGGAAGGGTTGTGTCCAAAATGCTGTGAACAGCCATGGGGTGGGAAGGCGGTGCAGGGTTGTTCAGATAGCCAGCCACCGAGGGGTCATAGTTGAAGTACGGAGCTTGAAGACCAATCTGGCTTGACGCGCCCCCTGTAGAGCTGACTCCGCCGGGGTAGTCCATGGGCGATCCACCTCTTGGGTTGAACTGGTTGTCGTTGAACAGCCAGGCAGCAAAGTCGTCGGCCATGGCGAATGGTGATCGGCTGTATCCAGCGCTGCCAAACATTGGTATGGAGTATGCAGGGTTCTGATCCATCATGGCGTCCGATACACCCTGCATGCGGTTGTCTATCTGAGCTGAAGAGTCGACGCCATTGACGGGAGTCTGTGCGGACGTGCCATTGTAGTATTGGTTTTCATGTTCTCGAGTCGCCGGGGTGCCAGTGGATTGTGGGTATTCTGGTGGTGGTAAGGAGGAGAACGCAGGGAAATTTTGCACTGATTGATACGCACTTGCGCTGTTTTGGTAGTTGGTCGACGAGCCCGAGGGGGTATATGGCGATGGAGTGACGGTCGAACTATAGGGTGACGTTGAGCTGTATGAACTCACGTTTGACGTCTGCGCGCGTAGCTCGGGCCGTGTGAAGCTGCCATTACCCACATGTGGGGAGTTGTGGAGAGGCGTCCGGACTCCCCCGTAATTACCCAATGCGGCCGGACGGGGTGGGGGTGCAAAGTTCCCTGAATTCTGAGCCTGCATATCATAAGGCTTGGCCTCCGAGCTGCCTCTGTAGGCATCATCGCTTCCTGTCCTTTGCAGCGAGTCTTGCCTGCTATGCGTTGCTGTGGTTGGGGTTGGCGAATGGAAGTTTGGCGGTGACATTTGCGCGCCAGGTCCTCCGTTGGAAGATGCAGAAGCTGGAGATTGCAGGCCATGTGGTCCTTGGCTCTTCATGCTCAGCGCTTTGGGAGGCGGTGCGCTCTTTCCTCCCAGTGCGGCAGTCACGATGGGATTCAGGTTGTGCATGTTGAAAGTGTCTTTGCGCAGCAATTGGGAACCCCGGGCCGTGTGCCTTTCCTTGTGGCGCGCGCAGAGGTCTTGTCGGACAAAGGAGCGATGGCAATCGGGGAAATCGCAGTGGTATATTTGCTTTGGATTGTCTGCGCACAGCATTAGCATCATGGCTGCTTCAAGCAATAATGTTTCCATAGATACTCAATGTGCTGTCGGTCGAAACTCTGCCAGAACATAATGATAAATGATGCAACTCACGGTTCAGTTGGTGGCGGTACAGATGCTCTGCGCGGGAGTAGCTCTTGCCACAGCCCTCGTGGGGGCACTCAAACTTCTTGTCGAGGCCCTTTCTGCTGCGCCGCCTCTTTCTCGAGGAGCCATGACCGTCGCCGTCGCCATCGCCCGTGTCGCCATCGTCGTCCCTGTCGCGTCGACGGCCGCGGGCTTCGCCGCTGTCGGGCGATGCGGGGGTCGGGGGCTCGCTGGCAGCACCAACAGCGCTGTCCATTTTGTCTCCAAAATGCGTCTGGATCTTTCCCAAATCCGACGCGTGCGCAGGATGCATGTGGAGGATTTGCGCCGTCATAGCCAGCGGGGGGAGAGAATCAGGGTCAAGGTCTTGTGTCGCGGGCTTTGGCAGGCTGTGCGCGTGGTTGGGCGGGCCGGTGGCGGGACGACTCGCGTGTCGGGTTGTTGGCAAACAATGGATGTTGATGTTAGTCAAGAGGCGCTGGGTGGTGGGCGAGCATGCTGCTTTTGGAAATCACGCTGCGTGGAATGCAGATGCACGGGAAAATCGAGGGTATTTTTCTTGGGGGAGAGTTGTAGAGAAATGAACAAGAGGGGTGTCGAGTAGATTCAGGTACTAATCAAGGGTGGTAGTAGTGGTGGTTGTGTGGCAAGTGTGTGTGTGCGCGCGCGTGCGTGCGTGCGTGCGTGGGTAGTAGTATGGGTGTGTAGGACTACGGGGAGCCGCCTGGAGGGGCGGGCGGGCGAGAGCGTCTCGTAAATCACCGACAGTCTGGGCAATGACTTGCAGGGACGGGCACTCTCTCGAGGCGTCGAGTGGGTTGTGTGCGGGGGGTTGGACAAAGTGTGCACCCTGGAGCGTGGGGAAAAGCAAGTGCGCAGGTCGTGTGGGAGCAGACGGGCGCGGGTAGGAGAGGATGGGATGGGCAATGGGAATGACGGGAGCAGTATGTAAGCTGCTGGGCTGCCGCTGCTCAGGCTGCCGAGAGACGGACGCTCAGGCTCAGGCTCAGGCGACTTGACCAAGTGATTGCGCAGTAGCCGCGATAAGAAGACCATGTGCCGTGGCAGTGGATAATATCTCGAATTGGGGTGCACGCCTGGCTGAAGAGGTGAGGGGTAGATGCAGGGCCCCCCCCTCCCGGCCCCTGGACATGACCACCACCACCACCACCACCACTCGCTCGCGCAATCAACCGATGGAAGGTCTGTGTAAGATAGTTTAGATGGTATCTATGTACTAGACTAGACTACACTACACTGCACCTAGCATGGACCGCGACAGGGCCGCCGGCACAACTGGGACAAAGAGGCTCTAATATCAAACACCCTGCAGTAGGACAATGTGGAGAAAGGCGACGGGCCCTCGCTCTTACGCGGGATTGGCGGCGGCGCGTGGGGGCTGCACTGAACGAACGCTTTCTCCGAGGTGCTGGTGCTACTGCTACTATTCCGTGTAAATGCAAATGTCCATAGCTACTACATACACCAATGCCATGAATCGCGTCGTGCATTTCAGATAATCAAATCTCGTCTGTTTACATTAAATCCCTCGGCTGTTGTAGCAAGAAGTACCAGGAGCAGGAGTAACACACATTCTCACTAATTCACTCACTCTCTCACTTACTCACTCGTACTCGCCCGCTGGCTCGCAAAGACTCTCGAGAAAGCCCGACCAATACTAATTTCCACATCTCATCATCCAGCGCCTCCCGCTCTTGCACACTCCCATTGGCCAGCAGTTTACCCAACTAGCTAGTGCCGCGCGCGGGCCAGGCGCACCTGCCAATAAGGCGCGGCCCGGTCGTCACTCCACCACCACCTGCATGTGCGCCGCCCGGAATCTCGGCCGCTGTCCATTCCGCTTCTCTCGCCGCATTCGGTGCTGCCTGCGCTTGCCAGTCCAAAGTTATTGCCTACCAGACGAGGAAACTTGACTCTCTTGAAAAGAAAAGAAAAAGTTTGGTCGCGCCAATCAACTTGCAATACCACTCACTGTGCACGCATGTATGCATGCATGCATACATATGCATCTGACATCAGAAGAGCGCAACTGCAAAGAAAGAAGAAAACAACAACCCTTTCCCCCCAACGGCTAGTCAAAGTTCGCGTCACCGTTTGCAGCTCCCGACAGATTTGCACGCATTACTTTTCGCAATCCTCCGCGTTTCATGGGCTGCATCCTCTCGTCCTCCTGTAATGTCCCCCGTCCCACCGGCTCCTATTCTTACTCATGATCCCTTGGCTATACAACTTCATCAACTATGTTCATGTAGTTGCCGTCTTTTCCATTTCCACGGCACGCGCTAGCGATAAGCTCTCTTCGCCCCGCGGACGCTATTTGCGCCGTCGCCAACCTAACAAGCGCGTCGGGTCGACTTGCCAGAGCACAGTTGCGTACACATGCAAATCGATACGCCAGCTTCTTCGTCTTCTCCTCACATCAGCCCTCCCATCGTGAGCTTGCACTTGAGCACACGACTGTCTGACGTCAACCCGCCTTCACAAGACCACACATAGCACGTGTGACCAATGTCTGTACGTACTTGTGTGTGTGTGTGTGTATACAACATTATACATCATACATTTACACTAGATCCACGACAGGCCCCTCGGATCGACCCCGCCAAGTCGTCGTGTCTTACTACTTTTTTTCGCTAAAAGAAAAACAAAATAATACATGGTATGGTGATAGCCGCTTCACTCTAGTCACTCCACTTCACCGTCGACAAGTTCCTACTCCGCCGCTTGCGACTTGGCCTCGTCCTCCTTGTCGCTCGCCTTTGCAGCACCACCAGCCTCTCCAGTCTCCCTTGCCTTCGAAGTAGTGGCCTTGTCGTCGTCATTGCCAGTGGCTGTAGACTCTGCTTGACCTTCCTTCCCCGCAGTTGCCTCGCTCGAGGCCTCAGTCCCGTCACTCTTGGCTGCCTCTGTGGCGCTCTCGCCCGAAGCCTCATTATCATCTGCAGGTGCAGGATCCCCGGCCTTTTCATTCCCAGTGCTCACTGTTTCCTCTCTGTCATCATTTTTGCTCTCTGATGCTCCCGTCTTGGCACTCTTAGCACCGGATTCGTCGCCCTCCTCGTCACCGTCTTCAATCGTGGTGATATCTCCGTCACTGTCTTCGCCCTCTTCATCATCGTCCTCTTCTTCATCTTCATCGTCGTCATCTCCCTCTCCGCCTTCCTCTGGTGTTGCGGGCTCAAAGATTTGCGTCACAGGCCGGGCGTTGAGGTTGAGGTCTGGTTGCTCCTCTTCCTCTTCATTCTCTTCTACCACGGTGTGCACAATTGTCGCACCTACCGATGGCGAATGCCTATGTCGCTTTGTAGTGCCAGCAGTTGAAAGTGAGTGGTCAGACATAGCCCCAGCCAGCGTGTTGTCAGAGATTTGGGATCCCGAGTCCGAAGGCTCACGCTTCAAAATTAGAGGCGGCGCTGTTGGTTTGGTCTCTGAGTTGAGATCAATACCCTCTGCCTCTGGGGGTATAGTGTAGTTGTCCTCTGGCACCAAGCCATACACATCGCAGACTGTCTTGTAAAAAATGTATAGCCCCGTGCGTCCCTCGACGTGCCAGAAAACATCCCGGTGAGAATACCATGCGTGTGCAAATATCCTATACACACGCCTGAAAATGTTGGTGAGCTGCCGTGTCTGTGAGTGCTGCGTCGACTGATCTGTCCCTAGTGCAAGGCGTGATGGAAAGTGCTTTGGCGATGTGAGGGTATTGGCCGCCCAGTCGAGCGTGTGACAGCAGTAGTCAATGGCGCAACATGACTTTGGTGGGTCGTGAACCGCGCACAGATACTGCCATTCCGACGCACGCATCTCCGGGCATGTCAACGACGAGCATGGCGGGCTATCTGCGAAAAGGGCGGTTATAATCGAGTTGACCTTTTGTATAAGGAAGCGGCACAGCTCGTAGAGCCATAGCGTCCTGTCCACGTTCTCCGGCGCATGTGCAATCTTGAGGGCCATTTCTCGATCTACGGGCACGGTGCCGTTTGCTCCTATCGGGTGCGTGAGGAAGTTGTGCAGCGCCTTGAGGTGCTCCGTGAGCTGGAACGCCGAATCAATCTGGCCCAATGTTAGCCATGCGCCTTTGCATCTTGCAAGCGGCCATGCCCACCTCTGCAAGTTCTACAAGCGGAGGGCCCTCTGCCATGTCTGCCGCCTTGGTACCTGGCCGTATCCTTCGCTCAGCGGCATGGTCGAGGTTGCTGAAGGGCGTCTGCTGGTCTGATGAGGCTGCAATCGGCGACAGCTGGTCTTCAGGGATAGGTGGCGGGCTGGGAAGACGGGGTGAAGCGGGCGACGTCATGACGATACTGTTGAGAGCAATTGAGGAGCGGGCGTTTGTAAAAATAGCCTCACAATCGACGCAGTTAAGACCTTGGAGTGGGGTGTAGCGTGTTGTTGACTTTCGGTCTATCTGGAGCTGGCTGCCGACGCAGGGCACATGTGCAGGGATGCTGCCCCAGTACGCGACCGCGCTAGAGTCTTTGCGGGCCACATTTTGCTCCCCTCCGCACGACGTCATTGCTCGGTCTATCGGCTTGCACACAGTCTAGGGTGCATTCTCCGAGTCCTTTGTCTTTACGGAGACATTTGGAGGATTACTTATTTGCAAGACACAGCTTCGTAAGTACCAGTCGTGCCATGCTATGCTGTTTCTACCATTTGCAAATTCCTTGCGCTCACATGACCTATCTCTCACCTTGGGTCAATGCGCCTGTGCTTTGGTGTTTTTACATGTACTCTAACATGTACAATTCTGGTAATTGAACATACGGAAGATTTTTCTAACCTGTCACAGGTACATATACTCATAATCTTCCAACGGCTTACTCAACTCCTCAATCCCTATTTTCTACCCACTATTGCCTGAGTCACCATGAGTGCCGATGCATCGGACGACGAGGTGCCGAGTCTCATTGAACCAGAAAACCCCACCAAAGTCTTGAATGACCAAGATGATGAAGTTCCGAACCTGGTGGGCAGCTCAGACAATGCACCACAGAAGAAAGTTCCCATCACCATAGTCACTGGATATCTCGGCGCTGGCAAAACGACTTTACTCAACTACATCCTGACCGAGGAACATGGAAAGAAAATTGCTGTCATCCTTAATGAGTTTGGTGACTGTACGTATTCCCTCTTCATCACTCGAACTTTCGACTAACACGAGGATAGCAATCGACATTGAGAAGCAACTCACTGTTTCTGATGCAAACTCCACATCCGCCCAACCAGCCCCCTTTGTTCCCCTAGCAAATGGCTGTATATGCTGCTCCGTCAAAGACATCGGCGTCGCCGCAATCGAAAACCTAATGGAGCAATCCGGCCTCTTCGACTACATCCTGCTCGAAACCACCGGTCTCGCAGATCCGGGTAACATCGCTCCTATGTTCTGGCTCGACGACGGTCTCGGCAGCAGCATCTACCTCGACGGCATCGTCACCCTCGTCGACGCCAAAAACGTGCTCAAAAGCCTCGACGAAGGCCTCGGCGATGACGAAGAAAAACTCCAGTCGCAAAAGAACGCCCACCACGATGATCACCACGGCCCCTTACTCACAACCGCCCACCTCCAAATCAGCCACGCCGACGTCGTCATAATCAACAAAACCGACCTTGTCACCCCCGATGAACTCTCCCAAGTAACCGATCGCGTCCGCTCAATAAACGGCCTAGCCCGCATCAAAACAACAACAAAAAGCCAGATTCCAGACCTCCAGGGCCTCGTTCTTGACCTCCACGCTTACGATCAAGTTACAGAGGCAGATCTAACTTTTGCATCAAAAGGCCACTCTCATCTCGATCAATCCATCGCTACTTCGACAATCACGTTCCCCGCTTTATCTCGTGAGCAAGTAGACAAGTACGATTTCTTTCTGCGTACGCTGCTGTGGGAGGAGACGCTACCCAACGATGTCCCGCATAAACCGTTTGAGATTCACAGGTTGAAGGGACGGGCGCCTGTTGAGGGGGGTAAAGTGCTCCTGACGCAGGGTGTGAGGAGTATCTACGATACTAATGAGTTGGAGATTGATGCTGCGGAGGGGAGTGCAGAGGGGAAGTTGGTGCTTATTGGGAGGGGCGTGGAGCAGGAGGGGTTTGGGGAGAGTTTGAGACAAGTGTTGGGGTTGTGAACGAGAGAGTTCACACGAAATGTTGAAAAGGAAAATTTTTGTTTGATATATGTCTTCATATTCAACTTGCATTGCCTATTCTCAGTATGTGTGATTGTATGCAATGTCATTTTGCTTACTCACAACGGAAACTCTGTACCCTTTCGTCCCGCAAACTACTATATACAGTCCAACAAACGGAACGCCCTCCCGCCCTCCATCGGCCCGATTTGCATCCTGCGCGATAGTACGTGATTGGAGGAAGAATTCCTCAAACCCAACAACAAACCACTTCTGCTAAATGATTATCTTACATGCAAAAGGGACGGGAAGTGGAATGCTTGAGAGATAGACAAGCAGTTTGACTCGTACTGCGAGTTGGCACATACGACGGGACGATACAGGGATCCCGGTTAAAGGAATAAATGCTTGATTTGTTAGTTTTGTATGCTAAAAACAACCTTGCTACATACTATCAATGATATCTTAAAGATGCTCAAAACTGTCTCATGAATACTTATCAAGGATATAAATACAACCGTTGTGGCCCTGCTATCGATTATTACATGCACACCTATTTACGGTAAACTACTTGTACTTGAGTTGCTATTGTTCAGACACGAGTAGTATTGTTGTAATACTTTGATGATTTATAGAAGCTAACAAGTTACCTTGGGCTGCCCAGCATACCTGGACCAAGTCCAACACAGTTCCCTTGAAACACAGTTCCCTTGAAACACTGTTCCGCCGGAGACTGTAATAGCGCCTCGATACTCGGAGCCATTCTGTGTGATCCTTTGAGGCGAGTAGTGTGCTGGTGCTACTTACGTTAAGGGTAGAGGAAATGTCTTCCAGGGCAACTTTCTCGGCACTCGCTTTATCAGTAAGTCGCGCTCCAACGCTACTAGCACCTCGCAGAAATTCCATGCTTACATCGCGAAGGCTCCTCAGCGGTGACTCGACCTGATTTCGAGGGCCATTTCGCGCATGCTGCTTTCGAGCCCGCCAAGGCGTTCGTTCCACGAAGCAGCCTGCACGACCAGATACACGCGCAACTCACCCGCGCTGCTACAGACAACAGCACTAAGACGCTTGTGGTGTGGGGACTAGATGGGGCAGGCAAGACGCAACTGGTGCTAGGCTACATGTATAAGCATCACGTGGAGTACGATGCGACGTTCTGGATTGAGGCCGGGCGCAAGGAGTCGCTAGAGGGCGACTTTGTACGCCTGTACCAGACGCTGTTTGTGCTGCACACATCTGCTAGGGAAAGTTCGGAGACGACAATCCCGTGACTGGAGTGAAGAGCTGGTTCGCGGGTCAGCAAGGGCGGTGGCTGATGGTGTTTGACGGCGCCAATACAATTGAGGACGCAGAGGCAGACGGCTACATCGACATCAAGCACTTTATCCCCAGCGCAGCATATCTCGACGTCGTCATCACAGCTCGCAGAAGCAGGGCGAAATGTATGACGCATTCAGAGGGGGTGGAGGTGGGCGAGATGGAAGCAAGGCAGTCAGTTGAGCTATTTCAGAAATATGCTTGCACACCGCATGTTGATGCAACTGATAGAAATGAGGTTATGCGTATCGTTAAAAAGCTTGGGTGCCTGGCACTGGCTGTCACGCTTGCTACCACATACGTGGGGTCAACGCCGCGGCTGCAGAGCAACATCAAGGAGTACCTACACGAGTACCGGCTGCGACAACAGGAGCTGCTTAAACGTAAGTCAGAGAGCCTGGTGCACCAGTGCAAAGACAGCGTGCTGAAGACGTGTGAGACGTCGTACGCTGCCGTTTACAACCAGTGTCCCGAGGCGTCGGTTCTGATGACAATACTATCATTCCTGAGTTTCGACGACATGTATGTTGAGCTATTCTGTCCCGAGACTGAGCAGGGTGGTGTGAAACAAACAGATGAGACTGGCGTAAGCTGGAAGCGCCTGGTCTCGCCGAAGCAGCCAGTAACCAAGTAAAAGATCGAAGACTGGCTTGAGGAGCTGAAGAAGTACTCGCTCGTACAGTGAAAAGGTGAGCAGCAGGCCTATGTAATGCACAAGCTAGTGCATGCTTGGGGATACGAACGCCTCTCAACAGAAGAGAAGGGCAATAGTGTTCTTAGCCAAAAATACAACCGTGCAAACCTCGTTAGCTCTCCCTTAAGATTCAGGTGAGCCCTACAATCCAACTCCAGCATCTAGCCGTAGGTGGACAAAAAGCCCTAGCACGACTTTGCCGAAAAAAAAAGCCACGGACATAGATAATAACCATTATTCTTTGCTGCACGTTGTTATTTACTATAGCAAGCCTATTGAGCACAGCTAGTTTAACTGTCACCCCGACGGACAAAAACATAGGTGGTACTCCACATAGTAGGCCCCACCACCTAACTAAAATCAATAACACTTCAGAAAGTCAGTAGCTTTGAAGCTATATAACACCACCACCACCACCACCACCACCACCACCATATTTTAATTGCTACCTTTTTTCTAACGCGCACTATCCTCCCAATACACTAAACTTATATTAAAAAAAATTATTTTTATTTTTGCAAAAAAAATATAATTCTAGAAAGGCGTGGGTGAACGGTTACTGCTGACTGTATGTAAAAGCATACATCCATCCCCATTTTGGAGTATACACTAACTACCTATATTTTTTTCTTTGTCCGCGGGGGTGGACTACTACTACTACTACTATACATTCAAACGGCACGCAGTTCCCGCAAACCGCCATCGGCCCGATTCGCATCCCGCGCCATCCCCTTTGTTGATTGGAGGAAGAATTTCTCCAAAGCCAACAAATACACATTTGGCATCTGCTAAATGATTACAAAGGGAGGGGGGGAAAGGGAAATGCTTGAACGGGATTCCCCTCCCCCCCCCCCAAAAAAAAAGATAAGACAAGCAATTTGACTCGTAATATATTTTGTTAGTTCTGTTGCCGCGTGAATCCCATTCGTAGTGAGGGGGAAAGCCATACAGGCAGAGGTTGGGAGCCTAGGATATAGTACCAATGATGAATGTGTTACTTTATTACGTATAAAACTCACCATGTCCCCGTTTTCCCAAGTTCATACATATTAGCAAACAACAAAGGTGAGTTTCATAGTATAGTGATTAAAAAGATTGATAGTAGCTGGGAAAAAACCCCAATAATTTCCTAAAAGACATGATGATATATCCATTTCTCATGTCCACCCCAACTAAAAACGTTGTTCGTTGTCGTTGAGGATTTCATCATTTCAGCGAGTGGAATAATAGACCGATGCCACCATACAAATATTTATACGGCTTCCTTCTCGGTGCTGACAACCTTTGTTTCGTGCTCGACGCCCGAGGAGCCGTCTCCAGACAGAGCAGTGAGACCGAGCTCGCGGTTGATCTCGGCCATTCGCTCCTGGTCCTTGAGTGCGGTTCCCTCGCTGCCGAAAATGGTATCCATCTCCTCAAGTGTGAGACGCTTGGTCTCGGGGACGAGGAACCAGATGAAAGCTGCTCCGAGCGTAGTGACGAGTCCGAACAGGATATAAGTTCCGTATGTGATGCTCTTGAGGAGATCGGGAGTGATTTGACCGATGATGAAGTTGTTCATCCAGTTAGAAGAGCCACCGAGCGCGGTACCATATGGACGAGTGGACAGAGGCCAGATTTCTGCAGAGATCAATTAGTTTTGGTGTGCAAAATCATTTCAGACGCAAGATGACTTACCGGCAATCAGAATCCATGCACAAGGACCCCAGGAGTATCCGAAATGGATGACAAACAGCCAGACCATGACGACTGCAGCCCATCCGGCAGCCCTGTGGTTCTCGAAATCGTTGATGTTCTTAGCGAGAATGACGGCGATGACGAAATGGGAGAAGGCCATGCCTAGAGCACCAACAGCCAGAACAGGCTTGCGACCAAGTTGATCAATGTACAAGACAGCCGGAATTGCTTTGATCGTATTAGTGCTGTGATTTCCTCATGCGATCGAAAAGGAAACTTACTGGCAATGAACATGACGATTCCAACCACACCAGTAGCGAGGAGGGACGTGGTGTTGCCTACCAATCCAATCTGCTCGAAAATGACAGGAGCATAGTAGAGAACCTATTATCGAATCGAAATTAGCCAAAGTCACACAGACGAATTCCGTAGAATCAATACGTACAGCGTTGATACCAGTCCACTGCTGGAAGAACATAGTGACGGTGGCAACGACGACTCTCTTGAACATGGCCTTGGTCTTGAACAGCGAGGCAATGGCCACAAACTGGAGCTTGAAGATGTTCAGAGTAGTCTGCTCCTGGAGGTGAGGGAAAGACTCGGCAACAGTGCGCTTCTCAAACAGAGACTGTGCCTTGATTTCGAGGAATTCAAGCTCAATGAGCTCGTGGTCAATTGGCAGGTTGCGGAGAGATGCGAGGTTGTTGCGGGCCTCTTCTTCACGGTCGTGGTGCATCAACCAACGTGGGGAAAAAGGCATCCAGATCATTCCGATGAGGAGAACGAACGCTGGGACGAGTTGGAGGCAGATAGGGACGAGCCATGCTGCGTTTGACTGAGTCTCGAGAGTGGTGCCACCAATGTAGTTTGTTCCGTAGTTGATCCAGAAACTGACCATAATACCGAATGTGATGGCAAGTTGCTGGAGCGCGACGAGAGCACCACGGACCTCACTGTATCGAGTAAGTATGCTGTTTTTATGGTTTGCGTGGAATGTACTTACGGAGGCGCGCATTCACTGTTGTACATGGGAACGATGGTGGAGAGAGCACCGACACCTACACCACTGTGATTTTGTCAGTGCAAATGTTCAAGGCTATAGGGTTTATGCAGACTAACGTGATGAAGCGACCAGCGAGAATTTCCTCGTGTCCGCCGGCGATGGCAGTAATCTGAATGACAACACCGATAATGAATACAACAGTGGCGATCAAGATGCCGTACTTTCGCGAGGCAGCCTCAGCGATGAATCCGGACATGATGGCACCAAACCAAGCACCAAGTTCCAAGATGGCAGTCAACCATCCCTTTTTGGTGGCGTTGTCAGTATAACCGTCGGTTTCTATTGCGTGTCAGTGCGAGTATACATAGAACCGAATGGTAACTACATACGCTTTCCAAACGAAGGCATTTGCAAAATGCCACTGAACATGCCCTGGTTGTATCCGTAAAGCACACCACCGAGACAGGCAAACATAGCAATCAGGAAGACCTTTCCATTCTTGACAAGAGCCGCCGGACCACTCTTGCCCATGAGGGCTTGACGCCTTTGCAGCGCGACATCAAAGCCGGCTGAAGGAGCACCTCCACCAGCCATAGCGATAGTTGGTACTGGAAATGCGGGTGGTGTTTGGGAGAGGGCTGAGGAGAGGATGGCTGAGATTACCCCAGGTCATCGGAAATCTTGCCAACATGCGGTGCAGGCGCCATCTTATGTAGGATGCGGAGAAGGTGGCCTGCCCACATCACATATCATCCAGCACCCCGGTGATAGGATCATTGCAGCATGGAGCATATTGGTGCCACAATTATTCCCAGATCGGCGGGAGGCCATGACCGGTAGATGCACTTTAGCCCTTTAAGCATACCAAGGCTAAACGCCTCTTCGGCTGCAGCTTTGCAAGCAGTCAGACGAGGGCAGCAAGGCCAACAATTGGACACTAGCAACAATGTAATCCTCCGCGGTCCCCGCAATGCCCGTCCACCTATGTCGGTGTCGTACGCTCGGATCAGCGCCAGTGCCTCTTCCAGACGCAAATTAGGCTAAATGGCTGCCACTCCGAGCATCCTGGGCCGAGCAGAATAAGCTTTGAGGACGGCGTGCAACGGTCCTCATGGCAGATCCAATCCACGGCCCGCTTTCTGACAGGCGCGCGCCATGGGTTTCCAATCATGGCGTTGCCTAGGTGTTGTCTGTTGTTGGAGGTGGGAGGCCGAACGCCTAGCAATGGCTAAAAGGACATATTCATGTGAGCAACAACTAGACCCAACAATACTTGCCACTCGCAGTCATGCCACACAGCTGTCGGGCCTCGGAGACGACATGCGAACGTGCTTCTAGCCTTTTGCTCATCTTGAATTCCGTGGAGCAATACGACCCGACCCATCCATCTCCTAGTGTCGTGAAAAAGGCAAGGACATTTAAAATTGTGCCGGTGCACTTCCGAGTCAGCGGTACGGCGTTGGAAATTGCAGCAGAGGAAATCAAAAATCCCAGGGAATGTTCCGCTTACGCCAGAAATGATTTTAATATAGTTGATGCAGATGCAACGTGGGTGGATGATGGAGAAACGGGGGCCCACGGGGAAAAAGTATGTCGGCAGACCCTTGCGCACCCCACGCGTTTCTCCTTCCTGACGCGTCGTACCTTCCACAACTTACACCAAGCAATACCAGCACCCACACCAACACCGAGTAGCCACCCAAAGTACCGGCATCTTGAAGAATCATGGCTGTTACTATTTTTCAGAGGAAGAAGGACCTTGGGTACCTGGTCTTTTTCGTCATACATCTGCCGGTCATGCTGGGTAAGTCATGATTCATTTCATCTCTCTTCAGATGCCCATTGGGATCTCCTACCAGCATCACCCCGTGACACTAGTAGAAAAAGTACATTTTTCTCGTCTCACTGTTCTCAAAATCAAACATCCGCCGACTACACACCGCGTGGTCTGTTCAGCCCTGCCATCAACATGCTAGCATAAACCTCCCACGTTACACAACCGCAAAACAATCCCAAGGCAAAGGCCACACTCCCCCCCCCCTTTCAACCCCTCAACCCCCACTGTTCCGAGGAAATCATCCACAATCATCATCATTATGCACCTCCTTGCAAATCATCCCCCGGCTACCACCCCGCTAACCCTAACCCAGCATTCGATCTAACAGGCTTCTACCCCCTCTCCATCAAACCCACGTGGATGACCACTGTCCGCGAATGGTACGTCGCCACTTACGGTGATCGCTTCTTCTACGCCACTCCAACCTGGTTCTCCGTCGTCACTTTCCTCGAGCTAATCTACCATCTCCCCGTCACGCTCTGGGCTATTCCCGCTTTGCTGCGCAATGACCCGCGTGTACCTCTGGTGCTGCTGGTTTTTGCGCTCGAAACGAGTATAACAACGCTGGTGTGCGTTTCCGAGATGCTGAGCTGGGAGGAGTTGACTCCTGCGCAGAGGGGGCTGCAGGGGTTGGGCGGTATGTATGGCGGGTACTTGGTTGCTGGTAAGTCTGAGGCGCGTGGCAGGGGTGGTGGGGATGGTGATGCTGATAAGATATAGGTATTTTCATGATGCTGGATTGCTATGCGAGGTTGGATCAGATGATTGCGAGACAGCACAAGGGGTTGGAGCCTGTGACTAAGAAGAAGCTGTGAGCTTTATAGTCATATATTGTGTCAAGGATACGTATGCATTGTACGAAGCATACGGCGGGGTACTTACGAGCATGCTTAGGCTCTAAGTTACTTATCTTGTCTTGCAAGAGATATTGGAATAACTCGGTATTGATGCTAGGAAATGACTACACACGTCAAGCCTTGTGGCTTGCAAGTGGATAAAACTGCGACACCTAATATGGAAAAGAAGAGTATACACAACAAATCACTGTTCAAGAAATTAACGACATTTCGGTACATTTTACAATCTGACATTGTCCCTACGCCGTGTTCCACACAAGCATTCCAGAGAACGCAATGTCATCTTCAACTCTAACACCAATACGAGAACCTTGCAACGTATAATCCAACCCTAAACGCCATAACACACGAAACGCCGTTTTAATAACAAAAGATAGAAACAGTAAGACGTAACCCAGAATCCAGAAAAGAAATTCGTAAAAAAAAACAAGAGAAATACTCAGACCAGATAATACCTAGCCCCCGACCCACTGTTTTTTTTATAATATTCTTTCTTTTTCTTTTCTTCATTCACGCAAGTTAGTAAAACAAGCTAACACCCTCCTTCTCCCCCTCACTCTCCCCCCTCGCCAACTGCGCCAACCTCACCTTCATCGCCTTCCCAGCCTTATCCTCAAACTCCTCCCCAAGCCGCATAACGCACGTGAACAGGACATTCCAGCCATGCACACCCGCCGCATAAAACGCCTCGAGAACCGCAGCTTCGCGGCTCCCGCACTTGATCAGCTTGTAGATATGGCGACCTTTGTAATGCACTTGTGGCGGAAAGGTGTGGTCGGCGTCAAAGGTGCTGATGACTAGGCAGTAGACGAGTGGCATACTATCAGACTGCGCGAGACTAGTACTTTGGTACTGGGAGCCGCTGGAGCTAGCGGCATCGGTCCCGCGACTGACGTCGTCGAGTAAGGTAGTAAGAGCAGCAGAGGCCCATACCTTGGGTAGTTCAAGACTCAAAGGCTTTGCGTTGGGCACAGCAAGGACCTTGTCCTGGGGTGTTGAAAAGGGCTCGTCGTCACGCTTGGGGTGGTGCTTGGAGGAAGACGACTTGCTGGGCTTCTCGTACCAGATGCCTGTGTCTGCATGGCGGAAGAGCCACTCGTATTCTTGGTAGTCGGCAGCATAGGCTTGGTGACGCATTAGGAAGACGTTGCGTCGGAAAGGCACGATGCGGACTATGTGGCTGGAGATGTCGTTGGTGGGTACGCCGAGGGAGCGTGCGGGGATGAATTGGTGGGCTGTGTTAACTTCCCATTCTGGGAGGAAGGGGAGGTGGTCGAATGATGCTGGAGGTGGCGGTGGCGGTGGAGGAGGAGGAGGAGGAGGAGGAGGAGGAGGTGGAGGCGGAGGGGGAGGCTTCAAGTAGTTAGAAATTGGAGATGGCAAACGCAATACAGGAACATACCGATGGTTGGGAATATGGATTGAAAGAGGTATGGAAGGTCATAGCCTGCATGCTACTAGGTGGTGCTGACTATAGAGTATTTAGCTAGGTTCATGTGATTCATCAAAGACATCGTCAACTTACGGGCGGAGGAGGAGGTGGTTGTATAGCCTGGTATTGAACTGGGCTTATACGTTTCCCACCACGTTCTGGTATTCTGCGGCTTTCTGTACGACCTAAACCGTTTTGCTCGGTACCATTGTGTTCTCTTGTGAGGGGAGGCTCTGGGTTTGGATCGGTACTAGCTAGCTCTTTGTTTGCTTTTTTCACCCAGTGGTCTACAAATTGATCGTCCCGCTTCACTTCTGAGCTATGCCACCCGCCTTTCATGCCTGAAGGGTGTACCCTCATGGAGCTGTCTGTTGAAGCTGGACTCGGAGCTCTGCGAGGTGGCTCGCAATTCTCATGTCCACAGTTGTCGAAGCAGGTCGATCTGGCGGCGGGAGAACGAGGATCCCACGCAGGCTCTCGGTGAGGTTTTGCTTCGGGACCCTGCGAATCAGTCGGATTGCCCTTGATAATTGATGAAATTAAACTCATTGACGGACCACTCTCAATGAGAACTATGTCTTCATCCATGAAACCGAGGAATGGATTCAACAACCCTTGGTTTAGAGAGTGGTGACGAGAAGAAAGGCGTAGACTGTTCGGAGTTGGTATTTCAATGTTTGTAAGCAGTAGGTGGAGATTTGACACCGCAGAGGACGTGGCCTACAGTTCCCAATTAAATATTGGAAATTCGCGTTGTGGTTGGTCTTACGTAGGCTATTCCTCAACGAAGAAAACAACCCAGTGCTGAATAGGCTAGATAGCCCTATCTGTCCTATGACGATTGCATCCCAAGATGTACACGGTGAGGGAATTAACCCAGTGAGCTGGTAAGTGGGCTGAGCCCTACTATGGTCTTCCGAGGAATAATCAGGACACGTCAGTAAGCCCCACGTATTCTGAAACAATGGTGGCCTTCCTTTGGCATATGGCCATATTCAGAAGCGTTTTACAAGGCCGTCTCTTCTCAGCAATTTCCAAATCTGAGTGGAGATGGCTAAACTGTAGGTAGATCAATATTTTGAGGGCTTGCTGATCACTTCGCCATATTGGGGTAACCACAGATTTATTCCGGTCACACAAGAGCTAAGAACGCCAAAACAAAGCTGCAGATTTGCTTCATTCTGCAGAAGCTGGAATTTATGGGTAGCATACGTGTTACTGCCAAGGGCAAGCACTGTTGCCAAGTTGGTGTACAGGTTACTGAATAGAGAACTTATGCAGTGTAAAGTAACCCGAACTTCCTAGATGCAGCATACCCAACGTTCGGGGGACGGACCGGCTGCAAAGGAAGCTCATATGTGAGAAATTTGCCCAAGTGAGAATACATTAATACCTGTAAGCTCCGAGTGAGAGTGTTGGTAGTATTTATATCTAGTAAGCGATGTTGTAGCACCATCCAGTTTCAAACACGATATGGCTGTTTGGTCCTTCTGCTAAACGGGAAATCCTCGATCCCTGCAACAAACCGCGCTGTAATTTTGCCCGGGGAATTCATTGGATGATTGTAAGATCAAGGGAAAGGTAACGATCGCTATGTGTTATGCACAATGTGGCTCAGTCTAAGTTTCCACTAAGGCAAGCCAAAAAGTCTGGAGCTTTAGTTGCCAACACGGTGATTCATTAGCTGTTCACCTTCTCCACAAGTTTTGTGAGATGTCGTGTCAGACGAAATAGTCCGGCCGGTTTTCTTACCCACTGGGCAATTCCCGATAACTTGTAGCATTTTCCATAAGTTGAAATTTACGCCCTTTGGGGGATCTGAAGGAGTCGGATGACAATGCAGTGTGTAGCACATGTCTTAGGTGCGAATTCTGCAGGTTGCATGCATCTGCCGTTGCTACACCGCCTCGTTGTGTCATCTCTGGAGATAAGCTGGTCGGGGGAGCGAGGGTTAAGGAATAACAAAACATGCGAATATAGAGAGTAAATGGGGGTGAGAGGTAACGAATAACTAAAACTTGAGACCCACTCACATACGTGGCTGATGATACATAAGTGTATGTACACTACACATTGGTCATGCAAGGCACGGAAGCGCTAAGCGAAATGAGGCGACACAGGAGGATCAGTTCGATCTTTGCCTATGTAGGCAGAGGACTGATTTTGGGGCAACCAAAGAAACATGATGAGAGAACGCATGCCGTGTTCAAATGAAATTGCCTTATCTACGCCAAGGGTGTGTGAAACTGAAGCAAATCTCAGCAGCTCAATCATGATTGGAGAAGAATTGCAGACCATTTGCTAGGGATGTGGTAGGTGCAAGTTTCCTGCGTGAACCAAAATTGATCTACAACAGATGGTTACACGATCTACAGAAAATCTCTCCGCAATAATGGTGTCCCGGGCCTCACTCTAAGTGTAGAATGAAGCAATGGGACTGTCGGCCAACCATAGTGCTTCCGTTGAACACCCTATGGTGCTGAAATGACCGGATGTTGCCTACATCTTAGACGAACAACATGTCTACCAAACACCCGTACGGTTCCGATATTGAGTAGTGGAGTGCGAACATAACCAAAGTTGTTTGTTTAGCAAGTGACAAGACAGGATACAACCACCACATGCACATGCACGGATAGGGCTAGTGCGCCAAGCACTTCCGATGCTTGAAGGTCGGCGTCATCGTAGCTCCCCAAGCTCACGTACGACTCCACACCGAAGCCATCAGCCCCGTCGCCAGCTCGTCGCCGCACGCAGCTTTCTAACGACCTAAACTCGTACTGTTTCGCGTCGATAACCCATCGCATCACCTCCCTACAAGGAACAGGCAACCCACGCGCATCCCCAACCAAACCGCAACCAAACACATCCAACAATGGCGAACGGGTATATACCACCCATCCAGACCCATCCTATTTAAGCAAGAACAGGAAAAAACTAATGCAAGCAGCTGGGCCCCCATTATCGGCCTCATCGTTGTCGTTATCTTCTGCGCCGCAGCCTGGGTTCTAGCGCCAAAGGGCGAAAACCAGACGTACGTTTACCGCACCATCCCCTCGTCAAAGACGGTCTCGACGCCATCCAAGCCCTGTTTGCGCACCAAAGTCTCGTCGCAGCATCTCGGTGCTGCTGCTGCCGTCGACGACCAAGACGATAATGATAGGAAGCTGCACGGCGGTACACCGGGGACGAAGCGCGTACACTTTGCATATGATGGCGAGACATGCGCTGCGTATACTGCTGCTGCTGCTGCTGCTGATGAGAAGTCGACTTGAGAGCGAGAAGCTAGTACAGCAACAGGAGCATCGGTGACGGCAACGGGGCGGAGGCAGATGGGGAAAAGGATACTTTTGGCTGACTTGGCTGCGAACAGGGTTTGGCGATCTACTCTTGTACTTTCTGCGGCTGCCATGTACATCATGTGGGCTATTACTTTCCTTGCACAGCTTCATCCACTCATTTCGCCCGTACGAAACGACCTGCGACCGGAGTTAAACGGGGGACGCTAAAGGGTAATATGTGTGCAATCATACGTATGGGGGAATACCGTGGCTCAAGATAAGCTGGAGCGGGCAATAAGGAGTATCAACATATGCTGAGAGGCTGCGTTATACAAGAACGAGCTTTATGCCGAGGAATTGTACCGAAAGGAGCTCGACCTACACGGTTGATGCTGAACATGTGGAATCTCGCGCGCGTTTGCACATTTGGTTTGGCGCATTACGGAACACCTTCTTCTTTGCTTTTAGGCGTGTACGAGTATCAAACGGGGTATCATACCATTGCTTGAAAATCCACCGACACATGCGTTTCCAGCTTGTGACCTTTTTGTCAAGACGAACTAATCGCATTGCTTGCCCACCCCCACAGCGTGCTAGCTACCGTCCATTCACTCAAATACCCTTCCCATCCTGTCCCCAGCCCAGCCGCCCGCAGTATTGACCATCCCACAAGCATTCTCATACCTGCCCCAACACCCACCAGTATCCCCGCTCTAAAATACCCACAATCCATCAAAATCTCCAGCGCCGCAATATTATTCACAATAACCGCCCAACTCACCGCCGTCGCCGAACTAGGCAAATCATATTCCCACACAATAAGCAGTATAGGAAAAAGCTTCGTACAAGACGATACCAGCAGCGCTGTTGACAGCGGCGTCGGGTTCGGAAAATACGCAATACACCTCTGCCACAGCCTCCTCAGCACACCAGGCAAACCAGCAGGATTATATGCGCACAGTAGGCGAATCGGCAAGTGAAACGCCAGCGTCGACAGCGTGACCAGGCCCAGAAAAAACAGATACTGCAGTCCCAGCGGATACGCCTGGAGCACCATTGCATTCGTCACGCCGCCATGCGGGGACCCCAGCGCCGAAGCATTCGGCGGTGCTGTAAAAGGGGATAGCAGCAGCGAATCGGCTGGAAGGGGGATCTTCTCGATGCGCGCCCATGTAAGGTAGACGTCGAAGAGGAGGAGGAGGATGCCGAGGCGGAGGATGGAACGCTATGAACACTCTGTATCAGCATATACTTTAAGACTCGCAATCACCATTGATAATCCAGGTGTTTATATGTATATGTAGATATGTGGGTAACAAGGAAGGGGGAAATACATCAAACCTATCATCCCCCCTCTCCAACCGATTAAACAGCAAATGCCGGTACACCTCCGCCTTGATCAGCACGAGATCAATGAACAAAACGACAAAGTCGTGCTCAACGTATTTGTCGGCGAATTTCTTGCAATGCGGGCATTGTGTTAGGCGGACGCCCTTTCCGAGGGCTCGGTCGTCGGCTTTGGAGTAGGTGGTGTAGAGGGTGCGGACGGGGGTGCGGCAGGATATGCAGATGGGCATTGTTTCCGGGGGAGTTGCGGCGGGAGGTGGGGTTTGGTCGTGGTGATATGTTCGGGATGGATGGATGTGGGGTTCACATTGTGTGTGGGTGAGGTTAGAGCCGAGGAGAGCTGTTGTAACGAGTGTTGTTATTGTGTGTTGTAGAGGATGGTGATGATGTTCGGGGAAAGTGGCTTTGGCGGGGATTAGGGTGGAGCGAGCTACTTATGTCCGATGCGCTCACATTATCATCTCTGGCATTCCCGACTTCAAACCACCATCATTCCTTCCAATTACGATATCTTTGATTCAGACAAAAAATGAGTTAGCTTGGATTGTGATTCTGTCGGCCTCTTCTTTATTTCCTGAGAAAAATCTTGCTGTAACCACACTCATGCTTTTGACGCCAGTGTCCCCTCCCTATACTGATGATACACCTATTCAACGCCTCGCGCTGCAAGAATGGTAACACAAAAAAACACAAATATACAATCATCGTTCCCGTATATCTTTGCAACTTGCCAATTGCATTCCCTCCGCCATATAGACATTTAGCGAGCAGCTTCCTCGACAATAGCGTTGACATCGCGGGCCCTCTGAATCCATGCCTGATCATCCATATCTCGTCCGAGAACATCGCTGCCCAGGATGATGCGCATAACATCAGCCAATCCAATTGCGTTCTCAGGTCCACTAAATAGCGCGCCTGTTCGCCGGCTGACGGTGGCCCATTGCTCGATGAGGTAAATGATCCACTTGACGAGTAACTTGCGGTTACGGCCTGCGAATGGCGGTTCCTGCGCATACCATAGTGCCTCAAGCGTAGCGACCAGGCTCTCGAACGGCGCGTTCAACTTGAGGAAAACGTCAATTGGCCACGTAAGGTTAGCATTCAGCGCCAAGTTCTGAGCGTTGGGCGCGTTGGCGTCATGGACATAGAACTCCAAGTCATACTGCAGGACTAGCTGCAAAACAATATTCACAGGGAACACGTTGTCGTTGAGGTTGGTGCGGTGGCCAAGATCCTGGACTTTCAGTGAGACAATCTCCCAAGGCGCGGCCTGGCGGTCGGCAACAGCGTTCCGGTGGGTTTGGTCAATCAGGTTGGTCCACGTTGAGCGAATGTCCGGTACGCTACGGTAATCGGCAGCATGGTAAATGAGGAGGCAGATATCGTAGTAACCTGCTTGGTCGGCGTAATCGTGGTAGAGCTAGGGCATGTCAGCAAACGCGTCTTACATATACCAAAAAAACTCACCTCATCGAGAGGATGGATTTGGCCATTGAGATGCTCAATGACGTCTTCCCTCCGCTTTCCAACAAGTCGCTCGTCGCCCTTGATACGCTGCAACACATCGTCTTGGATATTGGCAATGTCAAGATGATCGCTGATGTTTCGCAGCAATTCTTGCCTGGTCTGGCGGTTGCGTACTCCTGTTTCCGAAAAGCCAGTCATACGCGTCGAAGCATTCGCCTTGGCCCGCGACAGGTATTCTATCCTCTTTTCTAGCGTCAAGGGTAAGGTGCTCTTCGCAAGCTGGAACTGTGTCTCTGCCGCACTTAGGTAGTCGTTGTAATGAGCGTAGTAGCGCCACAGCAGATCCGCGTGAGCTAGGTTCGTGTCAGAGCTTTGGCGCAAATAGTCGACTACGAATGGAGAGTTGATCTCCAGCAATCGCTCGGCCCATCCGTTTTGCATGTACCAGTCGTACAGATAGTTTTGGAAGACTTCGTCGTCCGAGTTGTTGATTTGCTCGTACGCTTCGTGTTTGCGACGAGTAACCTGTGAAATAACACCATCAGGTACAGGCCCTTGGGTATTAAAGGCATGATCGACAGCCTCGATCACGTTGCAAACGAGGGTGTAACAAGAAGCGCGCTGTTCATAAAAGTGACGTCGTGGGTCGCTCGCATCGCCGACGTGATCACGGGAGTCCCGTACCCAAGACAAGGCTTTGTTACCTCGGTCCCACTCTTGAGCAACTTTGAGGGCAAGTCTGATGGCACCTAAATCGTGTGTGTTAGAACAATTCGAAAATGTACAAGTCTAGTCAGCTTACCAGCATAGAACTCAAGCTGGATGTACTGATCAACAGTGGCGGCCAAGTTCTCATAGCTCAGGCTCTTTGCCACTTGTTCGAACAACCTCAAGCTATCATTGAGCAGAATACGTCCACGCTCAGCATTTGCACCCATGTCAGCTGCCTTCTTCAAGCTCTCTTGAGCCTTGAAGATGACCACATCATCTGAACTACAGAAGCTGCCACACTTCCTCCTGAGGGCCTCAGCAACTGACTCAACATTTGAACCTTTAGCAATGTTACGGTTGACAATAGCCTTGACCAACTCCCTGGCAATCTCCCTGCCCTCTTTGATGGAGAAGAGGCCCTGGAAAGTGAGTTGACGAACTCTTGCTTGAAGCTGGGGGTCTGCTAGTAGGGCCAGAATATCCTCCAAACGCTCCTCGAAGAGCACGAGAACAAAAGAGATGCCCTCGACAATGTTGTTAACCATTTGCAACAGGCTAGTGAGCGCTCTGTTCTCGCCCTGAAGCTCGACCTCTTCTTGCCGCGATGTTGCACGTCCCAAAGCCTCTGGGCCAGCCAATCCTTCGATGAATGACTTGTTCGATTCCAAGAATTCCTGAAGTTGAGCCAAACAACGCTGTACCTCCTGCAACTTGGTGATCTTGTGAGTCGAGGTAAGAGCCGGTCCAGTTGGAGTGGCGGTCTCGGTGATGATGGGAGTGTTCCAGATCGATCGAACAATGCGCGCAACGTACATTGCAATACCATCGTGTCGTGGTGACGCGCGGACGTTCTCTACGCTCAGGCCTTCTACAGTCGCACTCTCAGTGAGATGCGCCTTGCCGCCAAACTCGATGAACACCCTACGAGCAAAATCAAGCACTTCGGGATCCGTGACTTTGGCGATCCTTGAATCTGGTCCAACATCTGACCCTTGACCGCAAGCAACAGCCAAAGCTGTAGCTGAAGTTTCGGCTAGACCATATTGCTTTGCGAGCTTACGAATATCAGCTTCAGCGCCCTCTGGGCCTCCACTCTTTACAATGGAAGCAAAAATATCCACTAGTCTTCTGCGTCGAACAGTTTCGATACCGTTCGATGTGATGATGGCGTATTCGCACAGCGGCTTGTCAAACTGGGTAGCGAGCTCGTTGCCAAAGCCGAGAGGTTCGTTCCTTGCCGAGAATGGTTCAGATACCAGGCCGATGTCTTGTACTCTTCCTACGAGTTCTGTGAACAGGCCAGTTTCGGTGTATCGCGGAGGTTCTGAGCTTTCCCTTTGACCCAATAGTCCAGAATGGGGCGCGGAAACAAACATGTGATGGTTCGGGTCGTTTGGCGACCTAAGGACGAAAGAGAAGAAGGCACCAGGAGGGTATCTAATTCCAAGTTTAGTTTCTCTCAGCCACCTTGATTCAAAACCGACTGTTGTGCCTCCTTGGTATGGCTGTACTTGGGTCGAATTGCTCTGGGCCGAGGGCTGGCCGTCGTTTGGCGGGAACCGAATGTGCCGTAATTGCATGCTACTTGGCGCACTTGTGTTGTTTGCGCTCCATTGTCCTCCAGACGTTGTGCTCAGATACAATCTACAGCCTGACGATGTGATTGCCATTAGAGAGAGATTGTCTGCCTCTGTGCTAGAAATGGGACTCAGACTGACAATCTGCATCTTGTCCAGCACGCCCGTCGGTCGTACAATGTGGCCACACATGGTCTCAATCTGTGTGCGTGTTCGAGTCAATGCGCTCTCCAAAACGTTTGGAGCGCGCATGTAGTAGACCTTGATGGTTCCGTTGGTGGAGAGCGTGTAGAGAACGTTCCGGGTGTCGTCAATGGCCATCTGCTGGATACCAGCTTGTCGCGTCGTCCCATAGAATGGCAATGCCGGTAGGCCGATAGAGGTGGTAACATGGTTGGTCTTGCTGCATTTACTGGAGAACCACTTGTCCTCTTGTTGGTAGTTGAGCTCGTATACGTCCTCGGTCTGTCCATCACCAAAGAAGATGCGCCCTGTCGTGTCTGAGCCAGCGATTGCAGTCACATTGATCTTCCTGACTGACGTCGACAATCCTGTCCGGTACATTGTGATGCCATGCACTCCCTCAGACCCCCGTTGACACTCTACAGCAATCAGAAAAATGTCCGATACGGTTGCGACGACAAGGAGGTATTCGATGGAGGGCACGAAGACACCGGCACGCGGCTTGACCAGCTTCACACAGGTAATATTGCTGGGTTGCTCTTCAAAACCAACGAGCTCGGGGTTCGGGTGCGTGTAGTCCCAAAGGTAGACCTGGTTGTCAACTACAACCCAGGCGTGGTTGATCTCAGCGAACAGGCCCATGCTTGTCGACATTTGCGTATGGTCCACCTGCTCGAAGACGGCCTCGGGGAGCTTATATGACCGCAGTTTTTGAAAGGGCGCCCATGCCGGACCACTCGGTATCTCATATTCACCAGAGATGCCCTCTGGACCATTTCATTAGCATCTCGACAAGCCTGTTCTGCTGCTGCCAACTACTCACGTCCAATGTATGCCTCGAGGGCAGGGAATCTGCTGTCTCTATCCAGCATGCTGTTTATAGTCCGCGATGCGCGATCGATGGGACTTTCTGCTGGGGGTGCAGGCAGCACTTGCTGTTGCTGCTGTTGCTGCGACTGTGGTTGCGACATGGAGCCTCTCTGTGCAAAGCCAGGTCGGTTTGGAGCCGGCGTGTTGACAAAAGCGCCGGGAGTAGGTCGCTGCGGCGTCGCAGGTGCCATTTGAAAAGCCATGATGGGCAGTGTTTGTGTCGTGTTAAAAGGCTACGCTGCGCTGGTCGCGGCTCGGGGAAGGGCGAGCTTCAGGTGGAGGTTGGGGGAACGCGCCGAGAATACGACGTGCACATTAGCTGCGCGCTATTACTGAGAGGGCTAAAATGGCAAGGAGACGCGCAAAGAAGAAGATTAAGCAAGAGGATTGGAGCGGTTCGCGACGCTGGGTCTCGGGTACAAGCTGCAAAAGTGACGAGCGACAACAAAAGGTTGTGCTTGGCAAAAGACCAGGATCAGTAGTCGGACTAGTTGGGTCGCTCGCGTCTGAGCGCGTTTTTTGTCCCCCCAAACTTTTTTGGTCCCCGTCGGCCATTGCATTGTCCAACCGACGACGCTGTTTGATACAGTCACTGGCCTTGTTCAAAACTACATCCACCGGCCATGTCGCTCTTCCGTACTACACTGTTGCAGAGGCAGCTCTTTGCTCCTGCTCGCATTACATGCATCCGCTATGCGTCTACTTCGACGCCGGAGAACATTGTGCTCCCTCGCCTACAGACGGATCTCAAAATCGCCATGCGGTCCAAGAACAAGCCTGCGTTGAACACGATCCGTGGACTGCAGGCCGAGATCATCAATGCCTCCAAGACGGCCAAGCCCATCACCACTGACGGCGCCCTCTACTCATTGGTCCAGAAGCAGATCAAGGCTAGTTCAGCATCCATTGAAGAATTCCGGAATGCCAAAAGGGAGGATCTGGTCGAAAAGGAGCAGCAAAACTTGGACATCCTCAAGGCGTATGCCGACGAGATTCCCACTGTCAGCGAGAGCGAAGTTGACTCGCTGGTGAAGAGCGTGGTGGAGGGGCTGGAGGAGGGCAAGAGGAACTTTGGCAGTGTCATGGGCAAGATCATGGGAGCGGTCAAGGGCCGGCCACTTGATGTCGAGTACGTGACGAAGAAGATACAGGAGGCTGTGGGGGCAAAATAAGTCAGGTGACGATGCTATTACGAACAAAACGGCCGGACGACTTGTACGAGTACTGTATGTGTATGAAACGACATAGATTGCAGACACGGCTCTTCATGGTGAAACGGGGCAGGCCGAGACTCGACTGGGTTTCCATATGCTGAGGATGTGTCTTGGACAGCAACGTTTGTCCGAATGCTGCATGTATTGATGCCCCATGGTAGTTGGGTTCGGTAGTATCCGTGTGTGAGCTGTGGGGACGGGGCAGTGGCGACAGGCAGTTCTGACAGACAGTTCTGACAGATGGCTGTTCGCCGTCTAGCCGCCGCCGTGAGCCGACGATAGATATTCCATTGGGGTTGTGGCTGAGAGGGGGCTAGTACTGGGTAGGCGGATGACTGCGCCGCGGCTCACGTGCATGCCCGGCCAATCTTCCAAGGTTGGTGGTCAGTATGACGTCACTGACAGCCAACAACCTCGTTGCTCATCCGGCCAACATGGCTGCCATCCAATGCTGAGCATATTCACGGCCTGCCTGTAAGGATAGCCTGACATGACCCATGCCTCTGGAGTGAAAGGACGCGGTTCCTGTCTCTGTTTGACCTCATGATGCGGCAGCCAATGCAGCCATGCCCGCAGCACAGCCGACATGCCCAACGATAGCGCCCAAGTCTTGTGCAGCTCCCATGAAACTGCACGACGAGTAACGCAGTGACAAATAAGGGACTAAAAAGTCTCCAGGGGGACATGGCATCCACCCATGGCACGGTCCAGCGACCAGGCCAGAACGCAACAGAAAGGCCTACATGGGCGGGCGCCGATGACGAAGCCTGTCGCGAATCCTGCATCCATAGCCGGCCGCACCCACACCCTCCCTCACCTTCGCTGTCCAGACCATCTAGTGCCTAACTCCTTTATAATCCTGCTAATCCACTTCTCTTTTCCCCCTCCCATCCTTTGCGTCGTTGACTTGGCTCTCGAGTACACACTCTCGTTACGTGTAGCCGACCCTTGACCTGGGACACACACACATACATCTAAAGACGATAGCCCCGCACCATTCCCTCTCCCACAACGTCATCGCCCGCAGACCAACAAGCCACACAATTCCCCTCAACCATGTCTGTCTATCGCTCCTCGACTGGCAACTTGGATCGCTTTGAGGAGCCACCTCGTGGTGGTGAAAGATGGGACCGCGACAGATTTGAGCGTATGCGACGCGGCGGCGGCGGTGGTGGTGGTGGTGGTGGTGGTAGCAGCGGCAGTGTTCGTGGTCGCCCCGATGATTACGAACACTATCGCTACCAAGAGCACGACCGCTACCCTGGAGGCCATCGTGATGTCGACATCCATGAAGATCGCGCCCGCCGTGGCCCGGCTGTCCTAGAAAGAGAGCGTTTCCACGAAGACGACCGCTACGACCGCCCTCCGCCGCGTCGTGCCCCAGCCGACTTGTTCCATGAGCCCACGCCGTCCGAAATCGCCAACCAGGCTCTCGCACCCTACCGCCGCAGGTCGGTCATTGACAGGGACATCGACATTGATATTGACATCAACGAACGGCGCCATGTTGCCCGCCCACCTAAGCCCTCCCGCCCGCAGTATATCCGTCGTCAATCGTCCCTAGACACTTTCGATCGCCGTCCCGTGCCTCGATATGGCGATGTCGAGAGAATCGAGAGATATGAGACCCACGAATACCGCCCACCGGCCAATGTTCCCATCCCACTGCCCATCCGAGAGCGTCGCAGGTCACCTCCCCGCCGCTTCCATGATGAGGACGATTTTGAGGAAATCAGGTTCGACGACCGCAGCTCAAGGGGTCGGGAACGGGAGGACTACCGCGAAGTCGAAGTTCACCGCGAGAAGAGCAGAGTACGACGAAGCAAGAGCACTGCCGCAAGATCGACACGTAGCTCTTCGATTTCCAGCTTCGAAGAAATCCAGCCTTCCCGAGCAACCTGGGGCAAGAAGGGCAAGACAAGACTCCCTAAGCGTCTGGTCAAGAAGCAAGCCGTTATTGATCTCGGATATCCGTATGAAGAAGAGGTGCGTTATTCATTTTTATGTTTGAACTGTTCCTGACTTTCATAGGACGACTTTATCATCGTCACTCGGGCGCTTGAGAAGGAGCACATTGACGAAATCATCAAGATCAGTGAATCTTACAAAGAAGGTACGAATCTCATACCCATCTCAAGGCCTCGTCTAACAATCTACAGAGAAAATCACGTATGTTTACGAGGAGAACGTGGAAGAACATCCACCACCGGCATCTGTTGCGCCGCCAGCATCAGTCGCACCATCAGTTGCACGGCCAGCATCCGTTGCGCCGCCCCCACCACCACCTGTGGTTGAAATGCCTCCTCCACCACCGTCCGTACACGCACCGCCTCCACCTCCTCAGGTCGTGTATGCCCAACCTCCCCCACAAGTCATCTACGCCCAGCCGCCCCCATCTCACCATGCTCCAACCGTCTACGCACCATCAGAGCGTGCTCCATCTCCATCAATCCACGAGCACGAGCGTTACGTAGAGATCGACCGCTCAGCTTCTATCCACGGCCCAGCCACCGCCTTCCTCCCTGAAGGCCGCCAAATCGTCCGCCGCGACGATCGCCGAACCGAGCGCGAGATTCGCGAAGAAATCCGCTCGCTTGAGGAAGAACGCCGTATGCTCAAGTATGAGCGCGAAGGTGACCGCGAGTACGAATTCGTTGAGCGCGCTCCTAAGAGGGAAGTCATGCGTGTCGACAGAGACCGAAAGGGTAGGTTAGCCCTTGTTCGCTCGGCCCATTAAAGAACCACTTCGTTGATATGTATTTTTCCACGGTTATAGTTGTCATCAGAAAGGATCGGCCCAACCCTAAGATCGTGGCCCTTGCTATGGGCGCACTTTCTTGAGCTGCGTAGTTCGACACTCGCTTTCTCCCACCCACGCTGGAGCTGGAGACACGCCTTTTTAATGATATCCCGACGAACTCGGACAACCCTTTTGGAGCTTTCTGGAGTAATGATGGGCTATGATATTTTTCACGATTTACGGCTAGATGTTGAGAGATTCTCTTCCTTTCTCCTTTGTATATACCACGGGGTTTCTTTTCTTCTTTTTCTTACTCGGTTGATCCGAATGGCGTACACGATAAAGGTGATGCTCATAACAGATGTCTCCGACATGTCCAGAGATAGCCAAAGACGAAATTTGTGTACGATTAAAGAGAACTTTTAACGAATATCATGAACATCGATGATTAATTATAACGATTTGCTACATGATTGACCCACTAAATGCATTGTTCTACGAGGGCCAAGCGAACAATATTAATGAAGTAAGGTTGTGAGATTCACATGCCATTTTGTACATTGCTAACACACCAAATGAAGACAATAATGTATCTATCCTGCCCATTTTGTGAAACAAGCATACCATGACTATACGAAAATCTCCAAAAACATAAGTTCCCCTATTTTCAGCCGGCAATATATGCCTCAATCATAGTGATGAATCATACCCAATCTTACAGTATATCTCTCCAGTCACCACAACAACAACCACCCTACCTACTCACAACGCCCGCGGATCAACCTCAACCACCGGCCCCGTATACGACTTCTTCGCAAGCAGCACATAATACAGTACACTAAACGCCGCCACACCCCCCGTCACGACCCCCGCCCAGTTCATACTCTGCAAATCCGGATTCACCTGCGTAGGCCAGAAGCTGAAGAAAATAATGAGGCAAAGATACACAATCGCTATAGCATTGTTCGCTACGCCCAGTGCACCGCGGAGGCGCCAGGGGCCCCAGGATAACCTCTTTTCTTGCACTTCTGTTTGTGTTTGCGTCTCCGCGTCGGCTTGCATCGCTGCGCCAGGGCCGTCGTCGAGATCGCCGCGGAGACGCCGCCAGAGGAGTAGCGCGACGGCGAGTAAGTAGGAGAGGTAGAAGCCTTCGAGGACGAGTGAGATTGTGCCGTTGAAGGCGATGCTGCTGCCGATGTTGATGAGGGCGAGGAGGGCGGCGAAGAGGGTTACGATGAGGATGGAGATGACGGGGATGGTGCTGCGTTTGTCAATCTGTTTTTTTTGTGAGTTTACATTTTATGCTGAGAAGGGGCAACGACGACGTACCATGCTTAAGGCTCGCGAAAAGGGCAAGCCGCGGTCGCGTGCAAAAGACCATGTCATGCGTGATGCGGCGGCTAGACAGCCCATTGCGCTGCAGAATTCGAGCAGCACGATAATAGAAACCATGACTGTGGCGCCGGCTTTTGAGCCGACGGCATGTTGAAATATGCGGAGGAAGGGAGCGGTTTGGGCGTCTTGGTCTTGGAGTAGGTGCGGGATGTCATCGGCGCTGAAGAGGACGGCGAAGAGCATGCCTAGGGCTAGGGTGCCGTTTATAGCGAGACTGAGGAGCATGGAGCGGGGGACTTCGGTGCTTGCGTTTTTGACTTCTTCAGACATCTATTTTTGCCGTTATCAACATGGGAAGTGTTGGGATGTTAGGTCTCACTATACTTACGTGAACGACAGAGTCTGTTCCGACAAAAGCCAAGGCATTACCTTGTAGACCGACGAAGAACGCCAACGTGTGGGTGCTCCACGCGCCATCATTGTGGAATTTCGAGAAAATATCTTTGGCCGAGTTGTGTGCTGGCGTGAGGTAAACCAGCGGGATGAGGATGCCGAAGAAACCAAGGATATGTACGATCAGCACAAGAACTTCGATGGTGGGTAGCGCACCGCTGATGAATACGTTGATGAAAACGCAAAGGAGCAGGAGAGCCCATAGGAGGAGCGTGCCGTGCCACCCTTCTCGCGCATAAGTCCCATTGACGTCGTTCAAACTGACGAGTTGTAGGATGAGGTCGGCAACAAAGTAGCATACGGAAGTTAGAGCTGCAATCCATCCAATTACCGTGAGCCAGCCTACAAGAGTTAGAAGTTTGCTGGAAATGTTCCAGGAACCGAGCTTACCTGTCACATAGCTGAAGAACTTGTTGCTTGACCTTGGTGCCAGCAGCGACACCCAATGGTATTGACCTCCAGCCGTGGGTACCGCACTAGCCAGCTCCCCAATGCAGATAAAGACAGAGAAGTTACCGAGCCAGATGAGGATGAAGCCGTATATAAGACCGGCAGGTCCGCCGCTAAACCACAACAATCAGTTCGCCGTCAAGTATGCAATGCGTAACCAAGGTGTCTTACTTACTTGTTGAACCCTATTGAGAAAACACTACAGCAGCTGGCGTCAGCATAAAGATATCTTTTTCATATTCGATTTCACATAAGCTTACACGAGCAGCGTCTCCCAAGTACACATCAAGCCGCATGATAGACCGGTCATTGATACCAATCCAAAGCGACGCTGTCATGAGTTAGATCGGAATATGCACAAATGCTTAGTAGGCCATTTACCTTCAACACCTGCTCTTTTCCCACTCTCGCCAACTCATACCTATCGCGATCGAACTCCTGGCCCTTAGATCCCGACACCAGGTGTCTCTCTCTCGGCCTTAGCACACCCTCATCGTCGAAATTCTGAAGATGGATCTGCTTCTCCATGGCGCCAGGAAGCCGCGATAGACCAGGGCAAACGATCCGCAGCAGCCGACAAGAGATAGACGAAAGATAGACCAGAAAAGAAGTTAACAAAGCAAAGTTCGCACGTAGGTACCGTATAACCCCACTAAAATCTGCACACCAAACGTTAAGTGAAAGTATAGAAGTTCAACTCCCACTCACACCCAACCCGCACCCAGACCGTCCCAGAAGAAAAGAGACCGCCAAAACTCACACTCTAAGAATTCGCCCCTACTAGTCCTAAAAGAAAAAGAACCACGGATTCGTCACACAAAGCCAAACTATATCCCCCAAATGCAGCCCAATCTCAATCCACGTCCTCGCTCTCTCGCAAAACCAGCCACTAAACCGCAGCAAGCAGCGCCCATATGCTCGTTGCAGCGCGTGTCGGGGGATGGGCTAAACGGCTGAAAAGAGAGCGCGAAAAGCTGGGAAGTAAAAAAATGACACACCCACGTACATACACCCATACACGCACACACGCACGCAGCTCTATCGGTCCCCGTCAGTCACCGGCTCTGCAGATAACTTCTCTTTGCAAACTACCTAATTTACTACACCACAAAAAAATCCTTTAATAGAAAGGGGAATAAGGGCGAAAGTGAATAAAAGAAAGAGGTAAAATGGAGTACGTAACATATGAGTGTGTGAGAGTGTTTGCGTTAAAGCCGCGCAAACGTAATGGTCTCCGTTCGTACCGTACCATACAGAGGCTGGTTGCAGTGACGGCGGGTACTCGACATATTACACTGCAGAAACACCCCCCCTGCTGACGCTTTTGGGGGCTACAGGGGATGTGATTGGTTGGCTGGGGGAAGCAAATGTGCGGAATACGATGGTGGGTGGGGTTGGTGCTGGGGGGTGGATGCGGAATGCGGTGGTGTGCATTGTGGGGTTCCTATTTGAGTAATGGGCCGAGGAATTTTTTTGTTCCGGCGTAGGAAGAAGAAACGATGTGTAGTTTGGTCGTTTTTTGAGAGGGTTAGGGCTGGTATGGGGGGTTGCAGCTGGGAGGAGGGAAGGGCCGGGTTCTACTACGGACTGTGCAGGGGTATCTTGGGAGAGGTGGCATATGCTTAGCATGGTTTTCTTGACTACTACTATACTACATGATGTTCTAGAGGTGAGAAACATATCCTACTCGTCGTGCAACTGCAACCTCACCCACGATACATCATCGTGGTCTGGTTAAGCTAAGAGGCATATACTCACTAGTTACAGCTACTAGTAGCATAACAAACGTCGACCGTAATACCAGTGTCATTCAAGCACTCGGAACCCTCCACAAACCTCAAAGTAGCACAAACATGAATCAAGATTTCCAACTAAGCATCTCGATAGCTCAGCATGAAGGGAACCCAGATCCTGTTAAACGCCACTCCCCACCCACCCATAGGCACCCCATTCCCCACGTAGAAAAGCCTCCCTCATACAACCCTCGCACACAGAAACCATGCCCAACCCACTATCAACTGATACCGCCTGTTCCACATACAAGCACCACACTCACCCACCTAATTCGCCGCCTCCCTGCACGTCTCACATCCCCCATCCTTCCTCCCTCCTTCCCTCCCTCCCCCCTTCCCCCAAACCAAATGTCTCACCCACCCCGGTTACCCATCCGGCCTACCTATACTAACCACACAGTTCCACTACTTTCCACACGGAAACCTGCGTGAAACGCAGTCGCCTGGTTTGTGCCGCCATACGTGCCGTAGAACAGACAACGTACTGCCGTGTGTGTCACGGCCGTTACATTGGGGTACGCAGCGAGAGTGGGACTCGGCTTGTGGGGTTTGTTTTGTTGTGTGCGATGGGGGGTTGACTGGGAGTTAGTGCGGAGATGGGGGAGGTGGGAGGGAGGTGGATAGATAGTGTTGGGATAGTGCATGGGGATGAGGGTGTTGGGGGTTGGGTTTAATTGGGTGAGTATGGAGAGGGGAGAGAAGGATGGTTGAAGGGGTTAGGGTGGTGGTGTTACGCTCGATTGACGAGGGTAGCTGAGAGAGATAGGTCGTGTTGCACTGGAACTGCCGGGAATCTGGTTGAGCTTTGGCATCGGAATAGGGGTGAGGGTCCACAAAAAACATATGGTGAAATTGATGAAGCGATTCAATCGATTGGAAGTTGAGATTGTGGACATGACGCTTACATATCTGGGATTTGGGTGGCTGAGAATTATCAGACTTTGGTGGTAGAGATTGTGAGTCTCTACTTCCAGACGATATTATAGAAGTGCGTTGCATCTTTCTTGAAATGTTGGACTTTCGGAATTTCCCCATGTCATCTCTATAGATTAGTGAAATAAAAAATATCATGCATGATACTCCAAGCTAGCCTCCATGTATAACTTCAATCTCGTCACTCGACCCATCGTACCCCTTGACTCCTGCCTCTTCCCACTCAGCGCTAACAACCGTCGTCTTCACGATCTTAGAGTGACTTCCCGTGCTCGCAGTCTCCCACCTCCTATCATCTCCATGTCTATGATGTACAGCTGTAATTTCAACATCGGTCGCGCCATCCAAGCGCCTCGGATCTCCAGGTATTTCTGAAGCAGAGTTTGTATGCGTGGTTTTGTCTTGTGCGAGCATCGGCAAGAAGCGTTTGATTCCAGTGTTTTCAGTATAGAGACTCTTCCTACTTGACCCTGTGATCCCAGTACCAACTCTAGAGGCGATACTACATAGCTGATAGGAGCTATTTTTACTGCGGGAGACGCCATGCTCAGACGATGTGCCTCGACGGCGTAGATTGTCACTCGCATACAAACCTGATGGAACCGACTCAAGGAGGGGTCGTATGTAGGGTACGCATGATGTAATGATGGTGATGCACTCAATAATCTGAGCGAGGAGTGTCCATTTCCAGAGTGCCTTGGTTGGATTGGGCGAGGTGAAGCCGTCGAGATAGACCATCTGGACAGCAGTCGCAACGATGTCTCTAGGATGTGTAAGCTAAGAAATTTACCATATAATAAGATCTATCAAACATACAGTGACCGTGCACCAAAAAAGGTGAGAATAGTTATCTTCTTACTCATACTCATTTGCAGTGTCATAACGACATGCACTGGAAAAGTGATAAGTGCCAGGTCAGTGAGGATATTGATCGCACCCACGGAACGCCAAAAGGAGACCTGTTGACTTGTCAGAAATTAAAAGATGATATGATAGAGAGCCTCGAAAATACAATATTGAAACACATCTCTTCGTTCCCTAAGAAGCGCCATGGCTCAGTGGTTCCGCACTGGAAAGCTGCAAGGCATATTGAGAATACCGTCCAGAGTCCAATGAAGCTAGCCAGCGCTAGACCGAGGTTGCGGTGGGGTTTTGAGGCCGTGAGAATTATGAGCAGCGAGATGATAGACAACTTCGCTAATCCCAAAGTCGCGATATAGAGAAGATTGTTTGCATATTCGGCCTAAACCACAGTTATCATACCATCGATCCAACATTTAATCTGACGGCAAGCCTTACTTTTTGATATACCACTAGCTGACTCTGGGTGAGTAGCGACATGTCTCTCCCAAGACCATTATGTGTTTGGAGACTGACTGCCCCACCTGATGCTATGCTTAAGGCCTAGTTTACATACATTATCAGTACTATGAGCAAGGTCAACAAACGAGAAGATGCATCGGTGACAGCGTACCAGAGCCAGCATGACAAAAGCATCGTCAACATCGATCCTCCTCTGGAGAGCACGTTTCGTAACCAGTCTAGTTAGAACTGCAAGTGCGGAAGTAATTAGCAAGGTCCAGGTAACGACATTGACGAACGGTCCGACATCCGCGCTGCTTCCCGGCCGTCGCGGGATGGGGCGACAGGAAGAAATAAAAGGCAGTACTGCCATTCTTGCGCTCTCCCCGTCCTTGTTAAGAGTGTGAGACACCGGAATCTTGCAATATCAGGGGACAAGCGATAGCGATGACGAACGACTACTCAACTGTGGCTAGCACTGTGGCAGTCTCAGTTGAGACAGTTGAGACGTCAGTCAACCAGTAACAGTTAACACATACCAACGACAAGTGTATGTGGATATCAAACGCCTTAATGCGTCTACCCACTCATCTTGGAGCGACACAGGCGCGCAAACAAAGTAAGGCTGCGAGCCGCCAAATGGGCGACAACGCGCGATTGGAAAGCCGATAGCCAGCATATCGCACAAAGTAGTTATCCGCTGTCTGTCCACAATACAAGACACCTGTAGTGGCGAAACAAGAAAGACAGAAGATTGCTAGAAAAGCTACAAGTGTGTACACATCCTAGATGTAGAGACGCAGTTGTATCGCGTTGCACAGGCGTTACAAGGCGATAGAGTGATATGAACGAATGGGGCACTGTGTCGATCGCCGACCGAAATACCCATTTGTATGTTAGCTTGTGTCATCTGGTCACACAAACAGGTGAGTCAGATTGGGTTAGCAAATCAGATTATACCCCAGTCGCTAGTATGGGCAGCCTTATCGTGTTATTGGGCTTGCCAGCTTTGACAGGCTTGGTGGCCTGCTTTTAAGCTTGTTGATCGTTGTGTAACCCTGTACTAGCACATCGTTCTCGGCATTGTATCACGGCAGCTGTTACCGGGAAGTTGAGTAAGACGGCCAGGCGCTGACATTGTGATACATGTGCCAGCACACATCTGCTGCGGTGATCCATTGATATGCTAGGTCGAGATCCGGTCACTGCTGCAGCGGTGGCGCTCCACACTAGATGGCTGCTCACAAACTCCGACATGAAGAATAGCATGGAACACTGTCAAGGTAGATACGCTCTGCTTGTCAAATAGCGAAGGATGCATAACGGGACAAAGTGACTGACGTAGCTCTCAGATACAACTGTTTCTCTTCTCTTAACTCGGTGATTAAGGAGCATGTTTTACAGCATATTGTGCTTGTGGCTTATGTCCTGGATGCAAGCTACTTGATGTGCGGCGCGTGGAAAAAATACTGGAATCAATTAGCAAATACGCCATACAATGAGAAACAAGATTATATACCTTGAAATTCTTTCCGCAATGTTGCCCATGTGAATCAAGCATCATGAATGAAACTTGAAATGGTCTTTCATAGAAGTCTCGACTTCCCCAATGGTGCCAGTATTTGAGACTTCACTTTCCCCCGATAAACGGTGTATGAGCTCTTTAAGTTTTTTAAGGTCCTCCCATGAGACATTCTCAGTGTCATCAAGCGAAGGTTTTCCGTCTTTCCAATGAACTCTGTTATCGATAGGTGCCGGATTTCGGGCGACTTCACTGATATCAAGCACAGCTCGAGCTACCGCTTGCGTGGGTATAGGAGCTGCAGAGATGCTCGTCGCAAAGGCAAGGAGCGAAATTAGGGCGGCGGCGGCGTACATGGTGGGTAGCTTGGATTGTGCGTGCTTCCTCAAATTTTCACGTTCTGTCCAAAGGTCAGTATGTCAGCATGGCGCGGGCTTACAGGATATCGCTTTACTCATACGATGAAAGATTGTAGAGTGAGGCTGCAATGCGTGAAAGAGTACATATTGAAGTTTTATGCGTTAAGATATATGTGTTGGCCGCTACGTACCTCAGCTCGTCATGTCGGGACCGTCACTTTTCGTATGTAGTCGTAGTCTTCCCAACATATTAGACGTGCATTGTCCTCAGCCGTTCTCAAAAACCGTAGGCCTCGGAATCACAGTAGCACTGCGCTCGCCCCCAAATCCTCCGAACATCGATCACAATAATAGGATGAGCCCACACCTCGGTCGATTGTGATGACAGGGAATGACGATACTGATAAGGGTGTCTGCCTCGTTCTTTTCGTGGTCAAGCGACTTTACAGTACATATCTTCCGATTCATGGTCCAAAGATGCTAGTGGCTAATAACCACTATGCTGTGCATCCTACATCGATATCGCGTCGCATGCTCATCGGAACTTGTAGAGAGCTGAAAGGCGAGTGTTTTCGTTCGTAGCGTGGAAAAACCTAACTTTTAGTATGAATTTAAGAACCAATAACAAAAGCCATAAGCGATTCGCGTCTTCTTGAGCGGGTCACTCGCAAGCTCAGAATACGATTACGTCTTCTGCATTCTCGTTGTACTCGTATGGGTCCTTGTGTCCGTGATATTCGAAGTAAGCCCGCTGAACATCTCGATACGGAGATGAAGGCGGGCAAAACGCAAAGTTCTCAAGCGTATTAGTAGCCTCGCGATAGTCGTCAAACTCGTAACAGGCGTGCTGGTCAGGACGCCTTGCCCATGCGATTAATTCGTTCCAGTCGCGGCATCTTCGGTCCTGACCATCGCCTGCTTGATGGGATAATGGCGCTGGCATTGGTGTATCATCAGCTGCACACATGATGTCTTGGCGTAGCATATCTAGGCAGTGGTAGATGTGTAGCAGATTGAAGGGTTGTTCGCTGCCCTTATGTTTCGAGACTATAGCTTTACGAACAAGTTTCTGGTAAAGTCAGTTTTTGAGGATTTGCAGAGGGATGCTAAACTCACTAGGCAATGTAGGTCGTGTATACCTCTGACATAGTATACACTACGTTCGGTGTCCCATGGAAATGGAGTGGAGGGGGGCAGACTGAGACGCTCTACAAATTTGTCGTCAAGTGCCACTGCCATGGCGTTTGTATCGATGGCATCCCACGCTGCCTCCATGTCGCTGTCGCTTGCATTAGGGTGCCAGTACCTGGTCATGGCGTGATAGGGCACGTTGGTATTGAGGGTCAGTCCGCCTTTAGGACTGTGAGCACACATCAAATATTTCATGCCCAGTACCTACTGTACTCGCTCTTGGTAGGAGAGTGTAAGATGCGCAGTCTGGCGTTGTCCATAACCAACAAGATGTTGGCTGAAAGTGAGAGTAGCAAAAGCGACAAGTATGCAACAAAGCTGCGCGTATTGGTCGGAATGATCTCGGTACTGTTGGAGTCCCATGAAATGCTCTCTTTTGCTTCTAGTTCCGGCAAGCCATCACCTTCTTCGTCGCGACATACTGGCTGGTATGCTGGAGATCCTTCCATCTTGGGGTGGTTCATATGATGGACATGAAGCGCCAAACCTACGCGGCCTCATAAGACAGAAATCCTGCCGGCTGTGCAGTACGTGTCCAGGTTACCAGTAGTACAGGCGTACGTCACGACTACTATCGGGCGAAAACAACCCTTTAGCTGTTGCGCTCCGACAGTCGGGTCGTGGATGAATTGCAACGCCATCTGTCTCGGTGGACGGTTACATCGCCGAGCAGGCGGTCTTCCGGCGCTGTACGATCGAGGAAGGTCGTAAGCATCTTCAGGCCATGATAGTGATACCAAGCGAGGGGTTATCGGGCAAAGTGTGCTAGTGTAAAGGGTGTGACTTGCCCGGCGCGCCAAGACGCTAATAGTGTCAACGGTACCTTCCTTGTTGGGCGTCTTCACCCTAACACGGCAATCTACGATGTCCAATACTTGGAATGTGCTATATCTCCGGTTCCGCTGTCCATGCGCCATGGCGGCAAGGTAGCGTATTCGACAACTACTTTACCTGTCCGATATCGCCACAGCCTCATCTGATCACTAAAGTGCAACCATGGGCCAAAGATACTTTGTCCGCGAGGCCAAAACAAAGCAAGAGTTGGATAGCATCTTGGAAGTTATTTGGGCTGCAAACTACACACCTTACGAACCTTTTATTCAACTTGTATTTCCTGTCCTTGGCTATACGGCTGCTCATCGCGAGGCTGCCATCAACGAATCGAAACAACGCTTCTGGGAACAACACCAGGCCGATCGGTCAATCCATTGGTTCTACGCATTCGATACCGTCACAAACAAAGCTGTGGGCTGCGCACAATGGGTGATTTCGACAACAAATCCTTACGCAGCAGGAGCACCAGATTTGAAGGCACCGTGGTGGCCCGAAGGTGAACAGCGGCGTTTCTGCGAATCGATACTGAATCAGGTGTACAAGCCCCGCGCGAGCTGGATGGCACGGCCCCATTGTGGTGAGTGGAGCATAAGTTTCTTTCTTCAAACGCGCTATTCCAGGGATCGACAGTATTGAAAAATAATTGGAGTTGTTTTCTTCCAGTCGCTAACACTGGCGAATAGCACTCAACTGGATGGCAGTGGATCCTGCTCATCGACTCCGTGGTATCGGTTGCCTGCTTATGGATGTGGGAGTCGTGCGTGCCGACGAACTCGATGTGGAATGCTGGATGGAAGCGTCGGCCATGGGCAAGCCGCTATACGAAAAGTTTGGTTTTCAGTCGTTGCTGAAAATTGCCTTCGACACCGATAAACCAAATGCAAGCGATGAATGGAGAAAGAGCGCCCATGAGCTGACTCCTGCACCAATTTTCGCTATGTGGAGACCGACAAAGTCTTCTCGACAAGGTAGTCGGGGTGAGGTGCAGATGCCGTGGACGCTAGGTATGCGAGCTTGAGGGCCGCACATGATTTTTTGGTCTTGATATGGTCAGGCCAGATAAATGACAGGCAAATGATGTCAGGAAAGATCGAGTATTTGCCATGGCTGATGGGAAGATCATGGCCGAAACCTGCAAGGAGCATGCAGATGACGTCGCACACAAAGTGGATATGGCAAAGGAGTCTAGAAATGAGCATGATCAGAGGGCTGTCAGTAGAAGGAAAGGAAACTCGGACCAATATTTGAGAGTGGAGTAAGTCGTTATTGGGGTCTGCCTTGTCGTTAGTCGAATTCATGAGGAGAAAGCTCTCGCGGTCAAGTACCGCTGACGATAGGTAATAGTTAGATAGTAGTCTTACATAATCTCTGTCGCCTTTGACTACTACCACAAGGCTGACATTACTACTGCGCAAGATGACAACAGTCGACTGAGTATGTATGGCTGCATCCGATACATACATGGCCCATCTCTTTTGTGTGCCATCTCCTACGGCATCTGCAACACTCCCATACACAGTCGGGTATCGGCTCAGCACCAGGAAAGGGAGTGTAGCATGGTGCCGGGACTGGCAGGGCACGCTTATTCATACCAAGGAAGTCAAGGCAAACATGTGGTGGTGTACTGTGAATGACAACCCGTCGCTTGGTATTTGCGAGTGTTGGTAGCGGAGTTTGTCGGCACAGTATAGGGTGGCGTGAGTCAATTGAACTTACGTACGATCCAATCTGGCGGGTAGAGTAAGTACACGTAGCTGCCAATGTGAAGCAGGCAGCGAGAATCAGGAAAGTGCAGGTCATCGGGCATGCCTGGTTCCCTCCTCCATGTCAGGCCACTGCGTCTGGTGAGCTGGTTGGGCTGCGCTTCATCTTGTACCTTTGAGATTTTGCTCTATTTCTCTAAACATGCTAAATGCTGACTTGGCCCCGCCGTGGAAGATGGTGCGACACAAAAAACCAGCCCAAAAGCCCAATCTCTCAACCTAAAATAAACGTCCAAGACGAGAGAGTAGAAAGCGACAAGACGACAGACGGGTCGAGCTCAGCTGAATGAATTTACAACCACCCAGCTTTGAGCTTCTCAATCGCCTCTTTCTCGGAAACCACATCTGCCATCTTGGCGCCCATGTCCATGATATTTGCATTGTGGACAGCAGGTGATCTATCACCACAGGCCTCGCCAACAACCTGGTAACATGGTTAGCGACGTCTCCACAAGCCCAAGCATTGCCATATTAGTGCACACCATTGGTCGGAATCCTAGGCACATTGCGTCCAGAGTAGTTGCACGCACACAACCACTTGTACTGACACCGCAGATGACCAGAGTATCCACATGGGAGATTTGGAGTCGTGTAGAGAGGTCAGTTCCGAAGAAGGCTGACGGGTAGCGTTTGGATACGATGACTTCCCCTGCAGTAGGCTCCAGGCCCGGAACCCAACTCTCCAGGCCCGTCTCCTTGCCCCGCTGGAAAACATGCAGCAACGGGACCTTGCAGGCAAACAGCCCCGCGTCCGCCATGTCAGGCTCCATGTACTCAACGCGGGTCCATATCAATGGTACTTTTCCCTGGCGGGCGGCATGGACGAGTTTTGCGATAGATGCGGGCACAGCCGCAGAAGCAGGGTTTGATCGGGTGTCGAGCGGGCTATCCTCACTCCAGTAAGCATTGCAGACGTCGACAAGCAGAAGGGCCGGTCTGTTGCCCCATCCGATCGTTCCTGCAAAGCCGCTCGCATGGCCGCGTGGGGCTTGGGATGCCATGTCGTTGTCGTGTGGTTAGTAGGTTAGTCATGATCAAAGCCGGCTGGAGAGGGCAGAAACTATCGTGGTAGCGTCGCGTCTAGGAGACGAGCCGTCTGTCTCTATCCAGGGGACTGACGACCAGCGTCGTCACCTTTTTGTCTGCGCCAGACATGGCTCACGTTATAAGGACGCAATGTTGACCACCCCCCGGCATGGATTGGACGGAAGTTCGGACCAGTCGGGAGGCGTTTGAGCGGCTTTGCTGGAGTCGGGAGTATGTAGCCGCCGGCAGCGCGGGCCATTGATGCGCCGACGCCCATACTACCCGAGGTATCTCGACGATTTCGCACTGCCACATGGGCAAACCCGCGGCTGCACGCATTTCAAAGCTCTCGCGTCTCGATGCAATGGCCTACCGTGTCGCCAACCGGCCTGTCAGCGCAGTGTTGATTTCTGGCACCATCCAATACGCGCGCCTGGAGCCCTTTATTCCTCACAGCAACCTCGACCCCGGACTTGGCATATGATCGGACTTCCCCACACCAGCGCGACCTCCGCGAGGGCGCAACCGGAGACCGATGGCTCTCCCTCTCCCAAATCTGCCAGCCTCGCTCCCATCATGGACGTTCGGGAGGGTAGAATAGGCAACGCCTTTGCCTGCGAAAGATGTCGAAAACATAAGGTTCGCTGTGTGCCCTCGGACACTCCGAGTATTTGCCAGAGGTATGTTGACTCGTCGCTGTTGTTACTCCACATCCAATGACACGTGCCCCAGGTGCCAGAAGGCTAGAGTAGAGTGCGTAGAGCATGTCGCCCGCAGGCGGCCTGCAAAGGCGCGCACTGATGGCCAGACTCCCAGTAAACTACGCGACTTTGACAAGAAGCTGGACAAACTGTCTGCCATTGTTGCGACCATGGCGCCGTCTCCGGCTCAAACCAGTTTACCCTCGGTAGTCACTATTCCCTCCCAACTGGCAGTCCTAGACCCGCCGCAACAAGCCCCAACGGCAAAACAAGCAATTGCTCCAACAGTGCCTCTTTCATCTGCGCCCAGTACTGCCCTTCTCCCAAGCCCAGGATCTCAACCTGAAAATTCATTGCCATTTTGGGAATCTTTTAACGAAACTCTGTCATGTCTTGGCCGATTAGATCCCCTCATCAGGTCCATCAGCTTGGTACACATGCAAATGCTGCTCGATACCTACCGTGGCATGGTCGACTACTTTCCATTTGTGATTGTACCGAGGGACTGCCGTTGCCAGGATCTGTTCCACAATCGCCCAATGCTGTTGTTTGCTGTATTAACAGCCGCATCATACGATTCACCACAGCTTCGGCACACACTTAGCCAAGAATTTCGAAAGGTAGTCATGACCAAAATCATGAAAGGCGAAAAGAGTTTGGATTTGCTCCAGGGACTGTTGGTTTTTATAGCTTGGCACCAACACTACATGGACGCTCAGGCCGTTTCAATCACCTTGCTTCTTCAGCTGTGCCTGGGCATAGCACATGACCTGGGTTTGGACAACATATCAAGAGCTGCAAGAAGTCCTCTGCATAAGGATGACCCCAGAGACAAAGAAGCAAAACGAGCTTACCTGGGGTGTTACTATCTATCCTCCAATATAGGGTTGATGCAGCCTCTGAAGGCACGATCCATGTCTCACACGACAACTGTCCGAAATTACGCTTCTGAACTAGCTTCTTCATGGGAAAACAAGACAGACACAGTTCTCCCTATCTTGATGGACGTCTGTCAGTATATGGAAGATGTGGAGGAGACATTTCGCAGTCAGTCAGAGCAAGCAGTAGTTGTTCGCACACAAGTCAATCGTTTGAATGAGAAGTGGGAGAACATTCGCCTTTCCTCCAAACTACAAGCGAATGACTTTGGTGAGCATTGAATATATACAACCTGATTGAAGCAACACTAACAGCACACCAGCAACCTTGCAATGGCTACAGCTTGCAGCCCGCATACATCTTTACAGAATCGCCGCTTCTGTCGATCTCGTAGACAGAGACTGTACGCCTTGGGCCTCAGGGTTCCAGCTGTCGCTGCGTGTGACGTACGTGCGATCCCTCGAGCAATTCCTCGACAACACCACCAAACTCTCCTCGAACCAATTCGAATCCATCTCATTAATCGACTGGCTCAACCTCGTAAACACCATTACCAGCTTGAGCAAACTCGCCCTCTACGCATCGCCCATCCCCGGCTGGGACCCCAGCGAGCTCCAACTAGCACGAACATTCGATCACTACCGCGACCAGCTCTCCTCGCTCATGCCGCGCCCACGAGATACCTCAAACAACCGAGAAGACGCATTTGAGCGATTCCGCCGCATCACTTCGATTATGCGTCTGGCTCTGCACGACGCACCCGGCAGAAGGAGTCCTAACGGCACCACGTTTGAGCTCTCGACAGGCTCAGGCCGCACAGTATCGCTACTGCACAACCTCGCCCTCCCGAAGATCAATGGCGGTATCACAAATGGTGCAGAGAAGCTGCCTAGTCTCCGCGATGTAAACCCCTCGTTCGACGTGACGAGTAATGACTTCCACTGGAAATTCTTACTCGGCACGGTTTGAAAAGGCAGTTTCCTTACGTAGACTACACCACGTCCTTCATGCTCATTCGTACATCTCCTCATCAACCCTCATCTACATGTTTCTTTTCCAATCAAGTCTCCTCCGCACCAAAAACGGTCTCATAACCGCGTTTATTTATTTTTTCCGCGAAAAAAAGGGGGGCGGCGGTATGAGAGGGCAAACGGGTAGAAAGTTAGGCCCCCGCCCCTTCCCCTTTCCCCAGCGTGTTCTGGTTCCATAACGACATGTCCACCTGATTCCTATTTTTGTCCTCCTGTCTGCCAAACAATACCTACTACTTAGTTCTTTTCATCGCGCTCTCTCTCTATCTCTCCATGATTTACTCATTTATATACCCAGCATCATCCTTTTTTTTCTTTTTTGGTTGAACAATCGTTGCTTTGTTTGACCTCCTTTTTTTTTCTTATGCAGAGAATACCAACACTACGTATTTTGAAAGTTCGGTTTGATTATTGATTTTTTGTTTGGAAGCTACGCTACGTCTATCATGTTTCTTCTTTGGAATGGGTGAAATGTGGAGGTGTGATGAATGAAAGTGTTTTGGTGTGGTGTGGATTGTGATGATGTTGAAGTAATGGATGTATAGCGTGGGAGGGAGGGAGGGGGGGCAATAGTCGATTGATGTATAGAGAACTTGGAAGGAGAGAAAGGATAATTACTGAAATGAAAGTCCGTTGGATGAAAGAAGAACAAAAGTTTCAAAGGTCTCTAGAAGGAAAAAGCTCTTAATCATCTTAATTTTCTTCGTTTCAACTAAAACTACACAAATGCCGGGTATCATTGCGCCCTTACACCTAAAATACAATGGCCTTTCCTCCATTCTTCTTCTTTTTTTGGAGTTTCTAATCACAATACTACCCCACATCATACCCCACACCCCACACTCAGCGAATCATCCGAAAAGGATGCCCCTCAGTACTAAACACCCAACTATCCAGACTCGCGACCTCGACATCCGAAAATGTAAGCCAGAGATACTTGAGCGTCTCCGCGGCCCAAAAGCTCTCCTGAACATCAACCCATCTGCTCTCATCTTTCGAAGTAGTATCATAAACATCTGCTAACTGTGCATATCCAAATGGCGCCTTGCAATGTTTTTCGAATGCGGAGAAGGCCTCCCAAGCCCAGTCGCGGTAGCGTTGCTCGCCGGTGATACGCCAGGCGTAGAAGATGCTTTCGACGTACTCGGGACGACCCTTGTACGCTGGGTCGCGGGACCAAATGCCAGTTGTAGACGCTTCTTTCTTTTGACGCGGGGTTTCCGGAGCGAATAGCGGGTTGTCATAGCTGAATTTTGGGGTCCAGGACCAAGTTTCTGGGCCGATTTTAGTGGGGGTCGAGGTGTATGTGTGGTGGCAGCCCTCGAGGAGTGCGAGAGCGAAAGTGCGGAGGGGTTTTTCGGTGTAGAATTTTGAGGCAAGGAGAATGGTACCAGGGGCGAAGCAGGCAAGGTGGCCTTGCTGGTTCTCGAATTGCTCGTCGTCTTGGCGGCCGATGTACAGGTGCTGCATGAGGTGTCCGGGTGCGGGTGCAGAGCGGGAGGCCAAGTGTCTACGGAGAGAGTAGGCGGCCCTCACGAAGCGTTCTTTGTACTTTGGGAGATGGGGGTCTGAGGGAGGCGCCAAGATTGTCATTTTGACCAGGTACTCGTAGTAGGAATCGTGACCACCATCCCAGTGTCTTTGACGGCGGACAGGCTCTCCTGTCATGATATCGACAGGGGCATCTACCATTCCTGGCCATGGTGTCCTCCAATTGGACCACACTAGAGGTGCCCATGCTTTTGTAGAATTCAAGACGTAGATATCATCGCCAGTCAGCCTTGTCAGGACGCGGTTTTCCAGGACTGAAGAGCCGATTCGTGCAGGTCCAATTGCAGGGTGCTCAAATTCACGCTGTGCGGGGTCATCATGTAGTATGAAAGAAGGATGTGGCTCGCCTTCTTCTGTCGTAAAGTCTACACGGGGCCACGGCAAGCCTGTAGGGGTGTCGTATGCTGGCGCTAGCTTGCCTGCCAGAATAACTGCCTGCTCGAGTATGAGATCGCGCGCCTCTCCGGTTAGTACATCCTCAGGAATCAGCCCGACATCATATAGATCCACAATGGACAGCAGCCCGCCCAAGTAGCGTATCGTGGTCTCGAAGGGGTCGACAAGGTCCTCTGCGTGGGTAAAGTTGATAGCTACCACATGCTCCAACGAGTGTGCTAGCTCATCCCACAAGCCCATGAGAGCCAGTGTGCTTGCTGAGTCTACGATGAAGGCGCCCCAGCCATTTCTGGACGAAGCACTGCGCCCTGACACAGGCAAGATATCGTCGTGACCCCAAGCGCGCTCCTTGTACTTCCAGAAGGTATATTTCATGGCATCGCGCACACTCTTGGCCCGCGCCTCGTCCGCTTTGCCAGTGCCGTTCCAGTCGGCATATTGTATTTGTGCGCCAGCCTGCGTCGCACCCTGTCCGCGAAAGGTTGGGTTCTGAAACTCCTTAAAGAGTAGGTAGAGGGTGATGACGATGATGGCGGCGAGGAGCTTGAACGACGACTCGGGATTGCGTTCAAACTTGGATTTGCCCCAGCGGCGGAAGCCGGGCATGATTGGAGAGGATTAGAAGCCGTATAGTGCTGGCGGGGGCCTCAAGAAGCGGGTGGTAATAGCGCGCACATCTGTCTTCCGGGACGGGTGCGGAGATGCGGCAGTCGACGTTAGTGTTTCAACGCGGACATGCCATGGTCTGCCAATTGCGTCAAGCTGGAGGGAACAACAGGACTGTGAGAGACCAGTTGGACCATGAAAGTTGTCGAGGTTGTGGTGTGAGATGGTGCGTGCTGCTGGTACTTGGCCTGGCCTTGGCATTGCGAGTCGTTGTGCGTCGTTGTGCGTCGTCATACTACCGAGCCTGGAGCATCACGACAATAGCAACTTCACAACACCCAACATGGCCGTTTGGCAGTACGAAATATCCTGTCTGAGTAGTCACAAGAATTTTGACTTACTGACCATGATTCAGGTGGTTCAAGAACATACCACCCAAGACACGCATGATCATCGGTGTGGGAGTCATGGCGTATGCGGGTGTTGGCCTCTACATTTCCGATGTGGCTGAAGAAAAACTCGGCTATACCCCTACTGAAAAAGACAAGGAGCAATTGAAGGAAGCTCTGCCAAAGATATCTGCTGTGGAGAAGCGAAGCACGTGATTACCTTCAACATCTTTTGAGCAACATGAAAAATCTACATACATTCACATGGGCGAAACAGTGGGTATTTTTGACATGATTCATGCATACGAGAAAAATCAAGTCTGACGATTTTCAGAATCGATTCACCATTTTCAGTTTCTGTGCTTGGACATGCGGGGTGAAGTACTTTTGAAGTATGCATCAAGAGGGTAGGGGATGTGTAACTATATTTACGTATGTGCTTAAGTGGAAGATAGCTTCGTTATCGAATACCCAGCGACTGAATCATAAGAAGATGGAAAAAGGAGAGGGGTAGATTGGAAATCGAATTCGAACAGCTTTCCATTCATGAATATTCAATATCCACCCAAGCTCAATCTCGTTCACACTGACTGTAACAACCAGCATCATCCACGCACATCAACCACTCACACAACTACCGAACCTAGTATATCTTAACATCTCCCATACCGGCGCAGCCGCCCCGAAGTACCAGCACCACGCTGCTTCATAGCCGCCGTCGAGGGTACCGGCGATCCAGGCATCGTCGCATTACCACTACTAGTACCATCCCACAGCTGCGGCCCGGGCAAAGGATACTTCGTCGCCTTCTTCGCATCCTCCGAGTCAATATTAAACGCAAGGCCGGGTTCCGTCCCCGTATACGCGCCAGGGAACGACACCAAGAATGATGCAGGAGGCGATGCGGTACCGGAGCCCGTAACGGTGAATTGGGCGCATTCTGGGTAGACTGGGTAGGGGCGTTAGTTTAGCTAAATCGTGTATTGGAGTATGAGGGCGGTGAGGGAAAAGTACATTGAGGATTGTTTGCCTGGTGCAGGGCAGTGAGTTCGTGTCTGAACATGTACTCGCCAGCTAGAACATTGGGGATGGTGATGGCTGCGTTGAGAGTTTCGAAGATGGCGTCGCCGGCCCAGACACCGGCGTTTTCGGTCCCGGATATGAGACCTTGCTCGAAGATCTTGACTGGGGTTGAGGTTAATGATGTGGGTGGTTTGGTAGGATGGGTTGTTCGTTCATACACCAGACTTTGCCTGAGCCGTCCCAGCTATCGCATGAGCCGGGGCACTTGGCCATGTAGACCATAAACGTGGCTGGCCTATGAGTCCATTGCTTCCAGTGGGTTATCAGTTTGGTGCCTGCGGCAATGGTGCCTGTCACACCGGTGCCTAATAGTCCCTTGTTGTTGCATCGTATGTTTACAGTCTAGGGGGCGGGTTAGAATATCAGTGCCTCGTGTTGTGCTGAAGTCTTACTGTTAGATCCTTGATGAACAGGGGATCGTAGGATGAGTACTGTCTCTGTATACTCTTTTGTCCGGTTGGGTCGTTGTATGGTTCCCAACTGAATGCTCTTAGCCCTCATCGAAGTATTCAATACGTAAGAAGATGCGTACCCTTGATATACCTTATCACCAGTAATGTACTTATCAATACCTCCATGCGCAAGTGCAGTCACGGATAGCGTAGCTGTTGTGAGAAATACAGAAGCTTTCATGTTGGATATAGATTGCCAAGGTGGATGTCTAGTGTAACCCAAGACCGTACTTTAGTGGAGAGAAAGAGAGCCAAGAATGCGATCAATTTATATCTCTCCTGAGTCTTCGCATATTCGATCAATGTCACGCGCACTCGGGCTGTATATCGTAACATCCCCAGCGATGAAACAACACCCAACCCGGTTGTCGAGTCCCATATTTTGCTTATGTAGAGCCTGGCGAGATCGGGACCTATAGAGAGCCAGTGTAGTCGGAGTATTAACTAAAACCCCATCCGATACTAATATAAGATAAACTCTATGGTTTGGCAAGTATGGCGAATAAGACGAAATTTTCGTAGTGACATAAATGAATAGTGCAGGGGTGTTAACAACCGGAAGTTCAAAGTTGCGGGGAAAGCGGCAGGATGTGGCTCGTCACTTGGGTGCGTAATAGATTTGACACGTGGGCTATTCTACAATAAAATCTTTCTGATTGGGGTTTCTGAATGCTTGTTCCGCTTTGAAGTATTACGATCAAAGCTTCGGTGTTTCACGGCTAGTAGTACTGTCAGTGGCCCAATGACAACGACAACAGACACTGGAGTTGAGAAAAGTCTTTCCGAACAGGTATTGCATAATGCTGGAGATTCGACTGGGGATAAACAATGAAAGTTCAGATGAACCTTTAAAGTCTTTGTTAACGCCGTATCATATCAATCCCAGGATGGCGGCGATACCCACTCTCAAAGTTACTCATGAGTCGAGGCAATGCGCTACGTCATCTGCCCCAACGACATATACTGTTCTATAGCGCTGTGCAGTAATGCCTGTTCGGAGAAAATTGCGTGAGGTGTGAATCGACCGACGCATAGATAGACTGTGTGTATGTAGTGTTGATTAGGTGGGGCGGCGCCGCTGCAATTTCAGGACAGGAGGAAAGGACACCGAGCTAAATAAGGTGCTGCCCGGGCATGAGTCTATGTGAAATTTCTGCACTTGAGATTGCTACTCAAAAGGGCTATGCCGAAAGGAAGAGAGACGATTGTGCTGGAATTGATTGGCCACCCCGAATTATTATTACTTCATTTTGATGAACTCGGGATGCCAGACAGCCCAAGGATGTCCAAATCAAAGATACTCAGACCATTGCTCAAGAAGAATGGAGAAGATTCTCACCTCGCCTCCGTTCTGGACCTGGGTATCACCCATGCTGCTTCATGCTCACATGCGAGAAGTGAATATCCTACTTTAACGCCATATTTCATCAACGATCCCCTCCAGCCAAAGAACTAAAACCAATTCCACTTTGACAGATGTACACCTCTCGAACAACCTTAGCACGCAATGTGATGGCTACTTAGGCGTACTTCTGTCCCTCGCGCTTCTGAAGAGTTACCAAGAGGTCATAGAAGTCCTTCTTCCAGTCGACGCACTCGAGGTACTCCCACCAGAGACGAAGTGCAGGCGTCTCGTCCATGTCAGACTGCACGGAGTTAGCAGCATCTCTTTCGGTGCTGTCAAATCACTTACCGCATTGAATGCGTCAAGAATGGACTGCTTCTTAATCATGGCCGTCTTCATACTGGCTTCACGATCCCACTGGCGAAGCTCGTCGACATACTTGCGCACGTCTCTAACCATTTTCTCTGTGAGCTTTGCATCTTCGGCAGAGTTGACAGTAGTCTCTTTGTCTGGGGCAGCAAAAATACGGCCGCTATACTCAGGCCTGCGGAAGAAATGCTTCTTAAGTTCCTCAGTAACCCATTCTTCCCTTGTCGGCGAAGCGAGCTCTTCGGCCCAGAAGTTCTTGACACGCTCAGGAACCTTAGTCGCCATAGTTTCATGATCTAACTTGTCGGACCAGCGGGTCTGCGAGTAATTGCCATAGTACACGTAACGCTTGTTGACAAGGACGAACATAGGTACATTCTCGTACGAGTTGGAGTCAGCGTCGAAAAGGCCGCCAAACTCTTCTTCGGGAGCCTTGTTGAAGAATGCTGTGAGTTTGGCACCGTGCATGCCAGGTGCTTGAGGGAGATATGGCTCATTTTCCAGGTCGAGCTGGTAATACGTACGGTTCTTGAGTATGCAAGGGCCTTTGCCTTTAACAAACCGTAGGCCTGGTGACCAAGGAATGCCACCCAGATGGTTTGCAAGGAAGTCCGGATGGAATGTGACATCTGCGCATGGGATGTTGCCTGCTAATGGGGCCAAGGTGGTGATATGGTGAGGCTTCCACGACTCTGATTCGCCTCGGACGGTGATCTTGGGGGAAGGACGAGGAGTCGGCGCCGGTACCAGCTGCTGCTTAGCTTGTGAATCGATAAGTGCAATAACAGCTTGACTCTGTTTTGGACTGCGGGACGATCAGCTTTCGGCAGCTCGATGAATATCAGGGCATACAAGGCTCACCTGTCACCAATGCTAGACTCAACTCTGTTCCTACGCAAATGGGGAGGAGTCGACTTCTTGGCTGTACTGTCGGAACTGTTGTTCACCGATCCATGAGCCTCTTCTTTAAGCCTTTCCAACTCTATGCCAAAGCATTTAGCGTTTTGAAGTGATGCTTCAATGTCGCTGGCAGTTCGGAACGGACCAGCGTGTACTGGCAAGTCACGTTTGTTCAGCCTGTCGACGGTGGAGGAGAGGGCGTGACAGAGTTCTTTGAGACCAATGACATCCTCCTGTAAGCCTGCGTGCCTCTCTTCAAGGTTCAGGACACGGGCGTCGAGATATGAAGAAGTACTGCTTGCCTGAAGGGCCGCGTTGTTCTGCCGAGAAGCGGACGGCGAGAACTTACTGGCTGCAGGATCAAGGTGTTTACCCATTGTTTTGATGGAGCGCGAAGAGTACTGTAAGGGAAGCGATATGTTGGGTTTGGATATAGTACCGGGGAATTGATGAGGTCTCTTGCGGTTATGACGCTTGGAAGTCAAGCAGACACTACCACGAATATCAGCTTGAAGCGGACCAAGAGGTGAGAGGCCTTGGGAAACTACTGCGAGCCAATGATCAATGCTTCCAATCAGAATTATCCTGGTAGAGGCCTTAGTAGACCGAAGACTGTTGAATGAGACAACAGAGAAGTGTGGTGTTGAGGAGATGGTGGAGGCTGCTTGTATAGACGAAAGGTGAGAGAAGCGGCGGTGAAACGGTGATTGTTCATGTTGCTTGAAGTGAGTGAAGTGAAATGAGTCTAATAGAGTGCATACATGTGAATTGTGGACTCAGGTGACTAGGCAAGATGGACTACGCATAGACAAGATAACACTACGTGGTGGGATTCAGAAAAGATGTCAAAAGTCCGTTTACTATCCACGCATGTGGCCGGAACAGTGTCTTTTGGTGGCGGAACCAGCTCGTCCATGATGCGGCTGGTTTGACTGACGTCCAATCACCTTGGACAGGTTATCACTCGACTATTACTCGTTCCGGTGCTCACCCATCTCTACTGAACCCCGACTTGCGCTAAGCCCAGCTGCGGGTACTTGCTTGGGTCCCGAGAGGATTCCGACTGCAACTAGCATCTGCTCTTCCTTTTTATCGTTGTGGCACTCGCTTATCAGCCTCTTCATCAATCTCTGCGCCCACGCGCTACGCAAGGCAGTCGTCTTTCTCGGGCCAGTATGCGCATCCAAACAACAGACACACGGACGATTTGTGTAGTACGGGGAGGCTACACGGCCAGATGCTGAGCGCCAGGGGAACACTTGCACGCGAGCTTACGGGTCTCCACTTTTGAAGGACATGCGAGCGGCAAAGGGCCGAGATGGCTGGCCCATGCCATGTTCGAGCAGACAGGACGTTTTTTGCTTTCCAAATGGCATGGCGAAGGAGGCCAATGCCATGCAGACCGTGTCAGCGACATCGGCAGTGCTTCCACTTCGGGGTGCACTATTGGTCTCAGGCGAGGGGCCGGGATGGATGGTGAGGGGAAAGCCGAGGAGCGACGCGCGACTTACGCGACGACGAAGCCATGCAGCGCCTTCTACATAAGAGCCAAAGCTGGGCAAGGCAAAAGCAGAGGGCGAGTAACGGCCGTCCACTGCCAGCATGCTCGCACACACATTCTCTCTCTACCTCTATGGAATTTGGGTGACGGAGGCCTAATGCAGGGGAAGAAGGAGGGCAAGGGGACAAATGCAAATGCGAGGGCGGACCCTGACCGAGGCGCGCCAACGTCATTTACTACGCTTGGACCCTTTGCCGTCATTTTGTTCTCCTCTCGCTGGCCGCCCGTACTAGGACAGCGCATGACCAGACATCGCGACTCCTCGACGACTCCTCGTACGCTCTTCACCAGCCCCAGCGTGTCTGTATCTCGCTGCAGCCATCCATTGGCCCTGCACCATGCCGCCAAAACGCACTCACAACCCCGACGACGTCCACCCGTCGCTCAAGGACAAACTGCACACGCTCCAGGCCTCAAACTCTCGCGGCGGTCGTCGCAACGGCGCGACCAGCGTCATGAACGGCAGCGGTCTCAAGGAAGTAGACAATGCGTCTACCAACAGTGGTAACACCTCGGTCGACCTCAGCTCCTCAGGCAATGTTCGTCGCGCCTCTCTCCCCGTCCCGTCGCCTGGCAGCCCGTGGATTTGCTAACATGCGCCCGCCGCGGACAGATCAAATGGTCAGCCCAGGATTCGTCTGTGCTCCACGGCTACCGACGAGCCCATCGCCTCGACTGCCCGTCGAGCTTCAAGAACCCCCTCAGCCACGTCGTTTTGAACCAAGGGATCGGAACAATGTCCCCGACTATGGCGCGGCCCAAGTCGAAGCGCCGCGTACACAAGGACCAGTTGGGGCTGGCAGTCAAGAAGAGCTTCAATTCGCAGGCCGTCACCGAGAGTGACGTGATTGTCGACTGGCTGTACAAGTCAAAACACCAAGGTACGGCTGCTGGCGCAGCTCCTCCACAACAGCCTTGCTAATCGAACCTTTCTAGACAAAGAATTTAGAGTACGATTCGCCCCTTACAGGAAATGACTGGGCCACTCCGCACACGCATAGTACTGCATTTTTGCCTTTTTTTTCTTTCGACGATACCCCCTCTTTGGCGCGCGGTCGCCTCCGATCTTTATACACATTTTATGGGATATGAGCATTCAATAGGCGTTTGGAATACCGGGCATCTTATGACTAGGGAAAGAGGTGTTACGCATTGCGGGCTGTACCGGGGCTGTGGACGATTACGGTACAGGCTTGCACATATACAGCGCAATCCGATATGTATAGATACGAGCATTGTGGATAACGAGCATTTGGATATTGTCAAGGTTCGGTTCTGCGCTGGATGGTGCCTGTATATAGCGGGTCGCTGAGGTCTGGACGTGGTGTGCTCTCCATGTGCAGCCTGAGTGCATACATGGTGGTAGTGGCAGCAGTAAAGACCTCTTTTGCGCAGAGATGCAGGCTTGCAGTAGCGCATCGACCATCTAATTACAATTTAAGCTATTCTCTATTATCCAACTGTTCAGTTAAGCCTCAGGCCGAGATCGCGTCGTGGCATACTCTCGAAGATTCGACGCGCTCTTTACCGAGGGCGGCCAATGGCGGTGCGTCACCGGCCCGTGCCCGCAAAAAGTTATCAACTGTCGGGTAAGACATTACCGCCTGGGTCGCAAAGGATATTGTAGATTGGCATCACCACCCTCATTTGATCAATTCCCGACATCTTCCAAGATGAGTTTCATAGGCCCAATGCCACTCAAAGCAGTGGCTCCCGTACGCATCGCTGGCTCAAGGTCCCTTACCAAGTGCCAGCGGCGATGCATAGCGACTCAAGCGACAAGAGCACAATCGCGGAGACCCTCAATAGCACAAAGACAGCCTCAGAATAGCACACAGTCAATACGAGTACGATTATTCCCCTCATGCCTATGACGAGATATGTATGCTAATGCTCTGCGCAGTTCTTCCATGCTTCCCCTCCATCATTCGCTATGGCCGACCCATACAAGACACTTGGAGTCAGTAGAGATGCGTCGGCAGCCGACATCAAGAAAGCATATTATGGACTGGCCAAAAAATACCACCCTGATACGAACAAGGACGCTGGCGCAAAAGAGAAGTTTGCTGCCGCGCAATCCGCATACGAAGTCCTTTCCGACGCCGAGAAGAAGAAGGCTTTTGATACGTACGGCGCAGGCGCTTTCGATACCAACGGTGGCTTCAATCCTGGCGCCAGTGCCGGTGCTGGGCCTGGGGGGCCTGGTGGCAATCCGTTTGGTGGGGGCTTTGGCGGTTTTGGAGGTTTTGGTGGTGGCGCACAGGGTCCGTTCCAAGACATCAATTTTGAGGACTTATTCGGAGCATTCACTGGTGGTCGAAGAGGAAGGGCGGGTGGACGGAGGAATCCTTTTGAAGAAGAGATTCTGGTGGGCGACAATATCGAAGTGCAAACAAATATTTCATTCTTGGATGCAGCCAAGGGCGTTAAGAAAGATATTCACATTACACCACTGGTCGAGTGTGGGACGTGTAGTGGCAGTGGGCTGAAGCAGGGAGCAAAACGAGCAGAGTGTAAGAGCTGTGGAGGTACTGGACAGAGAGTGACAAGTATGGGCGGCTTCCACATGAGCGCAACCTGCTCGTCGTGCGGCGGTTCAGGATTCGCAATCCCCCGAGGCTCGTCGTGCAGCACTTGCGGTGGCGATGGAGCCGTCAAGGAGAGAAAAACCATCACCATTGACATTCCTGGTGGTGTCGAAGATGGCATGCGCCTACGCGTCAACGGCGAGGGAGATGCGCCACTTACCGGACAAGCCATGTCTTCTGGCCAAGTTCGTGGTCAAAAGGGAGATCTCTACATCCTCATTCGCGTGGCTACCGACTCCAAGTTCAAGCGGAACGGCTCCGACATCCTCCACACGGCGACTATCCCCCTGACTACTGCTGTGTTGGGAGGTGAAATCAAGGTTCCTACCCTGGATGGCGAAGTCAAGGTCAAGGTGCCAACTGGCTCCGGCACGGGAGACCGCATTACTCTTCCTGGCATGGGCATGAAGGTGCTATCTGGACGACGTGGCGGTAAGGGTGACTTGCGTGTAGAATTCAAAGTCAACATGCCCAAGTATCTCAGCGTCAACCAGCGAACTATTCTCGAGATGCTTGCGGATGAGATGGGAGATAAGAACGCACAGCGGGTCATCAACCCTGGTAAGATGAAGGATGAGGCAGGCAACACGACTCAAACCGGACATGAAAACGAGGGGTTCCTCAAGAATGCATGGCACAATCTGACCGGGCAACATAAGCACCTTAGCCCCGAAGAACGACGGCAGGCAGAAGAAGACGAGAAGAAGAAGGGGTCAGGCTGAGCATAGGTTGATGGTGCAGAGAATTGTATGAATGGGCCGGCGCACACGGCGAGTCTAGGCGCCACGGGAAGCGCACTCGCAGCAAAATACTGGGTAGCATTGGACGGCGCATGAGAAGCTACTTTGGACATGGTGTATAGAAGTATTTGTATCCAGCCTCTCGACTCAAGGCTTGTATAATATAACGCCCGTTATGATTGACATGAGAAGAAGATTGACTCATCCCTGGCTGTATCTTATCCTCATCAAGTGTTTCCTGAAGTGAAGGTTCGCTAGTCTTGCACAGCCAATATCGCGGGCGCGTAGCGATGCGGCCTCTTATGAATGTCATTGGGCGGGCGCAAGCGGCAGACATGGGATCACCCACTTGGGCTCGCTAGATTCTCACGACGGTGTGACAAGAGGAGAGCATTACATACGGATAGCGGTCTGATCTTGGTAGTGTGCGTGCTTGGTGATAGGCGGATACGGGCTGGCGAGGGCGCGGGTCTGGTGTTGCTTATATGCATGTGCCTGGCAGGGCCCCCACCAACGGCTACCTCGTCCTCGTGCTCCTGCTTCGCCGTATGTCGTCGACACCTCCGGAGCTCACCAACGGCACTGCATTAGCTACTGCAACACCGCGACCATATAAGCTTTGACCGTGCCGCAACGCAATCGCTCGCATACGTGCCCTATGCGGCTTGACCAAGCTGTGCCTCGGTGAACAGCCCGCTCCGACCAACAACGCATCATCGTTCGCTGTGCTGCATGCCCCCATGTCCGCCACTCCATTTGCTGCGTGATTGCCTGGCTACGACTCCAAGAACACCCGCGACATTGGCCCACGAACATTGCGCATACGGTGCTGGAGCCATTGTCCTAGCGTCCTGTCCAAGGCCTACCAGAACCCACTTCCCGCATTGTCGCCTGTCGCTCGTTGCCTGTCGCCCGTCACCGTCATCGCTGATCGCTGATCGCTGCCCGAGGGACACGACCAGCCCACTTCTGCGACAATACCTCTTCTGAAGACGCGCCCAGCAGCGCCTGACACTGCGCATATATTGCCCATCATGACGACCCAAATACCTATGATTTCGGTCCCGCTCAAGCAGACCAACGAGATTGATTGGATAGCTCCACTGAAACAGTACATACGAGCCACGTACGGCGACGACCCAGAACGTTACTCGGAAGAATGCGCCACGTTGAATCGCCTGCGCCAGGACATGAGAGGCGCCGGAAAGGACAGTGCAGCGGGGAGGGATCTGCTCTATCGCTACTACGGACAGCTGGAACTGCTCGATTTGAGATTCCCAGTGGATGAGAACCACATCAAGATTAGCTTTACGTGGTACGTTTGTGGAAGTGTTGCTGCAGATACATGAGTAGTATACATGGAAGGCGGACACAAATTAGGCAGATGTAGGACAGCCACCACTGACAGACGACAGGTTCGATGCTTTTACACACAAGCCGACCTCGCAATACTCGCTCGCATACGAAAAGGCCAGCATCATCTTCAACATCTCAGCCGTCCTATCCTGTCACGCCGCCCACCAGAACAGACATGAGGATGTGGGGCTCAAGACTGCGTATCACTCCTTCCAGGCATCCGCCGGCATGTTCACATACATCAACGAGAACTTCCTCCACGCACCCTCGACTGATCTTAGCCGGGAGACTGTCAAGACGCTGATTGCCATCATGCTAGCGCAGGCGCAAGAGGTGTTTCTAGAGAAGCAGATTGCAGATGGAAAGAAGGTTGGCTTGCTCGCGAAATTGGCGAGCCAGGCTGCATTTTTGTATACACAGGCTACAGAAGGCGCACAGGAGAATGTCACCAATGCTGTGTTTGAGAAGGTTTGGCTATTGGTTTGCCAGGTAGGAGCATCACAGCCATACTTGAAGGTCAAGACTAACTGTTCAACAGATCAAATCACACCATATGGCTTCTTTGGCCCAGTACTATCAAGCCCTGGCAGACGATGACGCAAACTCACACGGTGTCGCAATCTGTAGACTTCAGGTCGCTGAGGCAAGCGCCAAAGACGCGACTCGAGCGGCAGGCAGTTTTCCTAACAATGCACCTGCCAATTCAAATCTCGCCTCAGATACGGGTAGCATACTATCGGAGATGACTAAAAAGCATTTAGCGAATGTACAGGAGAAACTGGCCGAGTTTTCAAAAGACAACGACTTCATCTACCACCAGGGTATTCCAAATGAGGCATCGCTTACGCCAGTGTCGAAGATGCCTGCGGCGAAAGCGATACCCGTCAGCGAGCTATACCAGGGCCAAGACATCCAGAGAATCATCGGACCAGACATTTTCCAGAAGATTGTGCCTCTAGCTGTGACTGAGTCAGCTAGTCTATACGACGAAGAGAAAGCCAAACTTATCCGCGCGGAGAGCGAACGAGTCGAAGTAGCCAACGACGAGATGGCTGCTGGTCTGGATTACCTGAAGCTGCCTGATAGTCTCAATGTCATAAGAGGGGGTATGGATCAGGATATGATGGTCGACAATGATTTCAGAATGTGGTGCGAGGAGCTTGCCGGACACCAATCGTTTGGAGCGGCTTTTGAGCAACTGGATCGCGACAAATCTGAGATTATCAACTCACTGGAGTCGAGTATGAAACAGTTGGACATGGAAGAAAGCGTTTGCGAGAAGATGAGATCAAAGTACGGAGCAGAATGGACGCAGCAACCTAGTTCACGCTTAACTTCGACATTGCGGAGCGACATCAGGAATTATCGTGGAGCGGTTGAAGAGGCAAGCAGCAGTGATGCTCAGCTCTATAGCACGTTCCGCCAATATGAAGCCGACTTTGACGAAATGCGATCAGCCGGTGAGACTGATGAAGCGGATGTGCTATACTCGAGAGCCATGGTCAAGGCTGGTGCAACCAAGGGAAAAAGCCCCAGGCCAACTGAAGGCAGTCTGATTGATGAGGACATTGATGAGGGTCCTTCAGTTACAGACCAGATTGGCGCTGTTGAGGATATCCTGCGGAAGCTGAATCTTGTCAAGAAGGAGAGGATGCAGATACTGAAGGACCTCAAAGACAAGGTAGGCATGCCAACTCAAGTTTTGAGGTGCACTTTACTAACCGGATAGGTTCACTCTGACGACATCTCCAATGTTCTCATACTCAACAAGAAAGCAATTGCAAACCAAGAGGCGCAGTTGTTCAAAGCTGAGCTTGAAAAGTTCCGGCCACACCAAAACCGCATCTTGCAGGCGAATCACAAACAAGCGTCCCTTCTCAAGGAACTCACACGTACATACTCAGACCTGCTAAAAGACAAACGCGTACGATCTGAGCAGAGCAAATATGAGGCCTTTTCGAGACAACGGAATATGGTCATGACCAAGTACCGGAGAGTGTACCAGAGCTTCAATGATCTTGTTGCTGGCTTGTCACGTGCCCAAAGCTTTTACTCAGAGATGAAGGATACTGTCTCGAGTCTGTCGAAGAATGTCGAAACTTTTGTTAATAACCGAAGAGGGGAAGGCGGACAGCTTCTCTCGAAGATAGAGGAGCGGAACAAGGCGCAAGGCGCAGACCAGGAACAGCAACGAATGAAGGAACTCATGGAAAGGATGTCGATGGAACCTTCTGGTTCACCTGTATCACAGGGCTCAGGCCGAAAGAAGAGCATACCGCCACCACTGTCATCAACTCCTAGTTACCCATCAACCTCAGGGGCTAGTCACGCAGCGTATAATCCTGCAGCCTCACCACCTGTCACGCCCCGTTACCCCGCTACCACAGCCCCAACCCAGCAGTACATGTCGCCACAGCAAGGCTACAACCAAGCTCCTCCACGACGAGAGAGCTACCAGCAACAATACGCCCATCAATCACAGCCGTCGCAGTCCTCTTCAGGCTATAACCCTGCAGTACACAACCAATACAACCCCGTTTCTCCCCCTGCGCATCAGCAATTCTTTTCTCCACCGCCGGCTCAGCATCAACAACACCAGCCTTGGGGTCAGCCTCCACAGCAGCAGCAACAGTGGAGTGGTACGCCACAGCCACCTAACCTGCCGCAAGGTTACGTTCCTCCTCCCCCACCACCTGGGCCCCCACCAAGCCATCAGCAAGACTACAGCCATTTTTCTCAGCCTGGATACCCAAGTGGAACAGGGGGTTACACTCATCCGCAGAGGCAGGGAGGGCAGAATCAAGGTGCGGGTGGAGCGCACGATCCTTGGGCAGGGTTGAGCGGTTGGAAGTGAGGGTAGTAGAAAGATGCGTGGGGAAAGGAAGGGGATGCAAGGGTGAATTTATGTTAGTTTAGTGAATAGGAGGTAGTTTCGTAGATGGAGTTAGCATCGTAATTGGATGTATTTCTTTTACTTCTTGACTTCTGTTTTGTGATGATCATTTAAGACATGAGTGGAACTTTTGTTGAGTGCAGGCTAGACATTTTGTTTTTTTTTAGGCATTGTTATACAAGTTTACATGACTTGCTATCTCATCATGCCCCCACAATCGTAGAGACCAGATCCACCAAAAGTCAGTTTGTTTCAACTTGCTTGGTGGAAAGCAACCCCTAGCAAGTCTAGCTTTTTTTTCAGCCCAAGAGAATCACATACCCTACTACATGGGCCATCAAGCAAAGCAAGGAACCTCTAGCATCCCTCATTCTTCCCTTTACCTCTTCCCACTCAACGCAAACTCCAACTCCGGATACTCTCTCCAAAGATTCACAAGCGGCAAAAACATTTTCCTCTTCACCTCCCTGCCTTCCTTCTCAGCCGCTGCTTGCTCACCAGCCCAAGCCCACATCTGGCTCCACGGTACCCACTCCCATGCTGCGCATTTGTGTGGTTCCATCGGCTTATCATGTCACAATCATCAGCCAGCTATTAAATCCCCGGAGAAGCACATCGTTGGAAAATGCATAGAAAAAGAAAGGGGAGGGGGAAGAAGGAAGAAGGAGGGAATAGTACCTTTGCCACCTTATCCTCTCCCGTAATCGTACACGTGACAAAAATAGTAACATAGTGTTTGCTCTCACCAAACACGTCGTTTGTGGCGGTTAGAAACTTGATGTTGCCGACTTCGAGACCGGTTTCTTCGAGGACCTCGCGGGCTGCGGTTTCGGCAAAGGATTCAGAGTATTCGAGGTGGCCGCCAGGACATTGGAATGTGCCTTTGGGAAAGTTTCAACCAGAGATAGACAGGAGGAGGTAAAGAAGAGAATCGAGCAACGTACCCGCGCCGTGGCTGCCTGCGCGCTCGCCCATGATGATGTTGCCAGCCTCGTCGTGGATGATGACGCCGACACCAACTTTGGGGCGCTGAGCTTCCGACATTGCGATATTATCCTAGTACTCAAGTATGTATCAAAAAAGAAAAGAGGTTGAATTGAGAAGAAAAAAAAGTACAACTTTCCAAGAAAGAGAGAAGAATAGTTGAGGTAGATGCTTATGTATGAATCATTCACACAAACACATAGCCCCGCTTACTTGTGTGCCTAGTACAAGCGGGCAAGCACAAAGCACAGCCCTAGGCTAACACATAGATTTCCTTCCTCATCTAGCCTAGCCTCTCTCATCCCACATCTCCAACCACAACCTCCACCACCAACCAACCAACCAACCAACCTACATACATATATAAATCCCCCAAAAAAACATTTACTCTACCTTACTTCTTCCTCCACCCCTGAATCTCATCCAACGTCAAAACATACGCATCACTATACACCCTCTTCAACAACTCGACACTATTCCACGCCCCACCACTAATATACTCTCCCCCCCAAACCACAAACCACGCCCAATCCGCGCGATACGCCTGCAAATCCGCGGGCTCCATGACACTCCCGACTTCTGTCGCCGCCACAATCTTCTGCCGCGTGCCCAGCTTCAAAAGCGCATTGTACGTTGCAGACTGCGGTCCGTGGTCGCCCTGCGCATACGTATCCGCAGACACGATATCGACGACATCATCGCCCGGGTACCAGTCGGCGGCAACCGAGTTCCAGACCCAGATGAGATTGTGCAGCTTGTGCACGTTGGTCAGGCGCTCGTATAGAATCCGATACAGTTTCTTTGCTGGCGCGGCGCCTTTGGCGCCCCACCAGAACCATGCGCCTTCGGCTTCGTGCAGCGGTCGGAAGAGGACGGGGATGCCTGCGCTTTGGAGTTTCTTGAGCTGAGCGGCGACGGTGTCGATGTCGTGCATTAGCAGCGTGTAATTCGCGTTCTTGGTGTCGGCTAGGGCGGTGGAGATGTCAAAGTCTGTGGCGCGCGTGTAGAAGCCGGACCACCATGGTTGCTCGGTTGTGTCGTAGAGGCCTGTGGGTGCACCCCAGTGCCAGACAAAGGTTACGATGCCGCCCTTTTTGGCGAAGGCGAGGGCGTGGTCAATGTCTTTTGAGGAGGCGCCGCGGGAAGTGCGCGAGTCGGTGTAGTCCATTAGGTCGAGGCCGAGGATGGCGGGTGTCTTGCCGACGTTGGTGGTTACCCAGTCAAAAGATGCTTGGTCTTGTTGGCCTGAGAGTATCTTTTTGCCGTAGATGCTGACGAGATATTTGAGGAGCGCTTTGGCGTTGGCATTTGCTTTGGGGTTTACAGGGGTTGTAGTGATGTTGTGAGGAGGTCGCTGGGCAGTGGGCGTAAGGGTGATGGCGTCGATGAGGTACCAGCCCCAGTTGCTCTGGATCTCAACTGTGTTTATGCCTGCTTTGAGCAGCACCTGACCGGCCGGTACAGTTGTCCATTTCGTGGTCGCGGGAAGACTGACTTGGCTGCCGCCTGCGTTGTTAAAGACAACGTTGGTGAACTTGTCGCCATAGGGTCCGTTGTAGATCAACTCGAGGTCGTGCAGACCCCCGGTTTGGCTGGTGATGTTAAACGTAACTTTATCCGTGGCGTCCGAGAAGCCTTCTACGTATCCGGTTCCTAGATAAACACTGATTTAGTGGAATTGCACAAGTAAGTTTCAGACAGTGAAAACTGATTTACCTGTGAAGCCAGCAACTGAAGAGCCAACCGTGGTACCAGAGAGCGTAGCATCCTCCGCCTGAAGAGTAACCTTCTGACCTACAGCCAGCGCAAAGAGAGCCGCAGCAGCAAGAAGTGGCCCAAACATCTTTTCTCTAAAAAAAAACAAGGCACCTGATCACTGCGTACCTACCACACACTCACCCCAGCTCTTCATTTATATATCCCATCCATCACTCTCGTTACACATGCAACCTCTTGATCAAGCCCTTTAGCCCGGACACTTTCCATTCCGTGCCTCGATACTAGTTTAATTTGATAGGGTTGGCATACATGATGCCACCTTTGAAACCTCTCCACAAGAGACCTAGACAGAGGCCAAAAACGGGGGGTTCCCACACTTAACGTGACTATGGCAATATCGCTAAATGAACTAGGCGAAAAGGGCAAGGATGTCATGCCCACCAATCAATGCAAAACGGACCACCACACTCCGGGCCCGTAAAGGAAATACAGACGAGCATCTCGGATGGAGGATACTGCTAGTCCATGTGATTGGGAAATATTGCCCGTGCCTTGCTGTAGGGTAGTAACACTATACCATGCGTAGAAGGTCTTTATACTCGTTCATCGGAAATGATAAATTCATGTCTATATGCGCTAGACATGGCTTTGCCTCGCCATAAACGTATTTCACAACCTATGCAGACTTGACCAGCTGGGTTATGTCATCAACATCCTTGGGTGTCGGCGTCAGATTGTCCACCCCGTCCTTCGTAATGAGAACATTATCTAAATCATGTTAGCTCCGCAGAATTTCGTTTAAACCACCATCACTTGCCTTCAATCCGGACTCCTCCCACCGCCCAGTACTTATCCAACACACTTTCATCGATATACTTCTTCTTCTCTTCGTCCTTGAGATATGGCTCAATGATGAACTTGCAAAAGTAGATTCCGGGCTCAACAGTAATTACGCTGCGCTCTGGTAGCGCCCCTCGTGTCCGGAGATATCGAAACATGACATCCTTGTCTGCATAGTTTGCGTTGCCGCCAGTATCATGAGTGTCCATTCCGAGGTAGTGGCCCAAGCCGTGTGGGAAAAACGCTACACTGATTCTCTTTTTGAATAGCTCTTCTGCATCTCCCTTCAAGATACCGAGATCCAAGAGCCCCTTGATAGCAATCTTGTGAGCAAGTTCGTGGACATGGTCCCACACGACGCCAGACTTGAGTGCACTGATACATTGCAGCTGCATGTCAAGAACAATCTTGTAGATGGCCAGAGATTCTGCTGTGAATGTGCCTTTGATAGGGAATGTGCGTGTGATATCTGACGCATAGCAGTCGAGCTCGCATCCAGCATCCAGCAGCAAAAGGTTCTGGTTTGTAATTGGCGCAGCATTATGGACATAATGCAGTGTGGCTGCGTGCTCCCCTGCAGCGACAATGGAGTGATAGGCCTGGTTCTTTGCGTTGCGCTCAACGCAGGCCTTGAGGAAAACTGCTTCGAGCTCGCATTCATTTTGCGCCTTGGAAGCGGCCTTCATGACGGCTACGTGAGCTGCAGTAGAAATGACATTTGCCTTGCGGATAAGCGCAACCTCGTAGTCCGTCTTGATAACTCGGCAGTACTCAATGGCCGTTTTGAGTTGGGTAAACTCCTTTTCCTTGAACGCGATGAAGGTAACGTGGTCCGATACCTGCTCTGGGATGGCATAAATTGTTGATTGTGATGACTCGGATGTGCTGGCAAGGTGCGAATTTAGCTCGTCGGTGGTGAAGCACTCGTCAATATCGTATTTCGCCTTTGCTTCCTCTGGGCTCATTGGCAGACCTGACCAGATGACCTCATCCGGGTGTACAGGAGGTACGTAAAGTGTCAGCTTCTCAGTGGCCATCTCGTATTTGAGGTACGAGTCTGGAAGCTCGCAACCACTGAGATAGAAAAAGTAGCGTCGCTGTCTAGAGGCGGAGTGATCAGCATAGGTCCCTCACACATGGTTCGTCTTGTTATCCGTACCGGAATGGCGCTTCTCCATCGTTGTCCTCATTCAACTTCTGCTTCTGAGCCTCCAGATAAATCGTTCCATTCTTATCCCCGCCTTTGCTCACCAACCACTCCTTGACCTTTTTCGCATGCTCTTTAGCTGGGTACTTGCCCTTGAGGACCTCGTCGTAGTTCTCAGCAACGGCCATTTTGGTCACGTTGATCCAACTGTCACTCTCTGTAGATAGACTGTATAAGCACGGTGTTGCAGTTGCGGAACTCGCTAATCGTCGTTGCGAAGTTCGTGCAGCGGTAGTACGCAGGGTGTGTCGAAGGGAGCGACTGATTTGGGGTAAGATGTTGTACATAAGAAGGGAAAGGGGGCGTGACCTGTAGGAGCTGCCTCGTCAGTTGATTAGGTGCAAAAGATAGCTCGGGTTAGGAAGGTGGGGTGGGTGGGGTGGTGAGACTCGAGTCTAGCAGGCGCGGCTCTTAGTCCGACGAAATACTCGGATAAAAACCACACCCACCAAAACAGCGTAATGTTGATGAGATCTAACTGTACACTAGTATGATAGAATGATGTGTTCTTCTCTACGAAAATTACTTTAATATGTCATACGCCAAACAGATACGAACAACCAAACTTATATTTGTTAAACTACGTCGCGGTGAATACTGCTGATTGCAGATGGTAGCTTTGTTTCGATAGGAGCTGTTTTAATCCGGGTATTCCGTCGGACCAAGAGACGGGTAGTCGCGGTTATGCGATTCACGAGCTTTTATAGATGAGGAAGGTGTGATTCCACCTAGCAACTGGTTACTGCGATAATGATGGGAGTCATAGAAAGCTGTGTTTGGTAAAAACAATATTATAACATTGTCGTTTGATGCATCCGCTAGTGCGCGTGAAACTACGTAATCATGTCTATAAATTTCTTAAACTTTATTACAACGTGCCAACAACCCCTAGCCTAGCCATCAAGAAAAACAAGCAAGCTCCAAACACCTACGCCGTGCCATGGCATTGCCCAAAATCGGGTATTCCTTTTATCGTTCAGGTATAAAGATGCAGTGAAACAAAACGATCCTGCAGGCGTTGCAGCCAAGCGAACAATGGCACGACATGGTTATTCTATGGGTTATAGGTCCACGGCCACAACACCCCGCACTAGTCTGCTCTACGGCGATGTGCAAATGTCGATGCTAGAAACAATGGTTCGGTTGCGGCCAGCCATCAAGCTGGAGGACTGATATCTTTCAACAAACAAAAGGCCATCTAGTCTTGCCAACGCCTGAGGAACTTGGCCATGTCGTCGGTGGCATGAGGCGCCGGGGCAACCTATAGAACAGTTAGCAAATATTCCCAATTGGGCTAAGCACAAAAGACTGCGTGTGCTCGTTGCCAACCATTCGAATAACATACCGTATTCGCCCTCATCTTGGTAGAAAATGTCTGTGTGGCCGTGAGTGTCATCACCTGGCTAGGAGTCGGCAGCTTGGTTTTGGCAATCCTCACACTGCTGGTAGGGTACAGTGGCTTGGTGTTGGTTGCAGTAACCTTGGTGCCAGGTACAGGCTGCATGGGCGCATAACGAGTGATGTCGGTCTGCATTGTGTATTCGACAGCATATAGATCACCAGCAGTCGCCGGGTCTTTATCGGTCAAAGTGTTTTCACTTGCCGGTCCAGCTGTACCAGTGACGGCGGTGGCGGCCTTTTTCACAGTCGGGTTGAGGATGTTCTTGCCAGTCATGCCGGAGAAGGAAAAGCGATCAGAGTAGACGACGTACTGGCCGTCGCCAGTCTTGCCAGTTGCAATCATCTTGACGAAGCTGCGATGCCGGCATTAGTCTTGTGCTAGAGCAAGGGTTGAGGAATCTGGGGCGGTGCACGTACTATGCATTGGCATCCTTGAGATCCTCTGATACAGCTGCTTCTACTCTTCCTGAAGCTGCGTTACCCGCCGAGAATAAGCCGCTCGGGGTAATGGTAGTCACGATCATCTAGTAGAGCTGTCAGCATACGACCGCTATGCTCGTTGCCCCAAGCTCAGCTTACTTGTTCCTCGCCCTTGTTACCTCCAACTACCAGCTGCAACTGGTAAGCCTTCAGGTCCGCAAGTTTGGGCCCCGCGTCGGTTTCCTGCCATTGTACAGTAATGGCAGAGCCAGCGACAACCGTAGAACCAGGCGCGGGGGCAGTGAACTTGATGCCAGCGTGTACGAGAGGAGATAAGGTGGCGACGACTGCAGCGAAGGGAACGAGTATCCGTGCCATGGTGGGCGTAGTGTGCGACGGGGGAGCGACAATGGAGCGAGTGGCCGAGGCGAACTTGCGACTCTGTGTACCGCAGCGGTGGAGGTGGAGGCGTGGACGAGGCGGGTATTTGTTAGTACCCAGAGCGTGAAGTGTGCAGCAAGTCCGGACTCGTTCAACGAGACTGTGGCGCCCCAGGGGCACACGATCGTCGTTGCCGCGCAAGCTAAAACCTGCCCGTAACAGGGATGCGCACGCATGTCATTGCGTAGCCTCAACACGACACAACGCACCGCAAAAAAATGCCATGTTCTTGTGTAGTTGTCTGATAGCGGTGCCTAGTCGAAGCCGCAAGGTGGAGCTTGCTGATCAACGGCGCCAGCATCGATGACTATTGGCATTCCAATCTTGCGTAAGCCGCGATTGATAGACTTCCCGCACAGCCTTGGCACCGGCAGTCCTCACTCTGGAACTGGAACGGTACCTGAATCTAGAGTACATCATTCGGGTCTCCACAAACAACCGTCAAAAAGTGGGCTCGTGCGTTTGCGCGCCAACGAATTTCAACATTTCTTCCTATGCACCTATTTGGTGTCTATAGTACACAATGACCCGCTTGCCTAGGCTCGATCTCGATGCCTCTGTTTTGCTATTACCCAAACGCCGATTTCATGCTCAAGGTGGGGGATATCCTGAAAACTCGAAACAACAAGGAGAATGACGCTTCATCTTGCGTCCGCTCAGTCTCTGCATACACATCTCTGTCTCTCTCTCTGTCTCTCTCTCTCTATCTCTATCTCTCTTGTAACCAACACTCACGCTACCTGCGCATTACGCATCTTGGGGGTACCCAATCGAAGGTTAAAAGTTGTTGGCAGCCGGCACGTCATCGTGGCCGCCTGACCCGCCTTTTGTAGCTGCAGTGTCAATTCCCGGAGCTTCTCTGGAGTGAAGATCTGGACGTCAAACGACAGTAAGAACTCGACACACAGCTCCAGGCGGCTGAGGGCTGCCTCGTCGACGCCGCCTACAGCCGCAAAGCGCTTCTGAGGCCATCGGTGATCCTCGAGCGCCTTCATCGCCACCAGTGCACAGGCCAAGATAAGCCGGTGCATGGTGCGATAAGTCAGTGGGACGCTCCTATCGATAACGCACAGGCGCAGCATGTAGGACCCAGCCGCTAGCCAGACTGCAGTCGATAACGGGCAAAATTTCTGGATGCGATTCATGTACTCTTCCACGCCCACCTTTGGCACCGTCTTGGAGAAGAATTTCCTCGCCATGTTGGCCCGTTGCACCGCCTCGGGCTGCGCTCCGGCTCCGATGTCGTGAATGGTGACGGGCTCGTCGTGGCTCGCTTCTGGCGGAGCTAGTTCCGTAGGCTGGTGGCTTTCCTTTTCGGCGGGTATAGGCGTGGCGGGTCTAGAAGAGGTTCTTCGGTGCTGTCGAATGACCTGCGTCTCCCGACCGCCTGGTGTTGCCGGTCGCGACAGCGGTGGCGTGGCTGGCACGTCACCGGCGGCGTTTGCTATGGCGATGATGGAGCGTGCAATCAACTTCATGGCCGTCTCGCGTGACATGCTGAGAACGTCGAGCTCGTCATCGTTCACTGGTGGTGATGGTGCGTCCTGGAGGCTGAGGCTGTTGAACTCTGGGAGAACACCCGCGTCTCCAGCTGGGTTTGGTGCTGTTGGAGGATTCATTGTTGTTTGATTTTGTATGACCGGTGCGAGGACGAGTCGCCTCGGATGCACGGTCTTGAGAGGAGGGGTAGGGTAGCAGACTTGGATCATTTGGACGTGTGGATTTATGACGTGGCGCCGAAGTCTACCGATTTACCACACAGACGGAAAGTGTGTCGAGAGAGAGGGCCAAGTGATTATGTGAAATGCCTGCATGGAATCAGCATGCGTTGGGTGGAGAGTCATGGGCGTTGCTCGGACTTACAGCGGGATGTGGTGAAGAGAGATATGAACCGAGTTTTTTGCTATGACTTATTTTTTCTTGCCCTTTTTGGGCTGGGTATGCAGGTTGCAATTGAGACTGAGGACTGGTAGAGAGGATTGATTTGACAGAGGCGGTGGTAGAGTTGGAAGGGTGGGCGTGGGTAGACAATAAGAGGAGGAGGAGCAGAGATGGTCAGGGGATATGTCTGAGCGGCAGAGTTGTGGTGATATGAAGATTCTGAAAGACACGATAGACGATAGCTCGGGGCAGAGCGTGGTTTGTAGGTCAAGTGACGCTAGGAGGAAGTGAACTTGTCTTAAACAAGATGGTCGGACCTGTAGCCAGACGACGCGTCCTTCCGAGGGCCGGGGCTATATGGCAGGCAGGGAGGCCATGGAAGGGCAACTGTGTGCTAGCTGGCTTAGCTGCTGGTAGAGCGGGCGCAAGTCATTAGGGAGGCTTGAGGCACGGAGGGTAGAGTAGGAGGCAAGCAGCGTGTGGGTCGGGGCGCAAAGGTACGTGGAGGGCTAGTGGGCGTCAAAGGTGGGCCACAGGGCCCAGGAGCGGGTCTCGTGAAGAGCAAAAAGGGCCAAAGCGCTGGCCCACCGGGCCGTGGACAGTCAGTATAGGCAGAAGAGGGACATGAGGGACAGGAGAGCAGCAGAGAGGAAAAAAAGCAGAGAGAAGCAGCGTCTGGGTCGTGGCGGGCGTGATTGGCGGTTGGCTGCCTTGTTAAGCAAGAAGCAACGGGATGAGCACATGCATGCGGCCTTTAGCTCTGGGGGGGGGGGGGGAAGAGGGCGACGAGGGGAAAAGGATTGCGGAGCGCGTTCCGGACCATGGGCTTGCTTGGAGGAAGCGGTGCTGGATATTGGGCAGGCCAGGCCAGGGCAGGCCAGGGCAGTGCGGGCTGCGGGGGGTTGCAGACGAGCTGCAGGGTCCAGTAAGGCGGTAGAAGAAGCAAAGAAGCCTTTTGGCAATATTGTAAGCAGAGACGAGTCGGAGAAAGGGAGGGCAGGGCGGCCCATGTTAGTGCTGTGGATGTACTAGTACTATGGATCTATGTACACACTACATGGCTGCTTCTATGTAATGTACGCACGCATATGTGTACATATGTAAATAGAGTACGCACTCTACTATGTACATGCACTCACACGGCGGCCGCGGCAGTGTTCTCGGCTCGCCCATTAAGTCGTTTGCCCCGTCTTTTGCCTCCCCGCCGCCCCCCTCCCTCTGGCGCCCCTCGACATCTGCCATCGTGACCACCTCCCGTACAGTAGAGTACATGCACCCATACATGCACATGTATCTACTCACTGACTAACATACCACATACTCTCACGCTCGCTCTGCACAAGGTGCCAGCGCGGGGAATGGCCCTAGCGAATGCAGCCTCTGTCGGATTAGGATTATGCACCACGCCCACTGTGCAGGCAACACACCCTCTCTCGCCCACATCCACACCCACCACTCACTCCACACCCTCCTCCACGCCCGCACTGCACATCAACCTCCCCATCTGGCTGCGTCGCGGAGCCGGGCGGTGGTTTCACGAGCCCTCGCATCGCTTACGTTGCAGCGGATCGATGCACACGCAAATCATGGACATGCCGAGCACATGCACCTCCACGTGTTCGCGCAGACTGCCCGGCCCAGGTGGCGGCTTGCACTCGCCCACAGCCGGTCCGCGTCCGCCCTCACGCTGCCAGACGCGGAAGTGATTGACACATGTCAACACCCCCCATTCTCCGCTGCCATCGCTGACACCATGGTCGATCGACGCCCGACCGCCCGGCCTTTGTCCCAGGCCACAGGTCACTGGTCACGGGAGTCGAATCGAACGGATCCCAGCCGTTTGTTTGTTCTGCATGTCTTTGGGTCCATGCCCATTATAGTCCCGCTGGACCGTTGAATATGCCTTGGGCCCGTCAGATTTGCCCTTCTGCTACAGTAGTAGCACAGTGGTAATCTCGCCGGCAAACCCAACGTACGGTACAGCGGAGCGTGCATGTCCGCTACACAAAGGCCGGCATTCGCTATCAGCCAACCAACCAAACTCATCCAGCTACTAACTAGCCAGCACACTGCTCACCCACCTCTTCCCTTTCCCCATCTCTCATCCAACAGGCACTCAGTCCCAGCCACGACCCAAGCAAATCCAACGAACCAATGCAACCTGCAATCACTCACTGGCGGCCCAACAAGAACACTCTCCAGCGCCCTACATTGCGCCATCTGTCCCATCTGCAACACACCCCAACCACTCCCACCGTCCCTGCATCCCCCCAGTTTCCCGCAAAAAACGTCACCGTACATGACTGGCTTGGCTCCAAAGCAAGATTCCATGCAGTAGTCCTGGCCTAAGGTCCTCACTGCAAAACACAAAAGTCTCCCGAGTCCTTTAGCACACAAAAAAACACAAACTTGTTGACCGCCCTTGAGACCGACGGCGTGACTGGGGGTGCTCGTATACGACGAATATATGTGTCACTGTTGTTCGTGCCTACCTACATAGATATATACATGAGCTAAGTACGTATTGATTTTGTCGAAATAACTCCGAGTAGCTTCTCCATTCTACTATGCCTACAATGGTAATGTGGCTCCGACTGGTCTGTATGGTATCAATGCCTGTTCCCTGTCCTTTCTGTCGTCCGCTCGACCTATTATCACAAGCCAGTGATGCAACTGAAGAAAACCTTGTTTGACTTGCTCAATTCCCTTCCTGACTCATAGAAGAAACACTATTTTTCTCCCTTTTCTTTTGCTCGTCTCGATATGCAACAAAGATAAAAGCAGCATAGATTTCCACGCTACAGCAAGGCTACTTGGACTTGCATACATAATACCCACCTTCATACATACGTACGTGATCAAAATTCAAAAGGCGACTTCCACACGTCCCCACCAGTTCTTTCTCTGCAGCAGCATGCATCTTCTTTTCTTTCCCCCACACACACGAATTAAGCAAAACTCCGCCATTTTCGTCTTGGCTGTTTTGTTGCACATGTTACACGTAGTTTTTCACCCCAGGACAAAAACATCAACATCACATGTTCACATGCCAGAAACTACTTCGACCGAGGGTTAGACTGGAAAAAAAAGTGCCGCAACAACTACCGAAGTAAACTTTTTATGCAAAAAAAAAAGATGGATAGTATGGCTGACGTCGGCCAGAGAAAGGTAACTAGTTATATTGGCATGGCATATATACGCCTCACTCAGTATCCAAATGCCCCTACCCCATACGTACGTACACATATATACTTTCAACCTAACAATGCAATATGAATCCTCCTTCTCCTCTAAAAAAACATTGTCAAAAATCTAAAAGATTGAGAGAGAAAGACTCCAAAAGAAAAAAGCCCAACAATGAAATAAATTCAATCATCATATTTCCCCAGCACCCCCCCCCCCCCCCAACTTAACTTTTACACCTGACTAACCCTCGCCTTCTTCCTCGTACTGCCCGGTATAACGCTCGGCCCACTACTCCGCGCAGGCGTATCATCCCTGCCCCTCTTCTTCTCCCGCTGATCAAGCACCAGCTGCAGCACATCGTACGGGAACTGGGGGAATTCGAGACATATTGCCTTGAACTCTGGCTCTGCGTCGTGTCGTAGGCTGTAGCTGCGCGTAGCCCAGAAGGCAGCGACGGGCTTGCGGATAGTAGTGTCTTCCGGGTCGGATTCCTTGTACACGTAACGGGCGTATGCGAGTTCGCCTTTAGCGGTGGAGGCGGCGCGGTGGATTTTGGAGTGTGCGAGGGGTTTTAGCTCGGAGAGTTGCGGGCGTGGAACAGGAGGCCGACGCCCTCGTGGTCGATTTCTGGTTGGCGCGGGTCCTTTTCGAGGGAGGCGTCGCGTGCTGAAGACGACTTTTTGGGGAAGTATTCGCCTGTGTAGAGGTACTCGATTATGGAGCCCATGGCGTCTATGTCACAGTCTGAAAAGACAATTTGGCGCGGCTAACGTGGTGTCAGCTGAACATTGTACAAGCCATGTTGCCACTGTTGTGGGTGCTATTTTATCACCCCCTGGCGCAAACTTTTCGACATGTTTGCCAAACTCGGGCGACTTGAGAAGAACAGCCTCGTGTGCTGAGTATGTGGTGCAGGTCTCTCCGAATCCAGCAACGACTTCTACGATTGGACTCTTGATCAGGCTGGTGAGCGCGTTAGATGCATGTCCTTTTTATTCTCTCGTTTGCTCCCCCATATGTTTATTTTTGGCCCCCCCTAAGCAAGCTGTGAGAAAATGTAGGCGCGCATCTCATTGTGTCTCAGGCGCTCTTGCACCCAACGCCTCACCCAGCGTGCCAGTCTGCAACACCTACATCTTACCCCGGTATGACTTTCTCTGAGAATGAAACCAGCTTAGGCGCTTCAAGTTCAATATCAGCCAAAGCCGTCTCTTCGCCAGCACCTTCGTCCGCGCCAGCGCCAGCATCAGCTGCGCCTTCCATCTCTACATCCTCGACTGGTGTGCCCTCAACAGGCGCCTGTTGCTCAACATCCGCCATGGCAAATGTGTCCTCTGTATTTATGATGCTCGGACAGCGCGAAAATATGTGTCACGCGATATAGATAAAAGGAAAGCAAGTGGAGGTGCGCGACAAAGTTCAGATGCAAATTAGCTTGTGAAAGATCTTCCCGTATGTCAGCGCAGAACCACCAAGTGAGAGATGGACTGCAGTGCTGCTCTTTTACTTTTTAGAAAAACATTTCCCGTAAAAGCAAAATTACGCTACAGTAATTGAAACAAAGTAGCGATTCTAATCCAGCTCACAGTGTGGAGGGCGGGTGCGTGGTTGCGAGGTGGCTGGCTAAGAGAGAGTGGTTAGGCGTGATGCTGGGAATGCCAGGGAAGCTCCAACGCGTTGCTTACACGCTAACGCAGGAACAAGCTCAGCTCGCGCTACTCATCACCCCTCAGTGGTACGTTATCGACAACCATATCTCTATGTACATGCACGACTGTGAAGCCGTCAAAATTTGTCTGATTTGAGCACATGATCAAGACACTGGCAGAAACAACTCAGTTCATATATACTATTATGATCTCAAATAGCTATGTGTTTCCACCCTGGTGACTTGTGTATATCTAATAATCGAAAAAGTAGGTATTTTGGGGTTGTCATTCAAACTCCAGCCGTGATTCCGTGCTCCGTGAAATGCAAAAGAAGATTGCGTACATATGTACCGACAAATGGCGCTATATAGCTAATGTAGAAGCGAAATGAAGGCTTGCGAAACGCTATCAAATTTCCACTACCTACAAACGACCGCTGTTTTCGCGGTAGCGATCACCGGTGGTGGGTACTGGCTTGTCTGCTCGGATAACGTACAGCAAAAGGTCCTCGAGGGGAATGAAGACGTAAAAGACCTTGTTGCAGAAGAAGGAAAAGAACACGAAGCACGTGGCTACGAGCGCATCCATAAAGTAGTGGTTGGCGGTAGCGACAATAACGGTGAGGATGAATGAAGGATATCCAATGCCAAGGATGAGGTAGAAGATCTTCCAGAATGCGTTTTTGCGAACCTCGCCTGGCTCCAAGGTGCGGCGGAACAGGCCGGAATGGTAGATGAGCGTCATGCCGATGCAGAATGCATATCCAAAATGCATCGAAGGCATCGCAGCAAGCTGGTTGACAAACTTGCCACTCATCCACACACTCTGTGCATCGTCGTGGCGGACAGTATCAAGGAAGCCGTACTCAGCAGGCAGTAATCGCGGAGGCATGCACGGGAATATAACAAAGGTCATGAAGGCGCAGAAGTTCGTGAGCGTGAGCGTCCGGCGAGCGATAGCAAAGGTATCGAATGAGGGGGCGACGTAGTAATACCAGCAGATGAAGCTGCCAAATGTCAGTGTTACTCTAGTAAAACTTCCCAAACATGTTCCTTACCCCACAGTGCCGGGGATGTGAATCAGCGCATAGCACTTGTTCAGCACAGTAAGCGCATCTTGGTGTCCATGCATAAACCACTGTTGAACGTCGCGCTCCCGGAGCGGGAACAAGAAGCTTAGAAAGCCAAATTGCTCTGCCTCCAAAACTGAAATTCCGTGTTCTTGCGAAACGTCCCAGATGCCTCGTCCAGCAAAAAGCTTAGCCGATGCAATTGCCGTCATGCGGTAGAAGGCATAGTTGATGACCCAGTAAAACATCTCGATCAAAAACGGGAAGCGCTGCAGTATGCGACTGTGTATGTTGTTGCGGAAGCGCGAAGTGTTGGGTGTAGTAACCTTCCAGCAGCCAATACTCCGGACCTTGGGTGCACTTGGGTTCTTGGTTGCATAGACGTCGTCGAAGTCGCTGTCGCTGTCTGACTGTTGGAGAAGGTGATCCATCGAATCGTTTGGTGCGTCATCGAGGTAGCCGTTTCTACTCGAGGGTGCAGCAAATATTTTGTAGTTTCGTTTCCGCGTAATGAACATGGCGAAGAAGAGAATGCTGGCGACCATCTAGATACATAGCCATGTTAGTACACCGCACTTCGCATGCAGACTCTGCTGTGTGATTCGGGGACGTACGACTGGTTCGCACCATCCTGGCAGCTTCCAGGCTGGTTTGCTGTTCCATTGGCCATCATCTGGTAGTGTAGAGTTTGCCATTTTGTATTGGTTGTACCCGAGTTTGGCACAGTGGTACTGTAGATGATGCGGCCGGAATGCTATCTCATGAAAGCTATGATGGAAAGGCTGATGCAAACAAGAAAACGGTGGGCAGACGACACTCTAGTATCCCCCTGGAACAGTCGTGTCTCGGATGACGGTCAAGTTGAGGGTCTGTTGACTCAACAAAGGGAAAGGAGTAGAGTGGGAAAAAAACAAGAAGCATATAGTTTAGATCAAGCGGACATGTCAAGAATAGCAAGCAGGATGCTTTACTTACTCGGTGCCGCCAACGGGTCGCGTGCAAGTCCGCCGGATGCCGAGCAAAGGAGGCCTGACTCCCTGGTCTAGCAATACGCATACGCGAGCGACGTATTGTGGACCAGAGGCTCCACCTTTTTTCACGCGTGCATGGGCGGGGACTTGGTCGTGGACGACGAGTCGATGGACTACCAGCTGCAGTCAGGCCACACACATCTCCTTTGTTAGTCCGATTTGCCGCCACAATACTGCTGTCATCCTCAGCCTGGCAGTGTCGCGTGCTTATGTTGAAGCCCTTCATATGACTAACCGCAAGGGTTTGCTGGCGCTGGCTTTGCAGAACTGCCAAGACTGCTTGGGGAAGACCAGGTGTACAGTGAGCTGACGTCAACGGACGATTGGAACCTGGTCGATATCCATGGGTCCAGGGCGAAAAGGGGAAGGGGAGTGCATCGGAGAAGATTTGATCGTCTAAAACGTCTCCATGTCGGGAGGGCTAGCGCCAGGTCTTGTGACAAGCCATGTTCAAAAGTGCATATCGGTGTAGCGCCCAAGTACTTGGCAGCACTGCCATGAATCCTGCTTGCATAATAAACTATATCAGGCTGAAGCTACTGCTATGGTCAGATGTTGAGTGGTATGTCGCCAGGATGCCTGTGGCTGTCGCACCGCCACCAAAGTGCCCCTGAGGTAGTGTGTTGGTGCAGCATATCTAAAAAAATGCTAATGGGAATTGCTTGGTTCCGCCAGAGGGGCTGTAATAAGAATACGGCGCTTGGCGGACCAGTTCAGGCCTAGTGCCAGTACAACGAGCCAACTCAATTCTCCCGCCATTCTCCCGCCGACCGAGCCCGCTACCACTGCGTTTCAGCCTTGCGACCAAGCCTTTCCAGTCGTTTCGACATGGACTGCGATCCCACATATCCATCATGCGAATCGCGATGGGCGCCTGATGTGAATTGTGTATACTCGGTGTCCCCTCATCGGCATACTCGGGGCCCGTGCAATATCGTCCGCATTTCTGTGCATATGTATGGACACAGCCTCCACTTGTGGTTACGTATATCTCATATATCTTTTTCTTGGCGTACTTACTAGCCAATTAAAAGCATAATGGACACAAGCACTACGAAGCTCCGCGCTCTCCCAACATGTTGTGTCTGGGTGGAAACCTTCCCCATCTCACTTCAAGAAACGCCGATCGCGATAACTAGACTTTGTACGGCAGTTTCTATTGAATTAGTTGGTAGTTTTGCCAATGAGCATAGGAGAAATAAGAAAACCATTTGATGCATAGCTTGTGATTGGGTTTGCGTGCCCATTAAGCTACTTACTAGTAAGGAGTTTGAGGTACATGAACTATTGTCAACGTCAAACCTAATAAGTTTGTCTGTCTTCGTTCCAAGCATAAACATTACAAATACGCCATCGAAATATTGTGGAGATGTGTCTCCCAGCAATCTCTCCACTTGAATTACCAGCTACACATATACGACGTGTCACGATACCAAGTCCAAGCCTACTAGGCAGCACTTTTGACAGTAATAAGGCGTACATATAACTACCTGGATAGAATAGCAGTCTTACCGGTACTCGGCCTCGTGGCAGAGTTTCCGCTTTTGAATACGAGGTTTCTACAAAATTAACCGGGTATATCCTGGCTACGCTGACACTAACTGCCGATCATGGACGTCGTGTTTATCAGCCCTACGTACTACCTACTTGCAAGAGAAGATATCGCTCCAGGCTACAGTCAAGGTCAGCCCAATGTCTCAGAGGGAAATGCAGAGTGGGTGTGTTGACATTGTACTGACATGCATCAAGATGGTAGGTGCTCAAAGCAATGACAGGTGACAACAAGACCATGATGAATTCGAACAACAAGACACAGGTGGGTATAGGTAATGGGTATATTTCATTATTCATATCATACTCTCATTATGTAAGACATTTATCCCCGTCAATGTCATATTTTTGGTCGAAACTGTGCCAAATGAAGCCATTGCTGAAGGCATCGTTGATCCTCCCCACCATATATGAACCTTCGTGGTCCTTGTTGTCTTATCTCTTTTTTGTTTGCCACAGAGGCAACTCCCTAGAGTTTACCGGCGGTTATTCAGCTGCTACTCTGCACCTTCTTGACAATGGCGACAAGACGGTCAAATAGGGGGTGGTCCTTCTCGATACCGTTGACCTTGGTGACAGCCTCTTCGGCTGAGTTCTCCTTGAGAATCTTGGCGAGCTCGACAGACTCCTCGTCACCCTCGACGTTCTGGAAGCGGTAGGCCTGCTCGACGGCGCCAAGTAGAGCATCAACCTTGTCACCCCTCTCGGCCAGCTGAGCAGCGGGACCGATGAATCGCTCCTTGCGGGAGAGCTTGCGCAGAGGAGCACGGCCGACACGCTCTACGTTGTCCTTGAGGACAGGGTTGGAGATGCGCTTGATGATCTTCTCAACATAATCGTCTTGCTCCGAGGCGCTGACGCCGTGCTTGTTGATGATCAAGTGAGCAGTCTCCCTAACAGCGTCGCGAACAATGTCGTGAAGCTTCTTGTCGTGGAGAACCTCGTGGATGTAGCTGATCTTGTTCTGGTGTCCGTAGTAGGCGGCAGTGGCGTGTGAAGTGTTGACAGTGAAGAGCTTGCGCTCAATGTAGGGCTCGAGGTTGTCGACGTAGTGGATGCCCTTAACATCTGGCTTCTTGCCACCGTTCTCGAATGGCTTCTGCTCGACACACCACTCGTGGAACTTCTCAATGACAACATTGAGGCCAGAGTTCTCGGGCTGCTGTGGGACAATTCGGTCAATAGCCGAGTTGGCGAAGCGGGCCTTGCTATCGATGTTCTTCTTGGTCTCATCGCTCAGCTTGCCTTCGATGAAGCCCCTCCATGTGGTTGTAGCGTTGATTGCGTTCTCGCAAGCGATGACGGCAAGGGGGTAATCAAGAGTGCGCTTCTCGATAGCCTTGGCAACGGGCTCAGCAACAAACTTGAGGATGTTGGGGCCGACAGCGCAGGTAACGACATCGGCAGAAGCAATCTCGTCAATGACCTTATCCATCTCGTGCTTGGAGTTGATGGCACGGTAGTGGTCAATGGTGAACTTGCGCTCGCCATCATCGCCAATCTCAGTGACAGTGTATGAGGGGGTCTTTTGGAGGGATTCGATGATGGAGTCCATGACATCGACGAAGACGACCTCGAAGCCCGAGTTGTGAAGGAACTCGGCGACGAAGCCACGACCGATGTTGCCACCGCCAAAGTGGACTGCCTTCTTCTCGTAGGACATGATGGAGGTGTGTGATTGAGGGGCAGGTGGAATTTTGGGTTGTGTTGCTGGAGGCAAGCGTTAACTTGGTCTGTTCAGACTGAAAGCAAGGTGTGGTGAAGAGAAGGAGAAAGACGAGGTGGGGTGGGGGAACTGGAGGGGGAGAGGGGAGAGGGGTTTTGTTTTGGATGTTGAGCAGAGCAGGAGAGCGCGTTTGGTGGGGTATTTGTAGGTGTAGCAGGAGCCAAGGCGGGGCTTGGAGCAATGCAGTGAAGGCAGGCAGCTCGTGCAGATGCAGTGAGAGCAGGACTTACCTGGCCAGACGAGTCGGCGGCTGGGCGGCGTTGCAGGTGCTTGCTTCAGCGTGCAGTATTGCGTGGGCGAGAGAGCGTCACCGGCCAACGAGTACGTGTTTACTTATGTGTTGGGAGGGTAGCCAGAGACCCCCGCAAGGCGGTGACGATGTTTGTGGGCACCCGATTGGGTCGCCAATGTGGCTTATGACGGTAGGCACGAACGCGCGAGGCTTGGACACGCACACACACACACACACATGAACGCGTCGGGCGTGGGTGAGGGGCTCCATGGACGGGCGAAAACGACATTAGATTAATACCTCAGTCATGTACATGCTACATAAAAAGTCTCACTCGAGCCTCAATACAGCCCTCGAGGGCCAGGAACACCTTCTCGGCCGTGGACGCAGTGCCCCGTCGTGTGATGCTCAACAGGACTACATACACACTCCGGCTCGATGGCATCGTCTGGTGGGTGGGCGCATCAAGCACGAAGACGTCATACGTCATCGACGAACTAGGCCCCGAGTGGAGCAATCGCTTCCTTCTCCCGCCGGTAGTTTGCGCTAAGCCCAATTGGTCAGCCTTTTCCTCCAGGGGTGCCCCGCCATGGGCAACGACCATCGTGAAAAACTGCGCAACAAATGATCGTGATCGATGACTGCGGATATCGCGTGATGTCAAACATTATTATATCTAGTTGGGCTCCAGATGCTGACCAAAAGCCCCGGCTCGGTGCATAGCTCGACCCTAGGCGTGGATGGCCTGCTGGACCTGTGGGTACACAGCTACCATGCGGTGGTAGAGGTCCGGGTGCTCGCGCATGAGGACATCGGGGTCCCACGCCATGGCAACAAAAATCGTGTCGATACCGCTGCTCAACGGCGTCGTGAAGATTTTGCCTGCTGATAGTTAGTAGGCGTCCATCACTCACCACTCTACCATCAAACTTACAGATTTGCAGCCCGATCAGGAAAGCAAAAGCCACCACAACCGGCGTGTAGCCTCCATCCGCGTTGTACGCAGGAGAGGTGAAGATGAGGTACAGGTAGGCCAGCAGTGCACATGCGTATGCGATGAAGGTGGCGCCCATGGAAAGCACAGGTCCGATCAAGCACTCGTTGACGAGCGCGTCGATACCGCGATCCTTGATCATCCTGAGAAAGTCAGCTTGCTACCCCAAATTTATCGTCTTCTCAGCACTTACTTCCACGTATCCTTCGCAGCCGCAATATAGCTCTTTCCGTAGAGTGCGATGTAGCTGAACGCATATCTGTTCAAGAACTCAACCGCCCACTCCAGAAGGGAGATGACGCAGCCGAGTATGCAGAACAGGATTGTCCCGACCAGATTTCCCTCGCCGGATGCGTTACGTTGAGCAGCGGAGCAAATCTGTCGCAGGAACTGGATAATGGCCACAAGCAAGCTTCCAAGACTGATGCTGCCGAAACTGTATGTCATGGCGCGCTTGAACGCACCCCGAGTTGCACCTCGAGGCATAGCATTGGGCGCAAAAAACCACGAGCCATATACACCGGAAATGGTGACGTGGATAGTGTTCTTCAGCCATCTATTCTGCTGTTAGCAAATGAATCCGTCCGCGCTTGGACTATGACCACTTACTCCGAGATCCAGTACATGGCAAATGTGACAAAGACGAGCAGGCCGATAACCTTGCCATTGCCGCAATCGCCAACGCCATTCCTACAATTGGAATTTGCTCCGTTTGGTGTATACTGGACATAAATTGAAACCAGCGTAACCGAGTACCATGCGCCCAGTGCCGCAGCAAAAATACCGCCGCCCAACGAGACAAGGTAGGTATGTCCGTACTTCTTCGACACATCAATCACAGTCTGCAACATGAGCACACTGAACGGGATCCTAGGAATCCAGCTGATGAAGCAGAAGACGTAGAAGATGCTGAAGATCAGAAAGACAATACCTCCAGACCAGTACCGCCTGGAAAGCATGTAAATGGCCGTCACGAAGCCAAATACAATGTTGAGGATCCCAGTGATCCAGATAAACTGCTTGGTGAACTTGCGCGCCGCCCAGATGTACGCGTAACTGAAGACGGTAGCCATGCCGAGAACGAATGCGAAAAGGATAATCGTGTTGGAATTGAGCGCAAAGTTGTTAGTATCGTTGCCGTAGATGCCTCCGCTGTTGGTTCGCGCTGCATTTGGCCATCAGTATTCTCCTTGACATGTCGAATCGCAAACTGATGGATGGAACACTGACCGTATCCTCGAATGGAAATTGCGCTCACAGCAACATAACCCAGAAAGACGGCGATGAAGAGCAGACCCGCCCACCAATCATTGTACTTTGGCTTGTCGAGCTTGAATGTCTGCTCAAAGCTCTGCTTTTCGTTGCCATAGCCATTCTGCTGATATCCGTTGTTCTGCTGCATTGGAGGTGGTCCTTGAGGCGGCGCATAGCCCTGATTGTACTGGGGAGGCTGCTGTCCGTAGGGCTGACCCTGGTAGTATGCGCCCTGAGGCTGCTGGGGCGGTGCGCCGCCTGCATAGTAGTCGGCAGCTTGACCCTGGGAAGTCATTTCGACAGGTGATGACGGCCCTGATGAAGCAAACAAGTCGCGACGATGGGCGCAGGGCGATCAGAAGAGAGGTGTAGCAGTAAACAAGAGATTGGACCAGCCAGACGAGATGATGTGCCGCCGGCGTCATTAGGAGCTAAATACCATTCATCTTGGGTGCGACGGTGCTATTGGTGTGGCTGAAGATCGGCATTGCATGTCATGGGCGCCATGGCTGGGTGCACGGCTTTGCAGGCGTGTCGTGCTGTGGCTGCCATCTTGTGAAAGACGCTATCGGCGGCCTAGATGCAACCTGCTTGCAAGTTTCTCTGCTGCCAAACCCTAATCTCCATGGACTGGCCCTTGGTTCATCTCCTCGCCCAACGCGCGCATATGCATGCACTCTGAAGTATTTCTACCACAACGCAAACTTGCGAAATACCGCTGAACACAAAAAAAACAGGGAATATGATGATGTCGGCCCAGTTCGTTGTCGTGGCGCCGCGGACTTGTCGCTGCGGCTACACTTGTGGCTGAAAAGCTTGTGTGCCGATCGCCCGTTATGGGCGTCCCGATATGTCGTGATGTGAAGCTACGGCACAACGGAAAAGTGCCGAGTATGCCGGTGCAAGGGGATTGGTTACTTGCACAACTTTATCGTGATTACTCATGTTGTTAATCTCAAGATCATGTTCACATGGACCTATCAAATCGTCTCGTGGGACTTCAGCGGCATGGGATAAATGAGATCTGATTCGTCCAAGGAAACGCGGCCGCTATACATAATATGTCTACTTCTAAGCCAACCCTGAACCCTCTTTTTACTCTACTTGCAAGTCGCACCGCATGTAGGTGCACGGAAGCTGCTGCAGTAACTGGCTGTCTCGCAGGTCGACCCTACAATCTGTCCATGACAACCAACAACTAGTGCGGACAGTGTTAGCGAATGTTCTTTTTATCCAACCAAGCCAACTTACCCATGCACACTTTTCCACCAGAGCAATCAGCTTTTGTGCTGCATGTGGCACGAGCCGTCAAGCCCTCTGCTTGCTCAGCAGGAAGGGCAGCACTGGTCGCTGTCAAGAGCGAAAGTACAGTGGTGATCAGAGTAGTCGAACGCATGGTGTTGAGATTGCCGAACTGACTGGCGTAAATAGGTATGATATGCTTCGAGAAGATGAGAACGAAAGAGATTGCCTGATATCGCGTCCGTGGATCGAGGAAAGTTGTTGTGATACCTTCATCACGAAGCTGTCTTGATCTTTATACCTGGAGAACCTGCGAAACAGCCAAATAGGATCACTCCTCTCTACCAAGCAAACCGAGCACTCTATGCCATGGCGAAGCAGAATAGCCGTTACGAGGTAGTATCCGCTGCCAACAGTGTTGGTTCCTAAGATGGAAGGACCGTTCAGCCGCACCTGAGCCGTTACGTACCAAAATCTCCGTTGTTCCCTGCAGCGCGTAAGTAACGCCGACCACAAAGCATCCCCTGTTGACAATCTTGGCGCTATATGCAGGGCTTGTGGATCAACGGTTATATTGTATGCTTCCTTAGGCAGCGGTATAATAACATGCCAAGGATCTCTTCAGGTGGAAAACGAATGCCAAGCCGGAATACTTTGGTGGTGTGATGAGTCTGAGTGTCAAAATTCCAGCAGTCTGATTCGCAGCATGCTGACGGGTAAACTACTGTGACCATAACAGCCGCTTCAACTTCTCCACTCCTTTGATATTTGCAAGCTGAACAGATGTACCAGACCGCTTCATCTCATTTACGTCTCGTAGACATGTGAACAGTGACAGCCTTGGTAACTTAGCTGAACTTAGCTGAACTGAGCTGAACTGAGCTAGATTGAATCCTCTAGGATTGGACACTGTGACAACCGTACGAGGAAGTCGGCGATTTGAAAGTGGAGTGAAAGTTGTATGAGGGATTCGGCGACTTAAACAATATAAAAGCATAGAAATATCAACGTAGAATTGATCACAGCAGCCTGCTATCAATCAGTCTTCAAACACATTCTTCAATAATTCACTCACCAAAGCCCTACATCACCGCCTAATACGCAACTCAACCGCCACCATGGTCGCTTTCAACACCCTCATCACCCTTGCTCTCACTCAGCTCGCCATCACCGTATCTGCCGGTGACTGCAAGACCCACCAGCTCTACTGCGGCTCGACTCTTAAGTGGCGCGGTACGTCTCCCTCCCATTTCCCCACATCCACCACTTCTCCTGCTGCAGACTTCCTAACGCAACCACAGGCTGGTCCAACTCTGAAATCCAGGGCAAGGTCCTGCAAGACTCGTGGAACAATGGCCAGTACCCCGCTGTCGACCAGATCGACAAGTCCCTCTTCAAGTGTGCGGGACAGGGCAATACACTCGTTTGGGCTAATGGACGCACCCCCTGCGGCAACTGCGTTGATGGCGGAGCTGGCAAGCCCGACTACTGTGCTTAGATGCTCAATTTTTTGAGTGAAATGTAGCGTCTGGGGGATTTCTTGTACTTCTCTGTGGTTTCTCAGACAAAAGCAAGCATTGTCTGCATATTCATGAACGGTACTTTGTAGTGACTACAACTTTATACATCTTAGAAAATTTCGATTTCATTTCGACATACCTTGTCTTGTGCCTCATGCAGTCTTTTCCTTCTTCTCCCTCTCTTTGTGGTGTGCCCAGACGTAAAAGAATGGGTACACTGTCTCTGGCAGTAAAGTGACAATCATACCGCCAATACTCCACCAGTTTCCCACATACGCCCAATTCTCAGGCACATTAACGTAGCGCCATATGAAAACCAAAAACGCTGTGATGCACCCAAGATATCTCGTAACCCTAGTCTCATTAGCCTCACCTCACGTCTCTTCGAGTTCAAAAGAAGGGATAGACAGAAAGAAAGAAAAATCCCACTTCTAGTCAAAATAAAAACATTCAAACATACCAAATCTCCAACGACTGCCCCTTCGTATCCCCCCTCGTCGCCAAATACAAAATCTGCCCCCACCCAATCGGCAACTCAAGATACAACCCCGTAAAAAACGCAGTTTTCTGCTCCCTCTCATCCGGCCACAATCCCCCCACCCACCACAGAAAAACCATCCACGCCGGCGTCTGCCACAGCAACTTGACAATCGTCCGCGCCCTCTCCCCAGACTTATACGCATACGCCAGCGCCACCGACACAAACGTAATGTCGAATAAGAACCACACGAAGAAGCACGCGCGCTGGAACGTTGTGGTGGTGCACACATACGCGTAGTAGATTTCGTACGCCATTGTTGCGCTGAGGAATTGCACGGTGCCGGCTAGGAAGCCGTCGCTGTATGTGCGAATGGTGTAGAAGATGTAGCAGAGCGTATACAATATCCCACATGATATTATCAAGAAATCGGTAATGAAGAAGTAGGATTCTGGGGGGTTTAAGGATACGTCAGTGGATTGAGGGATTAGATGGTGCGAGGAGAGTTTCTGGGCGGCTTCGAAAGGCATGGTTTTGGAAGGGAGTGGAATTACTAGAGGGCTAGTGGGGATGTCTTTTTTGTTGTTATTGTTATTCAAATCGTGTTGGTGTTGGTATGTATATCTTGTACGATATACGGGTTCGGGATATACGGATATGCGGATACAGAGAATATTCCGGTGCAGAAGCTAGAGAGAAAGCCGTGTTAAGGGCAGAAAACAATCACTATTTCAAAAAATACAAACATGGCATGTTGGTTGGAATGTATGTACTTCTATATATTTCAAGTGTCAAATCACTGCTGACAATGCCCAGCTTCCGTCATGCTCCGGGCGAGGCAGTGCTCTTGCGGGCAGTGGATCCAATATCCGGAGGTGTTTTTTTCCACATGATGCGCCTGACTTGCTGCCTAGTATCCGCGTCTTCCATACATCCGGCATCCGTAAGCACATCTTATTGTCGCACTAGACCCCATCATTTTCCCACCTGGGATCTGCCGCTTCTTATTCGTCTTGTTCCTAAATAATAGCAAAATAATTGGCCTGGGCCCAATATGACTAAAAACCCAACTACGACCACGCAACATAGGGGTGTTGAATGTGAAGTTCAAGTTGGTGATGGCTGATGACGTATGCGCTTTCGCATGTCGCGAACGTCGTGTAGCCTCAGGGCGTGTCGAAGTTATCCACGCTAAGCGCAATGTGGATCAATGTCGCTAATGCATTGCTTCCACCTATCTCTCTTGGTGCGGCACAGGAACGGTCTATAGCCAATGTGAATTTTGGTGGTATTGATATATACTACAAATGCTGATGTTGAAGTATATGGGTATATAGCACATGAAAGAAAGAGCAGAAACCTTTGGTGTGACACCTCGCAGACCTCCCTAACATGACATAATGTGACATTAATTGTAGCGCGAGAACCTCCACGAACGAGATTCCATCTCTTAGTTCCTCCTGGGTCTAGGGCTCTTCGAAGGCCTCGGACTCCTAGGTACCAGACTCTCACCCTGAGCCTTCATCTTCTCCATAGCCTGTTCGACCTGCTGTTGCTTCTTCGCCACATGCCTATGTCGCTTCTCGACTTCTTCTTCAAACTCTTGCGCAAGCTTACGCTTTTTCTGCCTCGCTTGCTTCGTACGCTGAATGATGCTCTGAAACTGATCAAGAAACCAATCTCCAGCATCCTCCCATTCACTAGTAGAGAGCGAGGAAAAGAAATTGGCTTGCTTGTCTGGGGTGAGATTCTTCTGTACCAGCACGAGACGCTCGGGTAGAGGTTTCTGGGCATCTTCCTCAGTGAGAACAGCAGGTTTCGCACGTGGGTCGGTATCGAAGCTTTCATTCTTGAGGCTTTCATACTTCATGTTGAAGAGCGTCTCAGGGTCGTAATCTTCGATTTGGATGGTCTGAGGCTCCTCAATCGCAACTTGTTCGACTGGCGGTTGGTAGATTGTTTGTTTGGGTATCGCTTGCGCTGAAAAGGGGTACTCTATGGATGCAGGTGGCTCCATTGGCTTTACGGGTTCGAACTGGAACTGGACATGGGAAGGACCATGTTGTTGACGATGGACATATTGCTGATTATTGGCTTCAATATGGGTATTCTGGTAAGGATTTGCAAACATGGGAAAACCAGCAGCAGTAATGCTTGCATTAGGCTGATTGTGAGCGGGTGGTTGGCCGGACTGAGGTACGACACGATGCTGCTGAAAGCTTTGCCTAGGTTGTTGCACAGTGGGCGCATTGGCGCGTGTCTGATCGCGGAGTTGTGCAGACTGCTCAAACAGCTGCGAAGGCTTATGGAGGCTCTGCCTCGGGACTGGCATATGCAGTTTCTGTTGGCGGTGTGTCGACTGCAGCACATTTGGCTGTCCAGGCTCATGCTTGATGTTGAAGTGCTGACGGAATGGAGAGCTTTGACGACCTTCATAACGATAATCGGAAGGCGGCTCCTGGATACCATCCAATTCAGAAGGCTCACCGTTAGTGGTAGTTGGGTATGAATCGCCCTCGATGTCTGGCAGACCCGTTCGTCCTGCTTGCCGTAGGAACGCAATCTTTTGACTTTGTTCTATATGACCGAGTCCTTGCTGCTCAATAAAATCCTCATCATCTTGGGTAATGCCTTGGTTTTCCTCTTCGTAAAGATGCTCTGGTTCTTCGGAGCCTAGATTGCTTTCTCCGACATCGCCACTCACACCAAGGTCAAAGACTTGCTCATTCTGTGAGCCGCCCTCTACTTGAACAACAGATTGGTCGATAGTAGTGTCTAGGCTTTCTGCATCAGTATCGTAGGGATCACGTTTTTGAGTGTGACCTTGCGCCGAATGAACGCGTCGAGGGTTCTGCAGGACAGCTGAGCTGTTCTGAGCATTGGCAGACCCACGTCCCAGAGCTCCAGATACTGGCGTACGTCGCTGGGAAGGGAGTCCATTCTTGATTGGTACCCTTGCATTAGCACCAACAGCTTGCCGGTCAGTCTTGGGTACGTGTTGGGCACTGGCTAGAGCGTTATGCGGGCTGTTGGTGTTTTGCCGGTCTTTGACAAAGCCTTGCATAATGGATGACAGGTCAGCAATTTTTACTTGCCGTATCAAAGTGCAGAGTGATTTGATTACCGCGTCTTCAACTGGGTGTGGAAGGGTGAGAGTCCGACTTCGAACGGGAAAGCGCGTCGCAGGTATAGTCTAGCCTGTTGTGGTTAAGCCCCACTTTCTGGAGTAATGACGATATCTTATCTCCGGACTCGGTGCACTGCAGTGGCTGTCAAGTTCCCGTTGCTGATTCTTGACATCTACACCTCTGCAAGTGAATATATCTAGATCTAACGAATCTGTATTTTTGTCTTACTTGTAGCAATGGAGAAGTGTTATCTCTACAGGCTCCCCAACGAGGTATGGCATCTCACAAGGCCATCTCATCTCATTCCAACTAACCATTACAGCTACTCCTTCACCTTTTCGCACCGATGCCAACACTAGACCTTCTGCCTTTGACTACCATTTCGCGCCGTATATACTCGCTCATCTTACGCATTTTGCATAATCGCCTTGTCGCAGCTGCAGAACTGAACTCACACTCCGTACTCCTCGAATGCTTCCACCCGTCTGCGAAACTTACCGAGCCGCCTTACTTTTGCACATATCGAGGCACTGATGGCTTGAAACTATATCATGACATTGATCCAAGCGAGAAAAATGTAGGCAGACTGGGCGAGATGTATAGAATGTACTCTCGTTACCGACCACACAGACGTGATCTAGAGGCTAGTGGGAGAAGGGTAAAGCCACGGCCGGGAGACGTCCCTGGCAGTCGCACCTTTCCAGGGACAGTACAGGATCCATATGACGGCGAATCAGTCAAGCAGATGCTGAGTTTGGAAGCACATGAGCTGTTCACGCAATTGATTGCACAAACGAACCTTGTTAAGATGGGATCGCGCAACCTTTTCACAAACTTTGTTGAGGTTGAGGAGGGCGTACTTAGGGTGTGGAGAGAGTGGTTGAAAGACGTCTCAGCAAGATGCATTGCAGACAACCGAATAGCGTCGAATGAGGCTGTCGAAGAAGTGGGTAAGGGCAAGGGAGTGGTAAGAGAAATCGTTGAAGAAAAGGCAAATCTCGAAGATCCAAGCATCTTGTGGGTGAGCCCAAGGAAGGACAGCGGTATACGCTTCCATGCGCGTGAGAGAAAGCTCCGCAAGAACTTACCCATCCTCATCAGTGCAGATGAGGATGAAGATATGCCTGTTACTTACGAGATTGAATTTGATGGTAAGTAGTATGATGGCTTTTTACAACATTGATCCAACTGCTGACAGCATGCAGAACTTCTCATTCGCACGTCGCATCTCTTGTTAATGCTTGAGAAGTCAATGCTGCAGGAGGATAATTCATCTGGCAAGGCGGTTGTTTTCGGTTCATTTGGATAGTACCAACAAACACAACGAATGAAAAAGAGATTAACTCAATCAAAAAAGTGGTCCAGATTCTCGGCTGAGGGTGGAGCAACCCCTCACGACAACCGAATAACCAAACCTCGGAGCCGCATAGCGTATCTGCAAGACCCGCATAGAAGTGCAAAAAAAAGGCTTACTCTGCTCGATTGCCAAAAAGAATTGAACCAGGTATGTGACCTCGAGGCGATTTGAACGCCTAACCTTCAGGAAGCTCCAGTGGTAGATGCTGGAATCTGACGCGCTACCATTGCGCCACGAAGCCTGATTGGATGAAAGGTATTGCAAATTGTAAAATATATATCCTTTACAAAACCTCGGCTTCAAAGAATAGAAGCTCTGAGTAAACATGCAAAAAATCAACGTGAACTGGATGTCCCAAAGGCCACGTCTCGACTTTGCGGTTTTCATTTACGCTACTCCGACTACGTCTCTAGCACAAATCCTCTCTGCATGCATTTCTTCCGCCCCACCTGTCCCCACGTGTCGGCAGACACATATGCAGGGCTCTTGGAGCTAGCAAAAATATGATATCCTAAGCGACACGAATACTTGGAATTAACAAAAAGAATTGTAGCTGTTCTCCGCTCCCAGAATCGAACTAGGGACCTTTCGATTACAATTGCAATTACAGTCGAACGTGATAAACCAACTACACCAAGCGGAGGAATCCAGATAACTGGGCTTGTGATTCGATAGGAAATTTTAATTTAGGATAATTAATATAGTTTGGTACATTGCTGAGGAGCATGTGAGCATCAGGGCTGGATGCCTGAGTTGTGCGATGCAGAGCTGACATCTCATGAACCAATAGTAGAACACCGAATCAAGCTTGGAGAACTCACACGGTATAAATACCACCCAGCATGCCGTCAAGTCTAGTTATCGTTCAATTCATCATGTCCATGTAAGGTACAAGAAAATCCTGTAAGCAGTCGCAGTTCCCACCATGAATGGCATCATAGCCGTGGGGTATTTGGAAAATCGAGAAGAAGAAAAAGCGGCAGCAGTCGTAGCAGGCCCATCTCTATGAGCGGAAGCACTGCAAAAGAGGCAGTTGTACATAGCCCATTGCACTGTCCATTGATGCTCAATCCCTGAAGTCTCCCAAAGAAAATGCAAGTACCCCTCCGAAGGAGCACTTTCCCTGAGACCCCATTGCCAAATGTCGTGATTTGAGGAGTCACCCTCTGCAACAAGGAGTAGGAGTTGCACCCGATCGATGTGTCTAACCCGTCAATACCGTAAACGCCGTTGAAATGCCCTAACCCAAGCCTTGTAACATCGACGTGGCGTGTGAAATGTTTGTAAAGACCGAGCTTAGCACGATCAGTTAGTTATCCTGGGCAGTCTCGATCTGAGCGTACTCCATCCAGTGACCATTGGCTGCCTGCTTCCAGGTACGGATGCTGGCATCATCGCCGGTAGTCACGAGGAGATCACCTAAGGATATTTGTTAGCGCTGTCATCAAGTTATAGATCTTATAAACACATACCCATCTGAGAGAAAGCGACACGCCAGACAGATCCATGGTGTCCAGTGAGTTCATCCTTCAAGGCAACTTCCTGAGTGATGCGACCAGGGTTCTGTTCGTTCTCGAGAGACATGGCCGGCGCCTTGGAAGCACCAGCCAGCCCAGCTCCTATGCCAGACTGCGCACTGTGCTTGAGACCTGCGCGGGACGATACAGATGGCGCGACAACCGACGAGGAAGTTCCGGATGCGTGGGCCTTGTCTGCAGTAGTTGTAGTGAGCTCGTAGATGCGGATAGCACCATCTTTACTAGCCGTAGCCAAGATGTCATAACCGCGCATGGAGCCGTTTGCCCAAGCCAAATCACGAATGACTTGACGCGCGCCAGTGAGCTTTGCAACTTGGAAGAATCGCTTAGCCTTATCAGTACGGAAGATCAGGACGTCTTTCATAGCGGCAACGGCGAGGGACAGTGACTTGCGATCGAGGCCTGCAGTGATAGCGGTCCAGCATGGGAGCTTCTCCTTGTGGAAAACGACCTTGAAGCCCACCTCTTCTTGGCGCTCAGGAGGGTTGTTCTCAGAAACCCAGCGCTCGGCCAAGATGGTCCACTCGTGGAGGTTGCTCTGATCCTGAGGCTCGTACACGGTGAGGTAGCCGTCACGGGTGATGAGCGCAAGCCATGTCTCCTGCATGATGTTCTTGAAATCTAAAGACATGAAGGGAGCATTGGTCAGCGAAGCCAGATTGTATAGCAACTTGAAGCGATTGCCAGACAAGGCAACCTCAGTGACATCCTCTTGCCAAAGTTTGCAGCGGCCATCCTCTCCGATGCTGCCGATAACCTCACCCATGAAGGGGCCGTTCCACTTGACCTAGCATTGGATTAGCCACAAGTTATGAAGGTGGCAAATTACATGCAGACAAGTTAAACGAGGCTTGCGGCTGACGATAAGATCACTCACATCAACTATCTCGGCATCATGAGCCTTCCAGCTCTCAACCAAGGTCCACGAATCGTCCTTCTTGTCCCAGACCTTGAGGCGATGGTCGGAACTCGCTGTGGCCATGCGCGTACCAAAGTAGTTGAAGTCGACGGCAAGCACGAGGTCTTGGTGGCCATGCGAGAAGGTCTGGAAGCTACGTTCAGCCGCCATGGTCTGATAGGCGCGACGCGCAGCCACAAAGGCAGTTTCGAGGTGATGAACGACTTGCTGATCAATGTGGCCTGGGCTGCCGTCGGCACAAGGCTCTTGAATCAACGGAGCGATCAAGTCCACGTGCTCAATCTCATCCTCGAACGAGACGGCGAGGTTGAGATTGGATGGGGGGTGAGGCAACCGTGCTTCTTCTCGGGTGGGGCTGAGCGAGGACGACTCGCTAACCGCTGCGGAAGGCAGTTGGGACGTAGTCAACCGTCGAAGAAAACCCGGGGTTGCAAGATGTTGGCTCACGGCATTGAGGTCGTCCAGGAACGGGTCGGGCCTTGCAGAGCGGCCTGCCTGGTTGTTGCTGGTCATGATGGGTGCCAATGTTCGTGGGTCTAACGTTTCGGGTTAGTAGAGCAGGAAGAAGCCGGACCATGGCAAAACAACACCTTGCAAGAAGTTCTGCTCACCAATACACCACGTTCGCTACTCTACGCAAATTGCTTTTTTTCTTTGGTTGCTGCTCGCTCACCCTGCAGGCTAAGCTGTGATCGGTCGTTGCGGGTTGAAGGCCTATTCTGTGTTTCTTTGTCAGTCTCAACACCCTTTCAGCTCTCTACGCAAGTCCGGATTGAGGTTAAAACCGCGAGGTTCGAAAGTGCGGAGAGGTGTCGATTTGACGGTGTTGAGTCAAGGGCACACGTCTGCTGTTGATATTGTCGCGAGAGCAAACGGTGGACTGCAACTCACGTGCCAAGATCCGCCGTCACCTCGACTTTTGATTCACATTACGGTCACGATGACGAGTGTATTGTCATGGGCAGAATCACTTTCACTGTTGTCTCTGTCAGTCGCATGCGCTGGTGTGTTGGCAAACACACTTCACGGTGACGGTGAGCCGCTTGTAGCGTCGATAGCATTCAGCGGATTGGCGTTCGTATCCTGCTATGCATTAATACGATGGCTTGGGGATGCCTTCATGAAGCGTGGCTTCAAAGGAAAGGATCTCTGTAAGTTGAAGCAGACTGAGATGTAGGTGCCAAGCCTTCCCCTGACCACCGCATCTTGCTAACGTTAACAGACCGGAGATGATGGGAGCAGTATGCGCAATGGTGTATCTCTTCATTATTATCTTTTTCATCCCATGGCCATTCTACAAGGACATTGTGGTCGCAACCTCAGGGGGCGGCAACAGAGATATCATCAAGGAACTGGAATTAATCGAGACGGGCAGACTTCTGCACAGGTTTCCTCACAACAAGCTTGCATCGTATCTATCAGCCATTCTCTCACTTCAGACTATTGTGCTGCTTGGTGTTGGCGATGACTTGTTCGACATAAGATGGCGCCACAAGGTGCTCATCCCAGCTTTTGCAGTCATTCCCATGCTTGTGGTGTACTTTGTCGATTTTGGCGTCACGCAAATGGTTGTCCCTGTTCCGCTCAGGCCTTACCTGGGCGAGTTGTTCGATCTCGGTATGCCTTTTGTCTGAAACTCAGTGTACCATCTGGATACTAACCTAGCACAGGATGGTTGTACTATGTCTACATGGCACTCATGTCCATCTTCTCTTCCAACAGCATCAACATTTTGGCAGGCATCAACGGCATCGAAGTGGCTCAGTCGGTGGTCATTGCAGTTCTGATTGTTATCAACGACATGCTTTATCTTTCGCCCTTTGCGCCCTACCCCCACCCGGCAACAGACTCGCATCTTTTCTCCCTGTACCTACTGCTTCCCTTTATTGGAGTCTCTGTTGCGCTGTTGATGCATAACTGGTATCCGGCAAAAGTGTTTGTGGGCGACACGTACTGCTACTTTGCAGGCATGGTGTTCGCCGTTGTTGCAATTCTCGGGCACTTCAGCAAGACGCTGATATTGCTCCTTGTACCACAAGCATTCAACTTTGTCTACTCGGCACCTCAAATCTTCCATGTCATTCCGTGCCCCCGACATCGGCTTCCCCGTTTCAATGCACGGACTGGACTGCTGGAGCCCTCGCGCGTTGAATTCACCAAACCGCTGCGAAAACCGATAGCGGAGAGTCTCAAGGTGCTACACCGGCTTCGGATGTTGGATGTTGAAGTCAATGCAGAAGGGCAGGTGGTTTCGTCAAGTAACTGGACGCTAATCAATTTATGGCTGGTGTGGTTTGGGCCGATGCGGGAGGATCGGCTGGCCATGGGTTTGCTGGTATTCCAGTTCGCCATTGGCATCTTGGGCCTGTTTGTTCGGCATCGGATGGCATTGCTTATCTTCACTGCTGATAACTTGTAGAAGGTTTGGGATGGCGGATTTCGGGAACTTTGGCTTGCGTGGTATAACGGCGTCCATTGGTGGTTGATATTTAGACTTTGATGTATAATACCGAGCATCAGCGTGTGCTGTAACAGCAATCTACGGCGTAATACCTGTCGCCCCGGAATATGGTGGCAGCATGGTCTTACTATGACCCATATTGTACGCGGTCGAGTATCCGTTGCTCTTACATGTCGAGGTGGCGAATCGGAGTATGGAAATAGAGGCTGACTGTGCAAGTCGCCTGCCAAGGCCTCACGGCGGGGCAGCCAGAATGCGGGGCAGTGACAGCACCGGCTGGCAGCGCTTGAGCTTCGTCACCGACTCGGATATGCTCTGTACCTTGATTGGCTCTTACCACACCATTGGAGATGCGTTGCAAGGTTACCTTTCCACATGTACTGTACTTATGGTATAGTACCGCGCCGTTATCCATCGTCCGCTCCGGAATACCCTGGCCATCCGCAAAATACCGCAGCCCGGCCGGCAGTGGACATTAGAGCGCGCAGTCATCATTCGCCATGTGATTGGTGGCGGTGCCCCTCCCACCGCAACTCCGAACATCGGCCAGCTTCTTTTTGTGCCCTGTTCGCCATCCATCGGTTTGAGTTCCACATGCGCGTCTTTTAAGCCGATATCTGCCCTTTAAGATCTGTCTGTCATCTCACATCTCACTCTCTTCACCCTCTCAGTTCCCGGTTCTCTAATCCCAAGTTTACCTTCTTGTACGACCTACATTTTATATCTCCAATATGCCGTCTGCTGTGAAACAACCGCAGACCTTGTACGACAAGGTCTTTGAGGACCATATCGTTGATGAGAAGGAGGATGGCACAATTCTGCTCTACATTGGTACGCGTTGTCCCATGCATTTCAAATTATTTCCACTAACAAATTTGCAGACAGACATCTTGTCCACGAAGTGACATCACCAGTAGGCAAACCCCGGAATCTGTACAATTCTCTCTAAAACTTACCAACCGCCTACAGCAAGCTTTTGAAGGGCTCCGAAATGCCGGCCGCAAAGTACGAAGACCGGACTGCACTCTTGCAACAGTAGACCACGTACGACATGGATCCTCATAATCTATCCGCTTGCTAACATGAGCAGAACATTCCTACTGCGTCACGAAAAAACCTCACCACAACGGAGAAGTTCATCGACGAGGCCGATTCCCGGTTACAATGCATGACTCTTGAAGAAAACGTCAAGGCGTTCGATCTCACATATTTCGGCCTCGACGACAAGAGGCAGGGTATTGTCCACATCATCGGACCAGAACAAGGCTTCACGCTTCCCGGAACAACAGTCGTATGTGGTGACAGCCACACATCTACACATGGCGCTTTCGGTGCCCTCGCCTTTGGTATCGGTACGAGCGAAGTCGAGCACGTTCTGGCGACACAGACCATCATTACCCAGCGGAGCAAAAACATGAAGGTCCAAGTTGATGGCGAGCTGGGCCCTGGCGTTGGTAGTAAGGACATCATTCTGCATGTCATTGGTAAGATTGGCACAGCTGGAGGAACTGGTGCCGTCATCGAATTCTGTGGTTCGGCTATTCGCGGTTTGAGCATGGAGGCGCGCATGTCCATGTGCAACATGTCCATTGAAGGAGGTGCAAGAGCTGGCATGATCGCACCCGACCAGACCACCATTGATTACCTTAAGGGAAGGCCATTGGCACCAAAGGTCGACAGCCCAGAATGGAAAAAGGCATGCAGCTACTGGCTCGGCCTGAAGTCAGACGAGGGTGCCAAGTACGACATCGAGGTCTTGATCGACGCAAAGGACATTGCCCCAACAGTTTCCTGGGGTACCTCTCCTCAGGATGTCGTCCCCATTACTGGAGTTGTGCCTGGTCCCGACGATTTCCAGGATGAAGTCAAGAAGGCGGCGTGCGTGCGTGCCCTGAAATACATGGGCTTGACCGCTGGTACCCCCATGCAAGAGATTTCGTTGGACAAAATATTCATCGGATCTTGCACCAACGCTCGTATTGAGGATTTGCGATCTGCTGCACGGATTGTAGAAGGCAAGAAGGTCGCCTCAAACATCAAGCGCGCCATGGTCGTGCCTGGATCTGGTCTTGTCAAGAAGCAGGCGGAAGCCGAAGGCCTAGATAAGATCTTCACTGATGCCGGATTTGAATGGAGAGAGGCTGGATGCTCAATGTGTCTCGGCATGAACCCTGATATTCTTTCTCCCGGTGAAAGATGTGCGTCAACATCAAATCGTAACTTCGAGGGTCGACAAGGTGCTGGTGGCCGAACTCACCTAATGTCGCCCGCCATGGCTGCCGCCGCTGCCATCGTAGGAAACCTGGCTGATGTACGAAAGATCGCCCCAGAAACCTCAACAGCAGCCAAGGGCTCGCCCAAGATTGAACTCGACGCTCATGTAGAGGCCCCAAGTAGCGATGAGGAGTTTGATAAACTCATGGACCAGCCCAGCTCAGGAGCTCAGCACACTGCTTCCAACACGCCCAGCACAGAAAACGCCCCCGCCGGCATGCCCAAATTTGAAACCCTCCGCGGATATGCAGCGCCCATGGACATTGCAAATATTGACACCGATGCAATTATCCCTAAGCAATTCCTCAAGACCATCAAGCGCTCTGGTCTTGGCAGCGCACTCTTCCACGCCTGGCGCTACGAAGCAGGTGGTGACAAGGAAAACCCAGACTTCGTCCTGAACAAGGAGCCCTACCGTAATGCTAAGATCCTGGTCTGCACTGGACCCAACTTTGGCTGTGGATCAAGTCGAGAACACGCCCCCTGGGCTCTGCTTGACTTTGGTATCAAGTGCATTATTGCCCCTTCGTTCGGCGACATCTTCTTCAACAACACGTTCAAGAACGGCATGCTTCCCGTCCGCATTGAAGATGTAGCTACCATCCAGCGTATCGCCGACGAGGCGAGTGCCGGCAAGGAGATTGAAGTCGATCTCCCCAACCAAGTCATTCGCTCTGTCGATGGTACCGAGCTAGCGAAATTCGACGTCGAGGAGTTCAGGAAACACTGCCTTGTTAACGGTCTGGACGACATTGGCCTTACCATGGCGAGTGTTGACAAGATTGAGAAGCACGAGCAGAAGCGCACTGCAGTATGGCCGTGGCTGGACGGCAGTGGCTACCTGAAGAGACATGGTAGGGGACCAGTCAAGATTCAGGCGCAGCCTGTGCCCAAGACCAACAGGGGCGAGGAGCTCAAGGAGCCGCTTGAGTGGTAGATGTGACGAAGTGATATTGGGTCAACAAAAGTGGTTTCGTCTTTGGACTTGTTTTATTTTCTGTTTGGGCAGGGTCGGTTTTTTTGTTCCCATGTGTTAGTGAGGAGTACGACGTTTCCTGCTCTGGGCTTCGGATAGTCATGTTATGAAGCTAATTAATGACGTGAAATGAAACAAATATACCAAAGTTCTGACATTCAAGTTCTCTTCAAATGTTTGGCAGTGACATGCAATCTTTTTCTCAGATTAATCACCTCTTGACTGGAATTTCTTTTAGAAAGCATATCACACTATGCTATTCCACGCATCATTTTACAACGCCCAAAACACCCATATGAAGAAAGAGAAGACGGATATCCCACGACCACCCATACACACATATACCGTATGCATGTACATACTAACGAATTCCCAACACCCGATCTCTACCGTGTCTGCGGCCCAGCCAATCCAGGACCGTCCCTCGTCCACCCACCCTTACGCATCCCATCCTCAATCCTACCCCAAATCCTCTCCACAACCTCTCTATCCCTCCACCTTCCCTTCTCGCTCCCTGTCCACTTATCCACAGCCACAGGCAGCACACCACGACCCAGCTGCTTGACCGTCTCCGGCGGCTCCTCCGAACTCCACCCAACATAAATACCCGGGTAATTAGCAAACAGCTCCGCAGGCTGCGTGTACTTGTACGACTTGAACTGCCAGAGTTGGCCCGTGGTAAAGATGCCGACGACACGACTCCAGTACGTAGGCTTGAAGGATGCGGTGCTGTCGACGCAGATGAATGTTAGGGGCTGCGAGGATATCGAGGGGAGGAGACGCTGGATTTGGATCATGTTTGCGCTGGCGGAGGTGGAAGACGAGTCGGTTGTGTTGGGGGGTACGAAGACGCCGTCGGAGAGGAAGGTTTTTACATTTGAAGTGCGGAGTAGGGAGGAGGCGGAGGGGGAGAGAAGGATGATGGGTTGGAGGCGGCGCTGAGGTCGCTTTTGGAGGTTTGCGACAAGGGCGGGTTGGGGGGCGGGGACTTTGGGGTCCGAGGGGCGTGCGCGCAGGAAGGTTGCGGCGATTTTGCGGTAGGGGGAGAAGTCCTGGGGGTGCATGTTAGCATTGTATTCATTCGTGGTTCTTTTCGCTCAGTATATGGTATACGTACGACGTTCTTGGTGCCTCTCAACACGCTGTTGTGATCTCCCATTTTCCTCTCTCCATCGTAAATCTGTAGTAATCGCGCATCCATCATGCCTCCTGCACTTCCTACTTTGATGCCTTTGCCACCATCAACTGGAACTCCCTTCCCACCCGCAATGGCAGCAGCGTCACCCGCCGCGGCACTCAGGGCACCCCCATCTACAGCAGCAATACTGTCACTGCTCTCCGTCTCTCCACTCAGCCAGGCAATCAGTTCAATCTTCTGCGCAAACGTCAGATTTTGCACACTGCCTCCCGCGCCACTTGGCAGCTCCTCGTTCAGCGTCTGGACGGCGGCAAAGTAATCCGTGACAGAAGCGTCCTTGTTGAGCCATGCAAAGTAGCAGCTGCGCAGGTCAACAGGCTTGCCATCGGGCGCGAATCGCGTGGGTGTGTTGAGAGCAAAGTTACGGTGTTGGCCCGAATCGAAATTGAACGAGATGTGTGTTGCCTGTGAGAGATCGGTGACGGTATCTGCGGGTGTGGGCGTTGCGCTTGTGGTGAGGATGGGTGTTGCGTTGGCTTTGATGCTGAGTCGTAGGTTGTAGAGCGCGTCTGCGACTTCGGCTTCAGCGGCGGCCATGTTTGCGTTGTTTGGCGCGTCGGGCGCGTGGAGAGAGGAAATTGTCGTCGAAGATGTTGGGAGCGGGAGTCTCTGTAGCTGTTGGTTCGAGCTGTTTCGCGACAATGCGACGGGGGACTTTTGGGGACGAAGCCGGGGTTTCTCCGATTGGGGACGTGCCTCGGGTTTCTGCTATCACCAATTGATCGTCCTTGCACCCTCTATGTTCGATTATCAACTTATTTACCGAGATAAATATTTGATGTTTTCATAAATTGCCTTTCTAGGCCTATAGTTGCAACAGAGTCTCGTCAATTTTGTACTCTGTATGCCTAGTTCGTTTTACAGCTCACCTGCAGGCAAGATTTCATTGCCTGCTTGTTCAAGGATCTTGCTGAATATACTCTGGAATACCCAAAATAGCTATCATGCAGTGTCTTGAGCTATGGGACGACTGTGAAGAGTGAAAATACTTTGGGGCCCGAGTGTATGGGATAAGAACTTGGATACTATCCTAATAATGCACAGATGATCTTTGCCGATAGAAAAAATACAAACTCATTGCGCGAGCAAATTTTGTGAGCAATCTAGTCTTTGCATATTCTGCTTTGTTGCAAAAGTGAGATGTAAACTAGTGCCTACCTTTCCTCCTGCCTGTATCTGAAAATATCTCGAATCCATCTCTCATACAAATAACAATGTATTCCATATGTTTCCTATATCCCGGGGATAGTTATAGCGCTAGGTAAGAAGCAATAGAGAAATGGGAGGTACTGAAGCATCAGGGACGTAAGATGCCTATCTGTAGCCAGCTCTAGTCAGGTACAAGTCGCTCTAGCACTGAAGAAAGATAATATTTGAAAACATAGACAAGAAATATTCACATTTCCTTAGCTACAGATGTGGTAAACATAGGTATAGCCCATATGCAAACATGGATAGGTACCGGTTATTATATCCCAGCCATCTTATATTACAGATCCAGTGCGCTCTACACATCTGGGTCCTAAGACGCCCTTTCAACATGCCACACAGCACATAGGTCTGATTACTACTTTAGTGATCGACCTTGCTGCAGGATTATTATGCTCGCGCGTGTCAAGCAAGACGTGACTGTCCAGTACTTCGCGGCTGCAAGTATCCTGAAATTAAAGTTCTTTCTGAGACGCTAATGTCTGTTTTCTGCTGTGTTATGGTTTCCGAAACAATGTTCACTGCGTGTACTGGATTTTCCCCAAAATAGCGTCCTTTAGCTCGACAAAATCTGCATAGAAGTTTGTGTATATTTAGAATATCATTCATGTCTGAGATGTCAGCTCGCTTATGATGCGGGATCTTGGGATAAGAGTAGAACGTTGAGATGAAGAATCTGTCTGCGTCTGAGAAGAAGGTTCTGTTAGTTTAGATAGATGAGGCAGGTAAAAGACGCACTGGAGAAAAAAGGGGGGCCATTGCAATTGAGGGACGAGAAAAAACAAACATTTACAAATTTTCTTTTTTTCCAGTAGCAACGAGACTGCAACAGTGATCTTGAACCCGCTACAGTCACATTCCACGTCGGAACTCTTACACACCCTTCATTGAGATCGAGAGTGTTGAAAACAAAATCCTGATTGCAGCAAGGTGCACCACCTGAACTGATATGAAGTCTTACTTGATTATTTCAAAGATCGGTCATGTTAATCGCGCAGCTGAACAATGCAAATAATAAAGGGTCGGTTTGTTAGTCTCCGAAGAAAAAGGATGGCATACCACAGACAATAAATGAGAACCTTCGGATTTTTTTGACATTTAGTCTTGATACCGTGTCCCCAAAAAATCAAATATCAACAAAAAAGGATACATATGGGAGCTGAGGTTCGACAGTGATCACCTACCCGACTATTCATCCACCGGAGGACTGACTGTTTGGGCTATCTCAGATATGGGGCAATTTCCCATGGTCATATGCGAAGAAAATGGTGACATGGAAATGAGGATGAGCCAGTAAACATGGTGGACGTAGCATGGAATAACGTCCAAAAGCAAATGAAAGTCATTTGAACTTGATATATCGCAAGGATGAAATGCAAGGCACTGGTGTATCGGCGCAATTGAAGTCGAAAAGTTGATTTCGGTGTAAGCAGATGAAGTGTCGTTGTAATAACGTGCTTGAAATCTACCAGGATTCTCGACATGGGTAGCCGATAAGTAAGACAATGAAGCGTCTTGCGGGTACGCCCCGTTTCCATCCCCGTCCCCGTCCCCGCGGCAGGATTCCGAGTGCCAGAATCTTGGGATGAGGATTCCTTGGGTGTTGGAACGGACAGAATTGCTCTGTAGTGGCCAGTTGGAACGCCACTCGCCTGTGACGGACATGAGTGAGACTATGGCGCAGACTTGTGGCGTCTAGTAGCGGCGTCTGTTGGGTCAGCGTTAGCTCTGCTCGAAGCTTGGTTGGATCCTGTCGTATGCACACAGAACCAAAGAGAAGACTTGATCGAACTGCAACACTCATGATACTGTTGTGACGTCTCGGGTCCCAGATGTAACCAATAGAGATATGCAACCTGCCCTAGTATCTAGCCTGCGACGATAGTATGGCCCCAAATAGATTCGTTGAGTTGAGCCACCTCCAAATGGGACATGACAGCATGGCAGACAGGTCCTGCACAGGGAATTTGGCAAACCTGCCTTGTCCCTGCAGTAAGAGACCAATGTATGTGCATGGAGGCGAACTTTTCGAGGGACTTTTGGAAAAAGTCCGGGCGCATACATACAGCAAGCGTCTTCAAAACCCAACGACATTGGTCGCTTATACTAGTGAGACGGGGGACGTCTGAAACATGAGCCAGTCGAAAAAAAGCAGTTCACGAGGATGGTAATTTTGAAGTCATGTATCTTTCCCGTTGCCATCGCATAGTGTCCAAGACACATACGCCAACAGGGATAGTGGCCTGTAAGGAACGGTGGGGATTGCACCAATCCAAAGCCACGGGTGACACTGCTCTGCGATGATAGGAGAGCCTATCCAGGTCACATGCTCTTCGCAATACCTTACGGAAAGGCTCAAGTAAATGCGGGTCTTGTCCGTCACCCAGCCGTTCAGAGTACTACGCGAAAGTCGGATAGGGTACCAAAGCACGCAGTAGGGTAGGCTCCAAAATCCAGGGTTCAATGGCTAGTGTTTGCCGCTTAGGGGGACAGGGCTCTCTGCTTGGATCCGTCGCTCGCCGCGCGCCCAGTGCATGCCTCGTGGAAGCCAAGGGATGAACAAACTTTGCACCCTTGCATAATTAGCACGCGACATGAGTGGGTCAGTATCGCTGCTTTGAATGCTGGGTGGTGGTAGGTCAGAGATGGACTTCATGGCGCTGGGTATAGCTTGCGAAGGGTGGGAGAGGGGGGTTTTTCGGCTGGTCTCTCGCAGGCTCGTCATTCGGTAGCGCCCGACAAATGTTTTTCAGGGTCGGAGGAGTCTCCCGACGACTTGGAAACTGGACTGCTTTTGCAGCTAGATTGTCAAGTGCAGGATCTCGGGTTCGGAAGCTTGCCTAAAGCTAAGGCCGCTCCAACCCCTGTTTGTGGTGGAGGGCCTAAAAGACGTCACTCTAGGGCACTGATTGCGTTCCAAGGATAGCTCTTGTAAGTAGAGAGCGCTCATCGGAGACGGGAAGTCGACCCGCTGCCGTCAAACCGGTCACCTATTCGAGTGACTATTGAGCTGATACGATGCACAGTTGCGCCGAGCGGGCCAATATATTGCCCTATCAGTCAACGGCGGCTAGCACCTTTTCCCTTCTGGCATTGATTGTGGAAAGGGAAATCAAGGCAGAATTGTCTTTGTGGCTGACTCGGGTTAGTGGTGCAGACGCAGAACTAGGGACAAAGTGGTGTGAAGACGCAGCGTCTTGCATTAGCGCCCATGGGTGAGGCTGGTGATGGATTGGTAGTTGTTTGGTGACCGTATTCGCACTGTCGAGTACGAACGGAGCTGAGCGGCCAAGACGAAAAGGAGGCCAGTTGACGGCCCCACCAGGGCACTGGCAATGGCTGCTTTCCGTGACGGACCAACCAGAGCCGGAAGTCCGAAGTCGCTCAGGCGCGCTATCTACGAGCGTGGCTTGAGTCGTTGCAGCGTGCGCTGCGTGCGTATGAAGAAGAGCTGGAGAGCTGGTGTCGAGCGTAGCTAGCACACAGGTGACGGACCCACACAGGTAATGCCCATACATACAGAGCACATGAGCAGTTGAAAAGCGTACAGAGAGTCGTATAATTGCAGAGCCTGGTAAGGGCGGACAAGCTCAGCTACCTTGGACCTTGTCAGGACTTGCAGCAGACATGACGGCAAGGCCTAGAGACTAATAGCGTGGTCTGGACATGGGATACTGGAGAGAGTTCACGTTCCATAAGAGTCCAGTAGGCTGGTTGACGCCATCAGTCGATCCACGCCATACCCCTGCACCCAAGTTCCCCCTAGCAGCCGAGCCAGGTATCAAAGCCAACAGGGCCCGGTCGAGCATCGAGCAGCAGCAGCAGCAGAGAGTGGTGGCAATTGACTTCGCTGTCTTGATGCTGACTGGGCGAGTACTCCATGGGCAAGTCGTCTTCAGCTGCCGCCGTCGACCAGACATGTCCAGTGCCCAAACGCAGGCGCAAACTCTAACCAGAAAGCCCATGTACGTGACCGATAGCCGCACATATTGTCTTTTGTGCCTTGTCAGCACAGCACAGCGCAGCGCAGCGCAGCGCAGCACCAACAGACTTGGCCATGTCGAGACAGAAGCAAGGCAGGTTTTCGTCAAGTTCCGTGTGCCATGCCTCCTCTTCCCTGCAGCCCGCCACGGATTGCCGCACGAGCAAAACCTTGGACGCCACAGATGACGGTGGTGGTGGTGGTGGTGGTGGTGGTCATGATGGCCATGGTGAGAAGGGTGACAACATCAAGAAGAACAGCAATAGCAATGCCGATGATAACGACGATAATAACGATGGCGGCGGAGGCCGCGGTAGTACTGGTAATAATACTGCCGTCGCTTGGGTGTGGGGAAAGCAAGAGAGCCAGAGAGGGTGGACAAAAAGTTGCTGCTGGCCATGTGAGTGTGAACATCCTCGGCAAAGCATGGACGAGGTTAGCTTCAATTCACTTGCGGTTCCTCGCCCTTGTCCGTCGCCCACAACGCTCGTTGCCAAACAACCTTTGACTCTGCATGCATCGCCCTTGAATCAAACCCAGGCACGCCGTCTGCCAATCCCCCTTTGGACTGATGCCATCTTACTCCAGAGTACTGTAGGTAGTATAGCATGTACCCCTCTCCCTAGCCTACCCGGCCTCAGATCCGTTGATCCCTCCACAAGCCCGCCCCCCATCTTCATCTCCATTTCTGCGGGCGGCCCTCTCCACAGTCATAGCGCAAGCCTTCCCTTAACCCCCGGTCTAGTTCCACCTCTTCCGAAGACACATCGCACCACCGCTGCCGAATCGAAACATGCCTTTTTGCCCTTCCTTTCTAGACATCCCAAAGTCCGTGTCCACACCAGTTCTTTCTGCGCCAGACGCCCATTGCTCACCCCGAATCAACACGCACCCCCCATGTCCCTTATCCTCTCCCACACCCCCTCCCTCCCAGGAAAAGTATAGTCCCATTTCTAGTTCTAGACTATCCATACTCTGTCTGGTTTCTTAACGCCTGATGTGGCCATCGTGGGCGCGCCACCATCGACTTACAGCCTCCCGTCCCTAAGAACAGCGGCAATAAGTGCCGCTGACTCCCTTTTTTTTTTCAACTTGACCAGCGGCCTCTGGTACCTGGTGCGTGCTTCCCGCTATCGTTATAACTAACTCTAGAGCCCTGACTCCACATGGTTCCCGTCGGCCTCAAAGACCGACCCTGTTTATCTGCTTCGGTTTCTTATACGAGGCCTTGATCTCCAACAACAAGACCATACTTCTGCTACCCCATCAGCCAATTGACAAGTTTGGCTGCCTGGTCGTTGGTACCTCACTCGAAACTTCCACTTAGCAGTTTGGCTTTTTTGCCAAGTCGACCTTCTCCGGCTTCGCCCTTACCCGCCTCCCAAACGAACCAACAACATTTCGCCATTTCCTGCTGCTGGCCCCCAGATCCAAGCAGTCCCGAGGTATGCCATCCATCCCGCCCTACACCTTATCTTGACTATATCTTCACCCTACTAAACCCACTCCAGCATCTACTCTATCCTGCCCAATCTCTCCATCTCTTGAAGAAATGGCGAGTGCTCAGGCTGCAGCTTCATCCTCAGGAGGTGCAGACGAAGTCCCACCAGCTGGGAATTCTGGGTCTGCACCAAACCCTAAGATGAGAAAGAGGACGAAGACTGGCTGCCTCACCTGTAGAAAACGACGCATAAAATGTGGTGAAGAGAGACCTACCTGCGCAAACTGCATTAAGTCCAAACGCCAGTGCGAAGGATACAACCAAAGAGTCATCTTCAAGCCACCCATGGGAGACTGGCCAAATCACCCAGGGGTAGTCAGCACCATACAATATCACACTTCGATGCTACCAGGCACACGCAACCAACCATATCGAGGACCAGAGCCAAGTGCCCCCATACCAGAAACAACCCTCACCTCGATCCAGCCACGACCCATTGGCAACTTCGACTTCCAACATGTCGACCCACAGCCAGGTGCTGGGCCTCCACCGCCGCCACAACCGTTTGTTGGCGGCAATCTCAACTATACCCACGAGCAGACTTATCAACCACCTCTACACTCACCACCTCACCAACAACCGCTCATATCTCCCCACCACCAAGCACACGCCCATCCATCGACCGTATCATACTTTCCCCAGCAATCTCCTGTGCACATAAGCCCGTCAGAGCAGCTTAGCCAGAGGCCCAACACAAGCTCTCAACAACCATTACCGTACAATTCCGGCTCTTCATATCCACCCGTCTCTGTTCCATATAACAGTGATCACGAATTGAAGCCAGTGGGCCCTCGGCCTCTTTCTGGCCAGCAGGTGTATTCACACACATATCGATCAGATAGCCTGCAAGACCCTGACAATGCTTACCAACAGCAATCTAGTGTTTCGCCACAGAGCGATCAGTTTGCTCAAAACGCGGAGGCAAGGCCGGGCTTTCAGCGATTTAACAATCTTCCTCACGTTCCTCTCCATTCGTCGCAAGCTGAAGATTATAATTTTCAGCCGGCGATTTCACATACTGACTTTAGCTATCCAAATTACTCTACCGTTCCGTTGCCTTATGATATGAATCAGGATGTAAAGCATATGCCACAGCCTGTTCTCGGTATGTCTCGTGTCTAGTTATATACTTCTTATACCCCAATGATTATTATTATCCTTTTTTTCTCTTCTTCTCCTTCTCCGTGTCTCAGTACCGGTGCAGCATCACTTAATAAATGTGGTGCATGCTTTCTAAATCCTCCAATTCATATTGGAATTAATATCGTGTCCTAACAACCAACGATGTCATCGATATGGGAACGAGCGAGATGGCTGACTGTGATGAGCAGAAGAGGTTACACACGTACCAAAGCCCCCAGTATCCCATCCACAACTGCTTCTCAGCGGATTCGGTGGCGAAGATCATGCTAGCCCTACACAAGTGCTTGACGAGGCGGCAGTAGAATATGAGGATGACGATTACTGGGACGTTCATTCAGACGAAGATATGGTTGATGCAGAGACTGGGGAGGACGAGAATGCACTGCTCACGAGCCAGGAATTTAGCGCTATCCGGCGTATACATTTGGAGAACTCCAACGAGCTAGGCATTCGACGCTACGATGCCTTTTTATACGATGGCCTTCTGTCACACTACAAACCTGAATATGCGGCAAGTCCCTTACGCAACCCAAAGACAGCTCGAGTGTTTGCACATTTCATTCATGTGGTAAGTGAAATGCAAATTTTTGGGCTACGTACTCTTTACACTGGGAAATATACACTCTCCTTCATATATACGCACTTCGAGACAGGTACGAGCAAGTAGCTGACCAGCTTGGCAGACAGCACCAACACTATCGATTTTCGAACGAAACCCAAGAGACCCGACTTTGATATTCGAAGGCGCAACGCCGCCATCTCAGCAAGGACTATGGACTTACAAACTCCCATTGAAGGCTTTGAACCACCAAGGCCTGTTACATGCAATGCTGGCACTTGCCAGTCTGCACATTGCACGATTGCAAGGAGCTTCAGTTACACCATCCTACAAACATTACGCATACTCGCTCAAACGCCTTGTTCGTTCGCTCTCACACCCGACAAAACGTCTCTCCATGCTCACGCTGGCCAACTCCTTACTTCTGGCTTGGTATGAGGTATGGACGGCAGAACACGTTAAATGGGGCACGCATGTTGTCGGCGCTCAGCAACTCATTACTGAGCTCGACTTCCGCTCCCTTACTCGCGAGGCACGACGAATGCAGGCTGTACAAACTGCAATGGAGCGCCAATTCCCCTATCAAAACCCAGCGATGCTTATCGACCAAAGACAATTCGACCTGAAATTGAAAGAAAGCTCACTGATGCCAGATCAAAATCTGGTGAGCACCATTGTTGGAAACGAAGTCAACTACGACGACTTTGGCATGGTTTTCGAGGACTATGGGGCAAGATATGACACGAAGCCAAGTATTGCCGGTGGACTGGATCTAAACACCTATGCAACTCTCCAAGATCTGTTTTGGTCGTTTGCTAGACATGATGTTTTCCAGAGCATCGTAAGCGGAAGTGCTCTCATGTGGGTGGTCTTGATGATTTTCAGAGTTGCAGCTAATCAGCCACAGTCACCCGTATCATAAATGGTCTGATTGCCCTCCAAGATCCCCGCTCGGCCGACTCGATGCTCTATACGGCAGTCACGATCATCTTCTACTCCTTCTAGGCCGCGTTGCAGACTTCACTGTTAAAGACAGAGCACGAAAGGTTCGACAAGTCGAAGCAGATGGTGGCTGGCGACCTCGACCTGGCATTCCTGGTTTTGGTAGCATGGGTCCTCCAGGTGGTCCCCCAGCTGGTCCTCCGGGTGATCATCCAGGCGGTCGATCGAATCCTATGCAAGGCCCACCGCCAGGATGGAAAGGGCCACCCCCTTTAGGCTTTGGCCCGTCTGGCCCCTCTCAAGGTCCACCTTCTCAAGGCCCACCCTCTCAAGCAGGTCCACCTCCTTCAGGCATGCCCAGCTTCTATGGAATGGCCCCAGCCCCAACCTTAGCACCACAGATTTCCGGTTACGAGAATCCAAACTTTAAGCGTCCAAAGCAAACACTCGACGTGCCTCAACCAAAGTATGATGACCTGTCTGCTGCCTACGCCAATGCAGTCGCGGAATGGGAAAGTATTTGCGAGGCACATACGGCAGTTGAGCAAGTTTTTCAGAATACAGAAGGTTTTGCTCCTTTGCCGGAGGATATCTACCCACCGCCTCCGGGAGAAAGACAACACGCGCAGAGTAACATGACGCCTTTTGGGAAAGCCATTTCCCATCGAAGTTATGACATATCCATCTTGTGGACGCTTCTCTACCTGGCTAAGATCATCCTTTTACGTTCCCACCCTGGCATGCCTCCAGCAGCGCAAATGGCAGCAGGAGTGTGCGCAGCTGCTACTGCACCATACTGTACTCTCATCGGCCGTATCACAGCCGGATTCCAGATTCCCATCTCTGAGGACCTTTCTCCCTTCCTTGGTGCTATATTCACAGAGGCAACCATGTCCATGTTCTTCGCCGGTGTCACCTTCAAGGAACCCCATCAACGGGAGTGGCTCATCACGCGTCTGTTGGAAATTGAGCGAAGGATAGGCTGGGCTAGTGCGGGCATGATTGCTAAGGGATGCGAGTCGGTATGGGAGCAACAGGCGAAGATGAAGAGGGGGCCGCCCTATGTGAGGAGGACAAAGCGAACCATGAGGTTTAAGGAGGAAGAGGGATACGTTGAGGATCCAGAGTATACCAATCCGCGTGGCCCGGATGGTCCTAACAGTGACGAGAGGAGGAAATGGGTAAGGGATGATTCGCAAAAAGAGACGAGGTTTGTGTTCAAGAGCAAGCTGCCTCCTTGGGCAATGAATGTGTTGAGTACAGAGGAGGATCTGAGAGTAGGATTGGAGAAGGTTGGAATATGAGAAGGGATGGAACTGGAAATACTGCGATTCGGACAAATCATCAGCCATGGTACGGGAGGGAAGGAAGAACCTCCTCGATGGAGGAAAAGATACAGCGAGTTTGCAAGTCACGACGCGACAGCGCTAGAAAGAAGAGATCAGAGCGAATGCAAGAGAAGCGTGTATACCCACATATAACGACATCGCCACTACTGCAGTCTGTCATGCAGTCGATCACTGCATGCAGCACGAGCGTTGGAATTTCCATGACGATCACGACTCTAAGAGCAACAACAACAGCAACGGCGATCAGCGCCAAGTTGGGCCAATACTGCATACTCCCCTCCATATTGTTCTCTTGCATAACCGTGCATGAACACTCAAGAAGTCTCTTTTCATACTTCCAAAGTTATGACATGACAACCGACTTGTCTCTACACGCTCGCTACACACAACCTTTCTTTCACCCGATCTTCTCCCACTATCCCCATCACACCGACAATCGAACTGAACAAAAAAAGAATATCATCCCAACAAACTATCAACCCACCCAACCGGATCCTAGCCGGTATTCGCTTCATCTACCCTTGTTGCACTGCACTCTCACCTCGGCATCCGTTTCCCACCCCCGACCCATCCACCCAGCCACTATCAAAAGCAAAATAGAGTAGAACAGAACCAGCAATATCCATGCTCACTACCCAAGACCTTTGTTCACACGAGCGAAGCACCGACCCGAGACCCAGGAAATAAGACGAATAAGCAAAAGTTGCAATAGGCAAAGAAAAAACAATCATGCAATCTAGGCTTGAAGTCCCGATAATCGTCGGTATATTCTACGTAGCGTACGAAGCTTGTATGGCTATTTGCAATTTGGGATGCATATCTAGTGTTAAGATGGTACTAGCTTAATTCTATACTGAAGAAGTGAACCGATTAGAATCTTGCAATGCGTTTACGCTCTCTTTGCATTTGCTTTGTTTTTCTCGCTCTTGGATATGAGATGAGGAAGTAGGTGTAGCAATGCGGTCCGTGGGCATCGGCCCCGTCGGAAGAGAAACGAAGTTTCACGTGTTCTGAATTTGTTGTTGCGGTGGTTGGGCTGGGACTGGACGTGATGAGATGAGTGGCGTGTTGCTTTGTAAATTGATGGGGTTGAAGTGAACCTTTTTGCTTGATCTAAGTCTCTACAATACATAAGATAGGGAAAGCAAAGTCAGAGGCGGGTTGGAAAAGGATGGGAGCATGTCGCATATCATAGGGTGATAAGATGACGGTGTCCTAGAATCCGGCTCATGCATTATTCACGTATTTCGCTCACGCAGACTCTTCCTTACGAACTCGATTTCTTTCGCAAAGACAACATTTGGTATTTGAGAAAATATATGCCGCCAAAAACGCCTCATTCTACAAGTGCTTGCAGCTTAATCATCAAACCAAAACCAACGATCGTAATTAATCACCCCGTCCAGCGCAGTATAAGTGCTTAAAAACCAGCTCGCCAGTGACAAAAAAAACTCCATCATGATGCTAGCAACCCCCAAAAAGCGTGCGCCCAGTTTTCCATTTCACGCATTCGTATCGTACAGTTTCGACCAAGACCACAGCTGATCGCTTAGAAGAAGTAGTAGAGCAGACTTCCACTAGCAGTCATGAAGACACCAAACCACCACCACTGTTCTGACCTCGCAGCGCCAGGTGTCCTCTTGTAGATGATTTCGTGATTCAAGGGGAGCTCGCCTCGCTTCGAGTTCTTTGGTGCGGCGGTCTGGGTAACGAGAGGATTGAGGGTGGTGGTTGGCAGCATTTGGGGCTGGGCCATGGCGAGGTACATGGGCATCATGGGAGCGCCGTCGGCTTTGTAGAGAGTGATGCGCGGTATCTTGGCGTAAGCGTCTGACGCAACGTACTCATAGCGCTATGTGCATGTCAGCAATTGATGCGCGATAGGCGTAAAGACAGGAGTGACAATTAATCATGGAGAATACGTACATCAAACAATTCACTAGTGTTGTAGCGAGTGTAGGTAGCGTATTTGTATCGGCATGGATCAGAGAGCAGCTGCCGGCCGTCGACTTTGATGGGATTGAGGATAAGGGAGCCGTTGCTGAGCTTCTCGTAGCTGCCGTGCTGCCATTGGATTATGCCTTTGGGGCAGCTGGGATCCTGGGCTGTCGATGTTGTTAATACGCTGGTCGCGATGCGCGCGCGATTGCGGGGTTACGTACGATTTGCGATTGCGCGATAATAAGCCTCCTCGTAGAATCCGTCAGCTGTGAAGGAGTAGCTGATGCCCGTGTGCTTCGGCTCGGTGAATTTCTCCTCGACGGGGTTGTAGAAGCCCTGTGTCAGCAATTAGCCTCGATCTTCCCGTCGATATCGCAATACGGAAGCCATACAGGACCAGTCATGGTTGAGTTTGACTTGCTTGTCCACGTGCCTACGAGGTCCGCTGCCCCGACGGCCGTCTGGGCCTGCGCGTGCAGCATTGCGACTCCAGAAAGGAGCAGGGCTGCTAATCTCGAAACCATGGTTGCGAGTGTGTTGTGTGTGTCTGAACGAATGTGGGCGACCTGGAAAAGGCGAGAGAAAGCGAGCGTGCGGGTGTGGGTATGTATGTGTGTGGTCACGGAGGATGGTGGGTGGGTGTCGAGGGGAGGGAGGAGTGTGGTGAGTTGCGCATGTTGAGTGCGTCGCCGCCTCCTTTGCTTGGGACGAATGGACAAGGATAACGCGGCTACTTGCAGATCATCGGCGTGCCGTGGGCAAGGCCGACCACCATTGCCCGCACCCGCATTTGGACCGTTCTCTCCAATATTATTGTTACCAAACTGTGCTCGTCCAACAGCACACTTGCTATTCACCGAGCCCGGCACTGCTTTAGCCGCCCATTGCTGCTCGGGAGTTGCGATCGCCCCAGCCTCGACTTGGCCGTCGCGCAACGGCTCTGATTCTGAAACGCCGTGACCTTTGCTATTAAACGGGCACTAGGTACATACGCCATGGCGGGGTCACTGGCAGCAGTCAAGAAGGAGTTGCGAAAAAAGATACGGACTATTCTCAGCCAGCTGCCTGATGCGGCCGCTGCTTCGCAAAGTACGTCACGATACGATGGCTGCATGTCGCTCTTCTGACGCCATCCAGCGGCCAATGCCACTGCCACTCTACTAGCCATGCCCGAGTACCAGGCGGCCCGTAGAATCAGTGTCTATCTATCCATGCCGGGAGGAGAAATCTCCACATCCGACATTGTGCGCAATGCCCTTGGAAATGGCAAGAAGGTCTTCATTCCATACACGTACACTCTGGACACGCCCGACCAAGGCCAACCAAAGTCCATCATGGACATGCTCGAGCTGCACTCGATGACTGACTTTGACTCGCTCAAACCCGACAAATGGGGCATTCCAACTCCAAGCACAGAGTCCATTTCATCACGTGCCAATTGCTTTGGCGGTACTGGTGTCACAAACGGCAAGACTAATGGCATCAAAGACGGCCTTGATCTGATCGTCATGCCCGGCATGGCTTTTGACGCGCAGTTCGGCCGCCTTGGCCACGGCAAGGGCTTCTATGACTTCTTCTTGACCCGCTGTCACCACGAATCGCGCATGCCTTTTCGCGGTAAGAACTACTGGTATTCTGTATGTGGAGGGCTAACTGACCACGTCAAAGTTGGTCTTGCCTTGACCGAGCAGCTCCTTCCGCCAAATGAGTCGGTTCCCATGGACTCTTCCGATTTCCACCTCGACGCCTTAATCACCGGCGCTGGTGAGCTCCGTCGCGCAGGGGCTTGAGCTTCTCCCATCAAGTTTGGTAAACAAAACCGTGCCTGTCCGCTCCCTCCCACAGTCCTGCAATGCATGCGCTCTCTCATGTGTACGATCCTACAACCGCAGGAGAAACGTGTCCGTTACTGGCGCTTATTGAAGTTGCTGGATCAGGGAAATGTTGTCTCCTTTCAACAGAATCTGGCCGACCTTGCGCCTCTCCTCGGGTGCGTCCTTCTTCGCAAGCGTGACTTCAATAGCGTCGTCAATGACCAGGTTCATGAACTCGTCGAAGCCCTACTCAGACGTTAGCTGTTTGGGCGTAGATAGCAAGCGGCTGTGGTACCCTCAGTTTTCCCTCGATGCGCATGCCCAGGTTCTCGTATAACCAGACTGATATGGTCGCCCGTGATTGCAGAAGCTTGAAGATGAAGTTGATGGGAGGAAGGAGGACTGTGCGTTCGTCAGTTGGTGCTGCTGCGCAAGCATGTGGTAGCTGTCATACCTTTTCCTCCACCGCGGCCTATACACGTTAGCTATGGTTTTCGCCCAATGACGGGACATACCGACCTCCACGTCCAGTCATGTTGTAATTCGCGTTGCTGGTATCAGGGGTTTGGCGTTTCTAGAGTCGGCGCCTGGTTGTAGGGTGGGCGGTAGCTGGTGGAGATGAAGTGTAGTCGAAGCAACATTTCTGGCGCGAGGGAGCGAGCGGTCACGGCTCTTGGCGCTAACGTGGGGATCTTTGACTGCCTATGCGCGACCAAACGCAACTGCCCATGCCCGAGCAAACTCACCACCCCACCACGCTGGCAACCACCACAACCACCCTCGCCGCATCCTCGCCGCCTGCACTTTCTGTCTGCCGGCCTCCGTCACAAAGCCAGTGCATGCGCGCAATATAACTCAACCCCGCCGCCTCTTTCAGAGCAGTATCCGCATCCGTTCCCCCACCATCACCATCACCACCCCCCTCAATCACCCTCACCATGGCTGCCAACGGACAGCAGGTGTTCGACCCGGTGTTAGCGGCACACAACACCATGGCATCGTCGGCGGATCGCGCACAGAAAGAGCAGGCACATCAGTTTCTGGAGCAATTTCAGAAGTCGGTATGTACGAATGTGTCGTTGTAGGGGCACAGGTGGCTGACTGGCGCGCAGGAAGAGGCATGGACAACCACACTAGCTATGCTCGAGTCCAACTCTGCAGATGCAGCAGCTAAGCTTTTCGCTGCTACAACGCTCAAGGGCAAGGTAAGCTAGTGTTTTGCTTATCAAAGCGCCCTCCTAACAGCCGGTAGATTGTCTATGACTTGCACCAAGTGCCCCGCGCTCAACTTGCCGAGCTGCGAGCTTCTATCATGCGAAACTTGGCCATTTTCCATGCTGGACCAAAGCCCATACGCTTGCAGCTATGCGTGTGTCTGGCAAATCTCGCAATACAGATGACCGAGTGGAAGGATGTCCTCAAAGATATCGTAAACTCACTCGGCTCCGACCCTGCAACCTTACCTTGCGTCCTCGACTTTCTCCGCGTTCTCCCCGAAGAAGTCACACATGGACGTAAGATCGCACTCACAGTACGTCCGAGCGAGCCGCGCCCCATTTGCAGCCTACGGCAATTCCCCGCGGCGCCGACACATGCTAGCAGAGTTGTAGTCTAATGTGTGGTGGTCAGGAACACGAGTTGACTATGAGGACGGCCGAGTTGATTGAAGACAACGCCCAGCAAGCCCTGGAACTCCTCGTACGATACGGAACCTCTTCACGTACGTTAATTTTCCCGGATTCCAGCCCACTCCCACTGACAGTTTATAGCCGCGGCCGCACAAAACCCCCAACTACTCCACTGCATCACTTCCTGGATACGCGAAATCCCATTGGACGCTATCATCAACTCTCCCTTGCTCAAGATCATCTTTGACGGCCTCTCGCATGAAGATCCTTTTGAAGCAGCGGTAGAATGCCTGAGCGCCCTCCTTGCAGAGACGAGAGATGTCGATGAGACTCTCAGTTCCATAATGATCCTCTATCCCCAAGTCATCAACCTCCAAACGAAGCTCGCCGAGGCGGCACAAGAGGAGGATGCTGAAAAGTTCAAGGGCATTGCAAGGATATTTGCCGAAGCTGGAGAGTCTTGGGTCATCCTCATCGCGCGTCTACCAACCGATTTCCGTGCATTGGTCGAAGCAATACTTGCCATAGCCGCGCTAGACAAGGAAAGGGATGCCATCTCCCATACCTTCAAGTTCTGGTACGATCTCAAGCAATACCTGACACTGGAGAAATACGCCGAAGCCCGCAACCAATGCCTAGACATTTACTCCAAGCTCGTCGACATTATGATAAACCACCTTCAATTCCCGAAGCCGGAAGGTGGGAGTGGTGATGACAAAGACTTGTTCGAGGGCGATCGCGAACAAGAAGAAAAGTTCCGCGAGTTTCGACACCAGATGGGCGATGTTCTGAAGGATTGTTGTGAGGTTATGGGTGTTGTGGAATGCCTTCAAAAACCTTATGACCTCATTCAGCAATGGGTCCAAACATACGGCGCTCAGGCTGGACCGAACAGTGTGCCAGAGTGGCAGAAACTGGAAGCGCCTTTGTTCGCGGTCAGAGCCATGGGCCGCATGGTGCCTTCAGATGAGAACATCATGCTTCCACGACTGATTCCACTCATCGCAGGCATACCCGACCACAACAAGTTGCGATTCCAAGCTGTGATGGCTCTAGGGAGGTACACTGAGTGGACGGCTCAGCACCCTGATACGCTACAGATGCAATTGGACTACATCATGGCGGCTTTTGACCATTCAACCAAGGATGTCATCCGAGCTGCTGCGCTGTCATTCAAGTTCTTTTGCAACGATTGCGCGAGTTTGTTAGTTCACTATGTTGGCCCGCTGCAGCAGTTTTACGCAAAGAACTTGAACAAGCTACCCATTAGCAGTCAAGAAGAGATTACGGAAGGTGTCGCCTCTGTTGTTGCCAAAGTTCCCAACGATCAGCTTCTAGCAACACTCAAGCTATATCTCGACCCTGTCATGGCGCACCTGATCGAGCTTGCACAACAAGCAAAGGACGAGCCAGACCAGAAACTCATTGCAGACAAGATCAACCTCCTCACGATATTCTTTGAAATGGTGAGGCCAGAGATACCACCCGGTCAAGAGCATCCGGCCGTCAAATACTGCGAACAGATTTTCCCCACTCTTGCAAACATGATCGGCCATTTCCACACAAGCATACCGATCCTCGAGCGTGTATGCAGGTGCTGGCGATACATGGTACTTTCTTACCAGACGGCAATGCGACCACTCCTACCGGCTCTTGCTACAAAACTGATTGAAGGCTTCGATAAATCAAGACAGGGATGCTTCCTCTGGGCCACGGCATCGATAGTGCGCGAGTTCTCGCAAGGTGTGGAGACTGTCGATGCAGGTCTGGCAAACGATGTATACCAGTTCTATGAGCAGCAAGCGAAGACTTTCCTAAGGATACTTAGTGATCTGCCACCAGAAGAACTCCCTGATCTCATTGAGGACTACTTCCGTCTCGCAGCCGATATGGCACTCTACTTCCCGTCCGAGTCTATCATGTCCCCGCTCATGGAAACGATACTTCTTGCAGCATGCAGCTCTCTCACACTGCTCAAAGAGGATCCCATCATTGCAGTGCTGCACTTCCTGCGCGACTTCCTCGGTTATGGTCGCAACTCATCGCCGTCGTCTACCTTTGACAACACGCGTCACGAGGTTCCAGAACAAATACGGGACCGCGTTAAGCATCTTGTTGTGGGTGCTGGCGTCCAACTTGTCCAGCGTATCATGACGGGCATGATGTACAGCTTCCCCGAGGGCTGTTTTGCAGACTCGTCTGGTGTGCTTCTCGACTTGTTCGAGCTCATGCCTGAACAGGTTGCACAGTGGGTTGCGAGCACCGTGGCTATGTTACCACAGGGGAGCATCACACCTCAAGAGAGTGAGCGCTTCCTCAACAACATTCGCCAACGCATCCAGACAGGCGATGTTAGGATGATTAGGACGATTCTACAGGACTTTACGACTAGCTATCGTCGAAGAAACGTGGCCCCCCGAGAGGGCCTCGGCAGGCTGGAGGCTTCGCGGTTTAGATTTTCTGGTTAGCGGCTGGGCACTGAACCGTTGCTGTACTATTTGAAAGCATCGGTTGAGCGCATGCTCCTAAGTAAAGTGATCGTCGAGACGCTCCATCAGGTCAGAGCCAAGTCGAACACGTCCATAGCGCTTATGTAGGTAGGTTTACTATTGAGACAATACGGATGCAATATATCTGGTGTGGGATGGAGTAAATATCAAAAGAGCATAATTGTACTTGAAGCGTTTGTGTGTTGGCATTTGCATGGAAGGAAAGGATACCATTGATGAAGTCAAGTGGGGTTTGTCGTTACAGCTGCTAAGATAGCCTTGGATTTATTTGTTTTCATGACCATGTTCGACTGTAACAACAGGAGGCATACATGAAGTGATGTTGGAATGAACTTTCGTCATGTGATGTGTACTTTGCAGAGATGGTGGTAGCGAGCATGTTAATACTGCACCATTCCCAAAGCACCAGATACGTACCGACATCCGATCTTCTGGATGTGCGTCAATGTGCAGCTAAGATGATACAGAAGTCATGCAATAGCGCAACCAGAAAATGTAAGTGATGGATAGACCACAATATGCCTGCTGTTGTGGAAACTTGTTTTCGTCACTACCGTTTACACCAACTGTTGTTGCTGCTTGGTGCAATCTCTTCGGGCGGTAGCTGCCAATCGACACTTCTTGCCGCTACCATAACAAAAGATATTGCATCATGCTCAACCTTCTCTCCCCTCCTCCCTCACCTCATCGCTCGCTGCTCATCTATACTACTAGATGGCAGCTCAACAACGTCCTACTTGAGCACTGTCGACGCCACCATTGTTTTGCTACATTTCCTCATACAACTTCTTCCTCATCTTATACATTCATCCCTTGGTAACTCTCACCAATACAATACTTCAACTACCAAAGCTACGGGTCCGCCATCTGGTATTTGTCTGGGACTGTTTCGGCTCATCACAACACAACGCCATACTTTGATGTGAGCTTCATTCGCTCTGCGGCCACCTTTGCGTTGAGTGTGTCTTCCTGGTCCAGATCAAAGATTCAAAAATCGAGGATGTTTATTATCAGATTGCTAATACAGTCATAGGTACATTTTGCAGTCGTCACAACGTTTCCTTTTACTTGTTGTATACAAGGGCTACCTGCACAGTACTGGCAAGAAGAATACCGGCGAAGCTTTTTACTTGAAATCATCGAGGAAGCGGACATCCTGGATCCATCATACGCGAGGCCTGGCCGAATCAGGGCTAATTCTGTGGGCTCCAATCCTAAACCAAGGTCACTGAGCTCGAGCATATCGGGAACGTCACAGCACTCCACCCGTATTAGGAGGCATTCTCAGCCTACGCCACCACCGACACTTGCTGAAAGAGTTGCATTGGGACCACGGCTCAATCCCTGGCATCCCAAGCACCCCCATCGTCTCACTAGACACGGTTCTTTGCAAGATATTTACATTCTCAGAAAGGAGCAACGCCTAAAGGAAGCTGCAGATTACGAAGAGCGTTTGAATCAACTGCGCCTCCAGCGGCGCAGGAGTTCGCGACAACTCGACGGCTCGAGGTCAGCTGGAAGCTCACCAAACATAAGTCGTACAAACTCTGAGAAGGAGCTCTCAAGAACTTCTTCGTGGAAGAACTTTGCAAAAGAACTAGCATCCTTTGAAAAGTTTGGGCCGCTTGGACGTACAAATACTTCTGAATCCGTGGCATCTTCGAGATCTGAACAGTCCAACAGATCCAGAAAGTCAAACCTTCGCCGGGTACTGATATTGGAACGTACTAGTTCAGATGATCGAGGCGTTCAAGGACATGAAGCACGGCAAAAGCAGCAGTTACGACAGTCTAGCATTGGAGCGGACAGCGAGCCAAATATTGCATCGCATAGAGGACAAGGACTCGGAGTATGCCCTGGAAAGCATCCGGACAAGAGTACTCGGTACGTATGTTGTTCAATGCTGGTGACAGAATACTGACTTGTCGTAGCGAACGCGCGCGCGATCTATGGACCGAATCGATACTTAGACGTGATAAGCTTCGCTCCGACTTCCTCAAGAAGAGTTGGAGCGTGCATCGTCGAACACAATCCATCCAGTAAATCATATATTCATTGCTGTTCTGCAAAGGAAACCTCACGTCTTGCTGCTTTGGAACATTTGCTTGTCATCACCGAAGACTTGCTTCAACGCCTTATGGATTTCGAGGGCATCACAAGCAATGGGTGGCTTCCTGCTACCCCACAGTCACAGCATGCAGCGATGTATGGTAGTGCGTGCGGCAGCACAGTAGGTGGAACGGGAAGTGGCAGCATGACCAGCAGTGTGCAGACAAGTCGGAGGGGAAGTGCTCAACCACAAGAGTAAGATTATCCCTGATCTGCTTTGATATTTTCCTTATTTTGTACCTGGTATCAGGATACTTACAAGCCATAGTGTGTTTCCTGATCACGCTCATGGCTCACCGCAATCTACGCAGCTACCGCAACAACTACAACATCCACTCCCAGTGCCTTCCCAACTTCCGTTTGTCAATGACTTTAATGCACCTAGCTCGCCTCACCATATTCAGAAACCGAGGCTCCCCAGGGGTGGCAGCGAGACATCATTCCCCACTAGTACACCCAAGCCGATGGCACAGACGATTGCCAGGACGAACAGCGATGTTATTCAGCATCCCAAGCCGGTTCCTGTCGGCCAGTTGGCAGTTCCTGGGCGCGGCAGAGTGCAGTGGAATCTAGGTTCCGAAGGCTAAAGATGGCGATGCAAGCCATCTATTATTTGATTCAGTTTTGAGGGTTCAAAAGGAACGAATTCGTGAAATGGGATGAGGTTACCTATAGCTCATCACTTCCTTTGTTAGCAGCACACAAATGACATGTTTTGATTACCGTGAGAGAACCACAACTGGTGATTTGCGCAATTTGGACTAACAGTGTACTTGCATATTAAGAACCTGCCCATGTGACTTGTGTAACTTGGGCAAAAGATAAAAAGTTGCCAAACAAAAAACATACGACAGCGGGGATTCGCCAGTGGTCACCCACCTGACTACTAATCCGCCGGTAAACTGCTTATATATGCCAGATCGGACGGGATGGCTAGTTCTCAATTTCCGGTGGTCGTATGTACCAAAATAGTGAGAATAAATATAAAATAAATGTGCAAAAAAAGACATAACTACTAGGGATGTAGGCGATATGTTTTTTCCAGCGAGCTCACGTGATACTGTCGATATTCCAAACTCAGCTTAGAACAGCCGCACGGACGGAAAACAACATCTACACCCCTTTCGCACGCCGTATAGAGACGGTAAAGACGAAGAAAATGATCATGTATTAATGGCACTAACAAATATTTTCGTAAGGCACTACTAGGTATTCAAAGGTGTAGACAAAGGGTCAGTATCTCGCAATCGCATATAAGAGCAAATTGATGGGCCTCAAGAATCGCGGGTGTGCATTTGGATGCATACTACGACCAGTGTCCTCAATCATAAATCCGTCCGACCCGATGTATATGTCAGGCAGTACTCCTGGCCTATCCATACTACTGGAGCTCAAGTCAGAGCGCTTGCAGTATTAGGGCCAAGTCAGACGTAGACGGCAACCTTGAAAGGGTGACTGACAGGTGCTATTAGCGCGAAATCTTGGCGGCGCAGCGCACACATTGAATTGCCCCACTGGCCGCCACTTCTTACCGTGCTGTATCTGACAACAACCCCGACTTCACACAGGACCGACGCCTACACAGAACAGCACATACATAGCCGCTGACATGTCACGACCTGCAGGGTGAGTCTATCTGCGCCCTGTGCGTTCATGTGCATCCCACTGTCCTGGATTCTCTGGTGCGCCAAATCGTCACCTATTTCGCCTCAACCGACCGTCGATAAAAGTCTATATGCTGACGATTGCCATGTAGCCGCACCGACTGGGCGGAAGAAGACGACGAGGAGTCCCCCACCTCGCTCCCACCCAACCAAGTCATCAAGAACAAGGATGGAACCGAAACAGTCATCTCCTACCGTATTGAGGATGGCAAGAAGATCAAGACCACCCGCCGCATCAAGAAGACCGTCGTCAAGCAAGTCGTAAACCCACGTGTCGCCGAACGAAAGCAATGGGCCAAGTTTGGTCAAGAAAAGGGCAAGCCACCCGGCCCACAAACAGATACCGTCTCCGTGGCTGAGAACATCGTTTTCCGGCCAGTATCGAACTGGAAAGCAAGCACCGAGGACAAGGGCGATGAGGCGAAGAAGAAGGCCGAACTCAAGAACGCAAAGATCAAGTGTCGTATTTGCCAGGGCGACCATTTCACCACAAAATGTCCGTTCAAGGATACCATGGCTCCCGAGGGCGATGTTGCACCTGCAGATATGCCCGACGATGCGCCCGGCGTTGGCGCGTCAGGCGGTCTTGGTGCTGGATCTGGAGGATATGTGCCACCACATCTGCGTGGACGTGGTGGTGCTGGCGAGAAGATGGGCGGCAAGTTTGATCGTGACGACAGCGCCACCCTCCGTGTCACCAACGTTTCCGAGTTTGCCGAGGAGCAAGATTTGCGCGACATGTTCTCAAGATACGGACATGTTACCAGGGTCTTCTTGGCCAAGGACAGGGAAACTGGTCGCGCCAAGGGTTTCGCCTTTGTCAGCTATGCAGACCGATCAGATGCTGCAAAGGCGTGCGAGAAGATGGATGGATGTAAGTTTTGGTATAGCATTGTATGCTGGGAACACACTAACAAGCTACAGTCGGTTTCGGCCATCTTATCCTTCGTGTCGAGTTTGCTAAGAAGGCTTAAGTGATTGGCGATGATTACCAGATGCTATGTAATTTGGCGTTCGGGAACTGGGACTACGGCCTGAGAGGCGGGTCCTTAGAGTTGGTGATGGGTATCTTCTATGAGCTTGCGTGAGGTAGATGTTCCTTTTGCCTATCAAAACGATGGGCGTTTTACGTTAGTCTGTACGACTCGACATTATGCTACCGATTTTCAGCTTGAGTCCTGGCATGAAGAGATGACGAATGCCTCTACAATATCGACTGCCGAATGGCTTATGCATCATGTTATGTATTGTGCAATCCTCTGGCTGTGTGATGAAGAGCAAGATATTTTTCAAAGTGAGCAGGGGAGTAGAAACTGAAGGGGAGAGAACAAGCAGTCAAACACCTTGAAAAAAACCTTTTGTGGACATGGCATTGTATGCAAAGCAGGTGATATTCAAGCCAATAAATCTTCTTGTGCTTGCTCTGCCATGTCCGCATGATCTGAGTAGTCGTGGTATCATAATTTATCTCCAAGAAACCCACCCTCGTCTTAGTCGCTAGCCCTGTATTTGGCTCTGTACTCATCTAGCCTTTTCAGGTCCTCCTCTCCGCCCAAACTCCTCAAATACTCGACCACATCATCCAGTGTTAGGATAGCAAGCACCGGGATGCCGTACTGCTTCCTTACCTCGCCAATTGCACTTGGCCCAGGCTTGCCGTCATCGTCCGTGGCAGTAGGTGTCTTTTCTTGCCTATCAAAAGCAACAATGATTCCAACCAATTCTCCGCCCTCTCTCTTGATAATGTCGATAGCCTCTCGGATCGCAGTACCAGCGGTGATGACGTCGTCGACGATAACAATCTTCTTTCCCTTGAGGCTGGCACCAACAATGTTGCCGCCCTCGCCGTGATCCTTTGCTTCTTTACGGTTGAAGCTATAGCTCTTCTGTCCGTACTTGGCGAGATCTAGATCGGCGAGTTTATCAACTGATGCCGCTGCGAGGGGAATGCCCTTGTATGCAGGTCCGAAGAGGATGTCCCATTGGAAAGAGGCATCAGCCTCGCCGTGCGCCTTGAGTGTGTGGGCGTAAGCTGAGGATATTGAGCGCAGCAAGTCGGCTCTGTGGAATAGCCCCGCATTGAAGAAGTAGGGCGATATGCGCTTGGATTTGAGGGTGAAGGTGCCAAACTTTAGCGCGCCCGCCGACACACAGTCCTTGAGGAAGTTCTGCTTGAATTCTGGGAGCTCCATGGCGAATTGTTGCTTCTGGGCTGTGGAATGGGTATGGGTGAGTGTGTGTTCCGAGGGTGGTGGGCGTTTTCCATGATTTCTTTCCGAGCTCGGAAGCAGAGACCCTTCGAGAAAGGTCCGTGCACAGTGTCGTTCGTCACTGTTCAATGTTGCTCGCCAGAAGTTTTCGCGACATCACCGCCGACGCCCCAGCACACGCCTCATTGCCCTGCGCCTCTCTGCCCTGCGCCATCCCACGCTTTTCCTTGCTCTGATTTCTTCTATCCCCATATTTCGTGGGTCTGGGGGTCTTGGTAGCGATCCGGCGCAGCCTCTTATCTTTTCTTTATACAGGCACAGCACGACATCTTCAATATGGCTATGTATGTGCTTTCTTTGTGATTCGCAATGAATCCTCAGTTCCAAAAATGCTGACACCAATGCCAGCTGGGATGCATTAACAGGACGCAAGGCCAAGGAGGCCACACCACAACCGCCACCAAATAACGACTTTGTAAAAGAAGATACTTTCCAGCCCACACCATTCGACCCCAGCACCGCCATCCAGAACCCCTCCGAGTTCATTCTCGACCCCACACAATTGCACCCTCTTGCGGGGCTCAATCAACAGACTCTCGAATACCTCTCACTCGAAGACCAACTCCCATCCGATCTTCCTGGCTCGCAATCGGCCCTGCCCTCGCGTGGCTGGTCAGACGACTTATGTTATGGCACCGGAGTTTCGTACCTGACGGCGCTGACAATTGGTGGCGCATGGGGACTTGCTGAGGGACTCCAGAAGAACCCACCCAGCATGCCACCACGGTTGCGGCTCAACGGTGTGCTCAATGCGATAACGCGGAGAGGGCCATTTCTGGGAAACAGTGCAGGTGTGATTGCCATGGTGTACAATGGAATAAACAGCACCATTGGTTACTACAGGGGAAAGCACGAGATGAGCAACAGCATAGTCGCCGGCGCCTTAAGCGGTGCCATTTTCAAGAGCACAAGAGGGACAAGGCAAATGGCCATTAGTTCGGGTATTTGCGCCACTGTAGCAGGATCCTGGGCGGTAAGTTGGACGGCCATTGAAGCTAGGAAAGTTACTAATGGTGACTCAGATAACACGCAAGGTCTTTTTCGAGCCTGATCAAAAATCCGAGTAAACCAAGAACAGTTGTGTCTTGAGCTACAATGTCCCCGCCATCGTAGGCGTTCCGAGTTTTCGGAGTATTCGTCGCAATGATGTTCTTGTCTTTTCTATGTTCGACACTTTTTGCATCTATACTGTCGATCTTGACGTATCCCTCACCACTCTACGGGCAACCTCCGCTGCCCACTGTACAATAGCTGGCGTTCCTGGATGAAGACCGCATGAGGTTTAGAGAAAAAAGGCATGGTGTTGGGCTTCTGGGTCTTTGGGCGACTGGCTGTGTATTGTATGTAAGACGAAATGATGGAGCAAATTAATGACATTTGATCAATTGGACTGCATTGTGCATATTTTGTCGTTCTAGCAGGGGAAGAAGGGCACTTTACTGGCTGTCATTATACTTACTGACCATTCGCTGCGTGAGTGGTGTGGCTCGCGTTGGAGCCAATGCGCAGGGGAGAGGGGCCGCCTTTAGCGTAAGCCCCTGCAACTGAACCCATGCACTGCAGTCAAGTACACAGTCGCCTGTACGCACCATTGTATATTTCCAGCGCCACGCGCCATGGTGAATTCTACTAACGCTACGGCTACCGGAACGACCTCATCGTATAGCTTCGGTTTGGTCGGCAATCCATGTTGCCTTGGCATATGGGTCACGTTCCCTACGTTGTCTCTCACCTGAGAGGTGTCCTAAAGTGCCGAGTCCATCTCCACTATATTTCGTATATTACAACGCCCCCGGGTCAGCACCTTTGCACTAAGCACCTCTTGTTGCTCTGTTACTTACTTGACACTCTGGCACGGTGCAATTGTCCTAGTCCAGCCTTGTAGGCAGTACACGGTCGGTGGTGGCTGCTTACTTGGTCGTTCCAATCTCCTTTAAATCGTTCACTCAATGAGCGACTATAGTTTCCACCACCCATCTCACCATGCGTAGGATCAAAGTGCCCCGCGGGGTACCATACCAACAGCCCATGTCCCGGCAACACAAACGATTCCTGCTCTACGCGCTCGGTGCAGCTGTCCTGTTCGGCGTATGTTACAGGTTCTTCGGGGAACCCATCGACCCGTTGGCCGTTCCTTTTGAAGACCACGAAGCGTACATGCACCAAGGACCCAGTCTCGCCAGCCTCGAATCGCAGCAGTCGTACGATTGGCGCAAAGCCCCTTTTGTAAACCGCATTTCGTCCTACATCCCGCTGCCAACCAGCAAACCCCGCAAACTCCCGCACATCCAGGTTGAATACTTTCCCGAAACGCGTGCACAGAGAAATCAGAGGGAGTCGCAAAGAATTGCAGTACGGAATGTCTTTAAGCGTACATGGGAGAGCTACAGGGCATACGCTTGGGCGCAGGATGAGCTCAAGCCTGTCACGGCAGAAGGCGAAGAATCATTTGGCGGCTGGGGCGCTACCTTGGTCGATTCACTCGATACCCTGTGGATCATGGGCCTTCGAGAAGAGTTTGACGAGGCTGTAGAGGCAGTTGCGGCAATCGACTTCGGCAGGACGAACCTCACGAGTGTCAGCGTCTTTGAAACGACAATTCGATATCTAGGGGGTTTACTGAGCGCATACGACATGAGCGGCAAGCCAATCTTGCTTAAGAAAGCAATTCAACTTGGAGAAATGCTATACCGGGCCTTTGACACTACGAACAACACGCCGTTGGGTTGGATGAGTGTGGAAAAGGCCAAGAAGGTCGACCGAGATACCTTTGATGCCGAGACTAATATTTGTTTTGCCTGCCTTGGCTCGTTGACCATGGAGTTTACGCGCCTTGCACAGATCACGTCTGAGCCAAAGTATTATGATGCTGTAGCCAGAGTCACTCTGCTTATGGACCGTGTTCAGAATTCTACAAAGATACCGGGGCTTTGGCCGACTATGGTCAATGTCGCGCGTGAGGATTTCACCTTGTCAGGCTCCTTTTCTATTGGCGCGCTGGCAGATAGCACGTACGAGTACTTTCCCAAGATGCATGCGCTGCTCGGTGGTGTGGAGCCCGTGTACGAGAAGCTGTACCGCGACTCTGCAAAGAAGATTGATGAGTACATGCTCTTCAGGCCAATGGTACCTGACAAGGACCATGGCGAGGACTTGCTACTCTGCGGCGATGTGTCTGCTTATAGCGATCAAATCACTCTAAACCCAACCATGCAGCACCTAACATGCTTCATTGGTGGTATGTTCGGCCTAGCAGGCCGCATCTTCGCAATCAAAGAACACGTCGACCTCGGCGCAAAACTTACAAAGGGCTGCGTATACAGCTATGCCGCCACCCAAACCGGCATCATGCCCGAAACCTTCGACATGGTCCCTTGTGAATCGCGCACATCCTGCCCCTGGAACCGCACCACCTGGGCCGAAGGCGTTCTCACCCACTACGGCAACAAGTACATTGACGATTTCGATGCCGCCGTCGAAAAATACAGTATTCCTACTGCATTCACTAACATCCGCGATCGCCGGTATCTCCTCCGCCCCGAGGCAATCGAGTCCGTCTTCATCATGTACCGCATCACGGGTGACCGGCACTACCTCGATAGCGCATGGGAAATGTTCAGCAGCATCGTTGCTGCCACCGAAACAACATATGGGTACGGTCAGGTCCGCGACGTTACGTTTGCTGCACCGCAGGATGCTCCCACTATTACCCCTACTACTACTACCGCGTCTGGTGCAGCAGGGCAGTCGGGTGCGCGTGAAAAGAACATCGAAAATAAGATGGAATCGTTCTGGACGGCCGAGACGCTCAAGTATTTTTATCTCGTGTTTAGTACCCCGGATATGATTAGTCTTGATGAGTGGGTGTTTAATACTGAGGCGCATCCTTTCAGGCGGCCGAAGGCTGTGTAGAGAGTTGGGATGGGGAGCTAGAGCGGGTGCGGATAGAGAGTTGGTTGAGTAGTGTGTTTTGCGTAACATTCCTCCCCTTTTTTTGGATGAAACAAGAGGACTAAATCCTGTTCGTTGAGAGGGTTCTTTGGTCGCTGGTGGCTGTGTAGGGTCTTAGCGTTGCATTTTTCTGGAGTAAGGGTCTTGAATTGGATAGATGGGTATCGCAGTATACTATATTGTTTTTGTTCCATCATCGTTCTGATTATACAAGTCTTAGTGTAATTGTTACATCTGGTGTGTGTGATTCAAGACTTGTGAGCTTCTTTTTTCTCCTAATCTTCATCTCAAGATGGTTGCGAAGGTATTCAACGCAAAAGGAAGTGTAGCATGGCCATCCCATAAAGTGTTGACCAGTTCTTTACTTTGGGGAGATTTTGTGAGGTCGAGGTCATGTGGTGCAGGAGAAAAGGGTGTGCTAGATGGTTTCACATGATATATCGAGGTTTAAGTGGGGGTCAGAGGTGGGTGGATATCATGATTGCATATGCCTCGGTGATGTAGGATACGTGCGTGGAGTATTGCAAATAGGTTAGGCGCTTTGCGAAGGCGAGGCTTCTGGGAAGACACACGGATAGGGATGTGCTGTAGAGCGAGGTTAGGGTTAGGGTGGAGAGGTTGCAGAGGAGGGGGAGAGAGATTGTAGTATTGGGAGATGGGAAATCAGATTGAGGGAAGTGAGACTTTGTTAGTGCAAGGAGAAGTCAGGTTATCCAAGGTGGAATTCGAGGGGCTTTGTATCCATTAGTCGATGGCTCGTCAGGTGCATGGATTAGGCTTGAGGGTGGAATGCCCTTCTTTTTCGAATTGAAATTGGGCGAGATGGTGATTCGAGTCGAAGAAAGGAACTTTGAGATACAGGGAGCTATGAAATAGAGGGATTTGCTACGTTACCTCGATCCATGTAGCAGCTTGATAGGATAGGAGACTTATTCTAAAACCAAATTCCAGCCATTTATAGCCATTTATAGCCATTGTCTTTATTGACCTTTAGTTTCATCGCACACTATTCGGGCCGTCAACACCAAAACTGGGGTATAGTGGTTTCACCGAAAAAAAGGGCGTAAGAAACAGAAAAAACACCAAGAGGTCCAAAAATGTCTTTGACCCCAGAGATATGCACAAGGATCCCAACGTCTGAACGATCCTCAGTCCCACATTCTCACAATGCATCGTTTCCAACTTACATAGATCATAAAAGTGATATATATATATATTTCCAAATGGTTACCGCCTTACCAAGGCACGATCTCCCCATCCTGTCTATAAAACTTTCCACTATCCGCCTCCTTTAGCCTCGCCACAATATCCAGCATATTCCTCACACTATCCTGCACTTCGAGCACCGCCCCTTCACCTCCCATCCTCGTCTTAACCCACCCCGGATCCATACAAACAACCTTGACGCCATTCCCCTTGAGATCCTTACTCTGATGCACCGTCAACATATTCAGCGCAGCCTTGGACATACTGTACGTGCAGCACTTTGTAATCTCCGAAGCAACAGCCAGACTACCGAGTCCAGACGACATGTTCAGCACAGTGGCGCCACGAGCGAGGTACTTGCGCAGGCTCTGAACGATTTTTGCGGGACCAAGCACGTTGGTTTGCATGTGCTCGGCCATACTTTTTGGGTCAAATGTAAGGCTCGTGTCGCTGCTGGTAGCATTTATGCCGGCGACGTTGAAGAGGAAGTCGAGGTTGCAGCTTTTTTTACTCAGGATCTCGGCGACGCGGAATTCGATGCCGGAGAGGGATTCGAGGGAGCTGACGTCACATTCGACAATGTGGACGTTGTTGTTTGAATTCAAGGAATGGAGGTCGGATAGGTCGATGGATTTGGAGCGGACGCCTGCGATGATGGTGTTGGAGGGGTTGGCGGCGAGTTGGCGTACAAACTCAAGGCCAATGCCGCGGTTGGCGCCTGTTAAAAAGTAGGTTCCCATTTTTGGTCGTCGTCGTGTTTTTGTGCGAACGGGTTGGTGGCCTTTGCTGATATGTGGTTTTTGTGTTACGATGATGGTTTGATGTGATATTGGTGCTGCGTTTGCAAGGGGAAGAGCGCCAGTTGATCTTGGAACCGGCTTCCTTGTTACTGGCTGTTGCAGATATGGGCGGGAGAAATTGGGCGATTGTGAGGATCTACTTGATGAAGTACTCGTTTGTCTCCGCGGCTGTGTTGTGGGGGCAATGTCGTGGCGCGTGTGCTGCTGCATGCTGTCTACTTCCACCGGGTAAATCATTTTAAATGACGTCGAGATATCAGTGAACATGGATGGATTTTTCTTTCTTTTGGCTAACTATCATCAACTGTTCGTGTGTTGTATACATATAAGTACTGGTATAGACGCACGAACCACCGGTTTGCTTGAACGGTCCGGGCCAGCAGACCCGCAAATCATTTCCCAGTGTCAGACATGTCACTCCTGTTACACAAATGTTAATGCGCGACGCAGCACCGTCCGGAAAGCAGACTGAGATATTATGCCCTCTCAAATAATTTGTCTCAGACCACCTGTCAGCTGTAGGAGTTCGTGCTCCTGGTGCTGCCAGCAAAACGTGATGCTCATACAACCGATGTGTTTCCACAGTAGTGTCCGCCCAGCAACTGGACAAGGAACCCTAGGGTTACATTTCAGACGAGCGTCGGGCTATGATCCATCAGAACTATATCTCCCATCGGCGTATGTGATTATATGAACATTACGCGAGCTATGGACATCGGCAAACTGCCTTTTGGCTATATGTGCGGCATTTCGCAATCTCACCTTTGGTCGCGTGATGCGAATAGCATGAGTTTCATCTACTTGCCGTCCCACGACCAACCCCTTGGCGACCAGCACGTCAACCATTTCGAACACACCTCGCCCCATTTCGATGACTTGTTGACTGCTATGTGTTCACTCGACGTGATCGACTTTGCGTTTCTGGCTCGCCCCCTTGACTACACTAGACAGGTCCACAACTGTATTGATTTAGCAAGTACAGAGGCATTTATTCACGCAGTCAGCGACTTACTGGGAAGATTAAAGGGAAAGTCAACACTGGCCAGCATGATAGCAGCGAATATGTACCATCCAAATAAGCAAGCAACAAAGGCGAATGCACCACCAGCCTCGGCCAGCTTCTTAGCAAGAGACGCCCTGCCATTGGCAGCCTGGAAATAGCTACCTGCTAGAAAACCGAATGCTGGTACCAAAGTAAAGAAGATCATGAAGAAGACCAGGTTTGTACGGATGGAGCAGATGAGAAAGACGAGGCACATCATGCCCATGGCGATTTGGAAGTATCCTATGAAAAAAGTCAGAAGAACATACGCATTTCATGTTGCACATGACATACCAATACCGGCATTAAAGCCGACAGACTCCAGACCTGTGCTGCCTTGGACAGAGGGGTTGGCGTATGCTCCGTATGCGTTGTAAAAAGGTTGGAGTGTAGCACCGAAGCCTAGCCAAAAACCCCCAAAAGAACAGAATACGACGAATGGAAAGGTATTGCCTAGAATCCACTGTTGACAGTCAGTGTTATCTTTGATGGACCGAGAAGACCATGCATACTTCGCCAATCCCACCAAGAACCATTAGAAGACCCCCACAAAAATAATACCACCCAATGTTCGCTGCACCACTACCTCCAGCGCCTCGCCACCCCATAAGAGTCATACTGAGTGGAAATAGAGACAGCAAGAATCCAATGATAGCGCTGTTAGCATTAGCAGCTGTTCACAAAAAATATAAAAAAAAGAGAGAGAGAGCATACACTGGTGTAGGGTTACCAAAAGTCTTTCTCAATTCGCCTTTTACTTTATTTGGGGGCGAGAGGTAGAGCTTCTCGAACAGTTCTGGCGAGATGGAAATACTGCCTGCCGTCCGGATATGATGAAGCGCGGTATTGGAATCAACTGAAGCATCGAGGTTGAGGTGCCCGGGAAAACTGTTGCTATATCCTAGTATTGTCAGCCTGTAGCTGTTACCAGCGTTATTCTGGGGCCTCACCGTTGGGCTGTGAAAAGTCCTTTTCCAAACCATGGTTGACATCCATGGTTCTTGCTGTTGACTCATTCCTTGCAGTTGATCCAGCCGACAGCGTCTCTACGTCTCGAGTTGGGCTCAGATGAGCGTCGTTTGATGAGTACTTTTGCTGGTGATCTGGATCCATACGGTCTGTGTAGTTATCGAAGGGTGCGCTTCTTGTAGAATCGGGATTGAGGATCAAGTGCTCGTCGTAATGGCCGCGGGTAGGGGAGGTAGGGGAGGCAGTGGTATCTGCAGAAATATCGTAATTGGACATGGGAAGCTAGGAGACTGGGGAGGAGAGAGCTAATATAGGTGGGCACAACAATCGATAAAGCAAGCAAGGGGCATAAATGTTCGGGAAACCCGGAGCACAGATGTCAATTGCGAACAAGCGTGGCTGCGGACGAAAGCAAGTGATCAACACCAAATATGCAAAAGGCGGCGTACAGATGCCCCAATCCAGCATGAATACGATGACCAGCCGTTGCGGCTCCGCCCTGAACATGGCACAGGGAATCGAATTGGCGGGAAGGCAGACATGACCAGGTTAGGGCCGGCTATGGATCCAGACCTTGATTCGTTCAGGTCATGAGGAGGTGTTTCGTAGTCGGGAACGTGGCTTCCATGACAAAACGACCCTAGGAACGGGAGCGGGGTGGAAGGAGTAGCCACTTTGTAAACACCCAGCCTCCTCCCAAAGTATCTTCTGCTTGTACTTATACCAGTCTGGCGTGTATGCTGGTACCACAATTACAATACACAGTATCTCGCCCATCTTTTTTCATGGGACACCTTGTAAACTTGCATAGTTCCATTCACTCTGTACTGCCTAAAGCTCGATGATCATACTGCTCGAACAAGTGACAATGACAATGGCACGCATCAGGGATCATGACACGTACATGGCCTAATAGGCAATGGCCGTTAGAAGACCAATGACTCTAGTCCATATGGTCGATCTCAAGGAGTCGAGCGGAGAAACGGCAGGTGAAAGCTGGGGGTGGGTGCGGAAGCTCGATTGGGGAGCCAAACGATCGTCGGACCGGCGGTAACGGGTTGGGTTTGCGGGGAAACGTGCTAAAAACGCTAAACCCGGACGTATGGTTGCCAGCCTTATTTTCTCATTGCAATGCCTCAGTTTGTGTGCCGAAGACCCCTCATACGACTTTTTCTAGTGGTAGTTGAGGGCGCAACATAAGTCGCCTGTGTTGTTTTGGTTTGGCTCAGAACAAGCCAATCGCACAATCAATTCTGTGTCGAGACAATCCATGTTACTCCGACGCTGAACGCCGGGCCGAATGATGGTTCTCAAGGCCCAGAGCATCCCGGTATGGACCGGCGAGATGCCACGATGGGTGGATCAGGCTTGTAAGGGAGAGTCGGTGTTTGGTGCAAATTGATCGAAGACTTCACCCCCGCACTGAACTACTGAGGGGTGAGCAGCATCGAGCCATGCTGGCGTGACGCACTCCCACAACTAGAACACATGGCGAGTAGGTTGCGCTCGTCCGAAAAGCCCTCGGAAAGGATCAACGAAAGTGATAGATGCTTTCCGGATTGAAAGCAGTCTAACTTGATTTGGCAAACCATGACAGGACAAGCGGTGACCTGGAAATGAGCCTCCGAGGAGCGAGTGCAACTGAGCGGAGTGGACTCGTCATTTGAACGGTGCTGTTTTCAGAGTGTCGCGGAATCGTCGGTTAGGGTACTAGGGGCTATGTTGTCTAGATGGACGTGGTTAGACGTTCAAGGCTGACAGGTGTACCCGGCTTATCGGATGATCGAGACAGAGAGGCAAAGCTTATTCGTCACCCCATAACAGCCAACTGTGACCGAGGCTGCATGTTCCGCATATCCGAATTGCGGGTGACCGGGCTGCAATTCGTAATGGTTGTGACTTGAAGGCCATCGGACTGCACTCCATGGATAAAAGCTGGGGTGATTATGCCCAGGCCGAGAACTCAAAGACGTATACAGATCTAGCCGTACGCATGCATGCTGGATAAGTCTTGGAATATCAGGCACGCTGTTGCACTGTTGCATAGGTCAAATAGATTCGATATCATTTCTAACAGATGGGCAAGACATGGCGAACCGATAGTAGTGAAGCAGGGACGTCAAACATACCATTCGGCCTTATAGTCTGGCAGAAGTAACCTAGCATAGGGCGATGAGAGCGCAGCACGATCTAGTCATGTACTGCAATAAAGAGCAGGTGATGCGCGAGTGGGCAGTCACTGGATGTCAAGTAATCTCTCTCTCTCAGTCACTCCACCGGCGTCCTATCCCAGTCTGAAACTGCAGCATGTCGCATTCTTGGGATATGGAAACGCATTAAGCACCGCCGACTTCTTCTATGACTTTCTTGAGATTGTGGAGGTCATGTGCGAAGCGGCCTAAGAACAAGCCGTCTACGCCGTCGGCAATCTTTGCAAAAGTTCCTGGACCGGCACTGCCGCCATAGACGATTCTTGTTAGACCTTTGCGGCCAGCAGCTAGCGATCTCAGCGCTTTTGTCACCATGACTACGTGGTCAGGGTCTGCAGGCTCCTTTGCGCCTATGGCCCACACGGGCTCATAAGCCAGAATAACCTCGGTGTCGTCGGGCACGGCAGCCAGGATCGATTTGACCTGGGGCGTGCATTCATCTATAGCAGCTCCGACGGCAGCTGAAGCGACACCATGATGCGTCTTCTCGCCGATGCACACGAGCGGGATGAGGCCGTTTCTCGCAACAGCCCCAGCCTTTTTCGCAACCATCTCGTCGTTTTCACCAAAGAGGGCTCTCCGCTCGGCATGGCCAATCTCGACAATTCTCGCACCCGCCTGTCTCAAGACAAGCGGGCTGACTTCTCCTGTGTAGGCGCCCTTGTCCTCCCAGAAGGTGTCTTGAGCGCCGAGGATGATGGACGACGACTCGAGGATGCGGGCTGATTCGGTCAAGGAGACAAAGTCGGGGATGACAAAGAGATCGATGCGGGCATTCCAGGCATCGCCGTCGAGTTGCAGGACACCACGGATGTAGGAGAGGGTGCTGGGCAGGTCGAAGTACATTTTCAGCGAGACGCCGACAATGCGGCGGGGCCGAGCAATGGGAGGCATGACGGTGGTGGGTATGCGGGTGTCTGGGGAGATGGAGAGGGAGATGTCAGGAGGGGTGGACGAGCAGCCAAGGATGAAAAAGCTGGTTTGTCATTATACTGCGAGTGGACACGACGGCATCCTACATATGTACAGAGGGTATACATGGTAGCAGTACTACATATGTAGTAGTGTATGTAGACTAGATTGCGCAACAATGATGGCGGTCCGGGGCTACCGCATTAGGAAACCCCGGGAGAGGGCAGTCATGGCATCGTGGGTGGAAGATGTGGGACGGCGGGTGATTTCACAGCTGGAGTGTGGGGCAACAGCACTGCCGACACCCCCAGACAGCACTACCACCACATGGATGCCACATCTCGTCCGTATACATATAAGTACACTACTCTCTGCTACACACATACACATACACATGCACTCAGTCTCCGCGCGGCGCTGCTGTCTCGCCGGCCATGGCGGGCTCTTCACCGCATGGCACACGGGCTGAGGTATTATGTGGCCGAAGATGGGCCTCGCTTGCCAGCGCTCCGATGTCACCTCCGGACTCACTACACGCCCTTGCGCTAACCTTGTTCCAATCACCTGCGAGCTAGAGAAAACTGCACATCACCGCCTCGTTGACACGTTGTAGTCCTGACCTGAACCACTGACAGACGGATTGACACAGACTACTACCTGCCACAAAGACAGCTCTCTCAACCAGCTGTCGTACATGTCGCGGACACTCGCTGATCGCTGGGCCCGCAAACGATACTTTGGATAAGCTCCGTCGGAGTTTCGACACCGACCGAACGCATACATCCTTGTACACGCCGCAGTGAGACCATCGCGGGGTGCATCCTGTTCCTATTGTGTACCCACGGGATCTCTGCTCCTCTCCTCTCCTTCTTCTTTTTCTTCCTTCATTCCATCCTTCCTTCTTTCCTCTGACCCTTGCCCACCATGCACATCTCACAGAAACTCGCTCAGGCGAAGCGCGAAGGGAAGCCGACCTTCTCCTTCGAGTTCTTTCCCCCGAAGACCGCACAGGTACTCCATATCCCCAGGGTCCCCAAAAAGTAACTGCGTTGACTTTACCTCCAAGGGTGTTCAAAACCTCTATGACCGCATGGACCGCATGCACAGCTTCGGCCCTCAGTTCATCGACCTCACCTGGGGCGCCGGCGGCCGTCACTCCAAATTGACCTGCGAAATGGTCAAGGTCGCACAGTCCGTCTACGGTCTCGAGACCTGCATGCACCTCACCTGCACCGACATGGAAAAGTCCAAGCTCGATGAGGCCCTCCGAGAAGCATACCAAGCCGGCTGCACAAATATTCTGGCCTTGAGAGGCGACCCGCCCCGTGAACGAGAAAAGTGGGAGGCAACGGCTGGCGGATTCCGTTACGCAAAGGATTTAGTTGTCTACATCAAGGAAAAGTACGGAAACCACTTCGATATCGGCGTTGCAGGATACTCGGAAGGCAGCGATGACAACGACGATGTCGATGAGCTCATTGACCACTTGAAGGAAAAGGTCGATGCTGGAGGCTCCTTTATTGTAACGCAAATGTTCTACGACACAGACCTCTTCCTCGAGTGGGTACGAAAGGTCCGCGCCAAGGGCATCGACGTTCCCATTATTCCAGGCATCATGCCCATCCACACTCACGCCGCCTTTCTACGAAGAGCCCAATGGACAAAATGCCACATTCCCGATGACTGGACAAAGGCTCTGGAGCCTGTCAAGAACGACGACGTTGAAGTGCGTGAAGTTGGCAAGACATTGGTAGCCGACATGTGCCGGAGACTGATTGACGCCGGCATTACCCATTTGCACTTGTACGTCTTACTGTTACTATATGGCCATGTCTACACTACTTATACTGACTCACCCCAGCTACACGATGAACCTTGCCCAAGCCACGCGCATGGTTCTCGAGGAGCTTGAGCTTTTGCCAGATGTGGAATCACCACTCGAGAAGCCTCTGCCATGGCGACCCTCCTTGGCCCTCAACCGACGCGAAGAGAATGTACGACCCATATTCTGGCGCAACCGACAACGGTCCTATATTGCACGCACTCAGGACTGGGACGAGTTTCCTAACGGCCGTTGGGGAGATTCGCGATCACCTGCTTTCGGCGAGTTGGATTCATATGGTATTGGTCTCAAGGGCACCAACGAGCAAAACATCAAGCTATGGGGCACGCCATTGACCATCAGGGATCTCTCTAATCTATTTGTACGCTATATGGAGGGCAAAGTAGAGTCGTTGCCATGGAGTGAACAGCCCATTACCGCGGAGGCGTCATCTATTCGAGACGATCTCATCGACTTGAACAGACGTGGTTTCCTCACCATCAACTCCCAGCCTGCTGTCAACGGCGTCAAATCGTCTGATCCCGTCTTTGGTTGGGGTCCACGCAACGGTTATGTTTACCAAAAGTCCTACCTCGAGGTCTTTGTCTCACCCGAGCACATCGCCGAGATCATTACCCGTCTCGAGCGTGACCCAGAATTCACCTACTATGCTGTGAACAAGAACGGCGATTTGAAGACGAACGCCCCCAACGAAGGACCCAACGCTGTCACGTGGGGTGTCTTCCCAGGCAAGGAGATTGTACAGCCAACGATTGTCGAAACAGTCAGCTTTTTAGCCTGGAAGGACGAGTTCTACCGACTCGGCCAACAGTGGGCAAACTGTCACGCAGGTGTCAGCCCATCACGCTACGTCATTCAGGACGTCATAGACACTTGGTACCTTCTCAACATTGGTAAGTTTCAACTCCGCTTGAATCGATCGAACTCTTCACTAACTTGTATCCTAGTGCACAATGACTTCCATGCTACCCGTGGCATCTTCCCAATCTTCAATGGTCTAGAGGTCAAGGACATGGACAAGCCGCTGCACACACCATCTGCCGATCTTCCTAATGCAAATGGCAGCGAAACTGTAAACGGAGCCAAAGGCGTCAATGGAACCAATGGCACCCACAAGGAAGAGAGCCCAAGCCTCATAGATGTTGCCAAAGCAGCAGCGATCGAGGTTACCAATGGCATGAAGAGCTTGGCTGTCTCTAACTAATACGACATGGAAAAATCATGTCTAATGATCTTACTGCACTCAACCCAGCAAGACTAATTATCATTCTCGGCGTTCCCTGGGAAATACTTCGGCTGAATTATCTGTGTTCAACAACACATCGCGGCCTTTTATTTCGCACAGTTCTCTTGCGCTTCAACAAGCGCAAACTTGGAGGTTTCTTTTAGCGTATCCTAGGCCCTGTTTTCTTTATTCATATTTTTGATTGTTAAAATAAATGCCGTGTTCGCTATATACATATACACGCACAAGCATTTGGAAGGCGTCTCTTCAACCCGACGACCATCACGAAAGAACAAGGTGCAGGAACCTTGTAAAAAGAGTTCAAAAGCATAGCGCAGGATACAAAAGACGGAGAAATGGCTTTCTGAGATACCCGACTTCGCTCCCCTCAACGGCGGCGGTCAACCTTTTCACTTCGCTCTTTTAACTGCCATTTTTGTAGTAGATATATACAAATACATATGGTGTACAGGTGGTATAGATATCACAATGTATACTGGTCTTGCGGTGCTGTGATAGGCTAAGCATACAAATATAGAGTTCTTTGCAATGATAGCTGCACAGTGGTTCGGTGATGTGATAATCTGTATATTCCAAGGGAAGAGTAATAATCTTCATATCCCAAATTCAAGTTAACAATCCAAACATCACTCTTCTATATTCCAATCGTAGTGCAAGAAAACGTCTTTCATTCTCAATAAGGAGCGTGTATATAAGTTGCCAAAAAGGTGTGATACAAGAAGAGAAATGTATATGTCAAAAAAGTTCCCGTGTCATCTAGACAATCACTCTTTCACTCATCCGTCAGATGAAGTCCATATGCCCATGGATAATCATTTAGCCCAAGCCACTTAATAGTCGCCCTTGGACTCGCCATCGCCTTTTCCCTCACCCTGGCCTTGACCAGCACCCTCGCCCTTGCCCTTACCCAAGAGACCGCTGAGCCACTCGAAAAATCCACCGGGACCAGGCTTGCCGTCCTCGCCCTCGCCTCCGGGACCGCTGGGAGCACCGGGGTAGGGAGCGTTACCACCTGGTCCGGCTGGGCCGCCGGGGAAACCGCCGGTGGGCATGGGGAAGGAGGGAAGAGCGCCAGTGGGCATGGGGAAAGGAGGAAGGGCACCGGTGGGGAGAGGGAATGGGGGAGTTCCTGCACCGGGGGCGCCTGGGGCACCGGCTCCGGGAGCACCAGCACCTGGAGCACCGTATTCTGGAGCACCAGATTCAGGAGCTCCCTCGGTAGGAGCGCCAGATTCTGGGGCACCCTCAGTAGGAGCACCAGATTCAGGAGCGCCCTCAGTAGGAGCGCCAGATCCGGGAGCGCCCTCGGTAGGAGCGCCAGATTCTGGGGCACCCTCGGTAGGAGCGCCAGATTCTGGGGCACCCTCAGTGGGAGCACCGGCACCGGGAGCGCCATATTCTGGGGCACCCTCAGTAGGAGCACCGGCACCGGGAGCACCAGCCTCAGGGGCGCCCTCAGTGGGGGTACCCTCAGTTGGAGCACCTTCAGTAGGAGCACCGGATTCTGGGGCACCCTCAGTTGGGGCACCTCCAGCGGGCTCATCGCCATATGGAGAGCCACCTTCAGCAGGAGAACCTGTAGCCGGTGCGCTTGCAGCTGGAGCAGCACTGCCATCCTTGGAAAGAAGTTGGAATTCTGGAAGAGAAGGAGTAGCGGCCTCTCCCCTCTTGTGTAGGTGGGGAGCGAGGCCGTAGTTGACTGCGAGCCTCTTTACGGTTGGGGGCTTGCCTCCTTGGAAGCCAGGGAAACCAGGGAAGCCACCACCAGGCTTGCCTCCGGGCTGACCACCGGGCTGGCCTCCAGGAAAACCGGGGAAGCCACCACCAGGCTTGCCTCCAGGGAAACCGGGAAAGCCACCACCAGGCTGGCCTCCAGGGAAACCCCCACCAGGCTGACCTCCGGGCTGACCTCCTGGTTGGCCTCCAGGGAAGCCGGGGAAGCCACCACCTGGTTGACCTCCAGGCTGGCCTCCTGGGGAACCACCGGGGAAACCTCCAGTGGGCATAGGGAAAGCAGGTACTCCAGTTCCAGTAGGAGCTGGGAGACCAGCACCTGGGAAGTTGGGCATGTTCTCTGGTGCAGGAGCCTCACGGGCCTCCTTAGCACCAAACATGGCGTTCATGGTACCGCCAAAGGGCACTTGGCAATGTTAGTCAATGTTTAAGGTAAAATTGATTAAAAGGGCACTTTACGAGCAAGGGATGATCCCGAAAGGGCGAGAATGACAGCAGACCTCATGATTGCGGTAGTCGTTTAGGCGAGCTGCGTAGAAACGTTGAAAAGTGATTGAGCGATGAAAGTGACGGGTAACAGGGACAAAGTGGCACAGCCGAAGTGAATGTACGAATATCGCTAGGATATCGAAAGAATGGATAACAAAGAAGGAAGAGAGAAAGGTGTAAAGAGAACCTTCTCAAAGAGAATGTGTGTGACTGGCAACTGTTGACTTGTTGGTGGCCTTCAAACCATGAGGCCAATTTCCAAGATATATATACTTGATAACTATGACGTGCTCACGGAAACGATCGACATACTATTCATCTAAAGGTCCTGGAAACAAAACTAGCCGTGTAATGCCTGTCGTTTGGTCTATGGTGTTTGTCGTGAAACCTCCACTGTCATCTGTAAGATGTTGACGAGATCAATCTAGACATTGCGTAGGCGCGGCTTAGCAACTAGGGTGCCTCATGCGGACTCGCTGGGAGCCCAGCCTTGCCAACTGATTCGGACAGAATGTTTGTTTGATGCGACCGCTGATCGCACCCGGGGTTTCAGGTCGTGTGCCAATGAGACGCGGCTGTCGGTCGAAAGATGAAGCGGCATTTGGAACATCGGCGGCCCTTGCGCAGCACGCATAGGGCACAGGGGACTTTCCCCGGCCACAGATAGATTGTCGGTAGGTGCTTGGGGTTGCTAAGAAAAGTGACATGCTTGTTTGCGAGATGCGGGAAGCCCGATCGCGCATGAAGGACGTCGGTGGGTCTGTTTCATGCGTACGCGTATATTCCTTGCCAAGACCAACCTGTAACGAAGTTCATTGGCGCAACCACCTAACCACCATGTACCTTCTGTGACAAACGCCTTCTTGGATTCTCTATCGAACGATTCTCTCGTCTTCTACTCTACATCCTCGCGCAATTCTTAATGAGTGTGATACAACATTGCAAATCGCACACAAGCCTCGGCACCATAATGCACAATGCGCAATGTTGAACTCCAGACAATTATTTCAAATCCATCCAATTCGCCTGGCCGCATACCCCCATCCGCTCAAAAGTGCTGTCACTCCAGTAAAAGCAATCAATGCGCCATAACCGCTACCATAAGCAAAGCCTGCACTCCAATTGCCAGCATGTAACAACGCTTCCGATAGCGGGCCGCTGCATAGGTTGCCAACACCTTTTCCAGCGGAGAGACAGGCCCATACGAAGCCAGAGTCTGCACCCCTTCTTTTCTTTTGTGTATCGGCAACAATGGCACTCCAGGCACTCGACTGGCATCCAGCAAACGCCCCGTAGATGACGCAAAAGATGTACAGGGGTGCTAATGATGTGGAGAAACCCCAGATTAAGAAACTGCCGACAGCTGAGCCGAGTGCAGAGACCAGCAGACAGTTGGTCACGTGGTATTTGTCAGTGGCCAAGCCCATACATAGAGACCCAACAAATGCTGCTGCGTTGACAAGTATGATGGTGACAGTGCCTTGAACAGTGCTTGCGCCAATGGAGCGAGCAAAGGTGGGAAGGTATATTGCAGGAAGGAAGAAACCAAGGCTTTGGATGACATTGCCAGACTGCAGGATGAGATAATTTGAGCAGGTCCAGAAAGACAAGTCGAAGCTTCTGGACTGCGAAGTTTGGGACAGCGGGAGGCGCGGCTTGAAGAAGAAGATGATTGGGAAATTCAGAGCGACAAAACTGAGGGCGCAGACCCTGAGGGTTGTTCGGAAGCCATAAGACTGCAGGAGCCATTCCAAGATTAAGGGAAGAATGGCACCGCTCAATCCGAGACCAGCCATAGTCGCCCCGTATGCGAATCCTCGACGACGAACCCACCACTCTTCAATGTTGAAGAGAATGGGAGTCCATGCTAAACCACCGCCCAGTGCGTACAGAATTCCCTGAGTGACAATAAGGTGGGTGACAGTCGTCGACAGGGACCCAAGGCCAAGTGCAAGACAGACGACGACCAGACCAGCCGGAGTCGCATAGCGGCGGAATCTGGGGAAGTATTTGAGCACAGCGAACCACAACATGATGTCCATGTACATGATGCCCTGAGATATAATTTAGGCTTGAATCTATCTGGGGGAGGGGGGGGGGGGGCTGTGAGGAATACCATTGCGCAAGCGCCCACAACTGCAATGTTTCTCTGTCCAGCAAACTCATCACTGGTTGCATAGTATTCTTGGAACACACCATAGCAGGAGGGAAACCCCCAGATCATTGCCTCAAGCATGAAACAGCCGAACAGACAGAGCCAGGCATCCTTGCCTCCATCGGTAGGTGGCAGAGAAAATGCTGCCTCGTTGTGGGGAGCGTCATTCTCATTGTGCTGAAATAGTTCAATGCCGTCCAGTGTTGGTGGAGCGAGATTGTGTCGGGACGATGTTAGGTCAGACTGGGCACTCTGGGTTGAAGCCATTATGCATATGGTTGTGGGAAGAGAGGGATGGGGGACATGGCTATCTAATATCTAAGTGCTTTTCGCAAGCTATGTTGAGGCTAGTAGTAATGATAGCGGTAGTGGGGAAGTCAACTGTAGGGCGTGCTGCATGCACAATGTACAAGCCGAGGTGGGGTCTTGGCATAATGCAGGGGTGACAGCGCGACGACGCGCCTGGAGAGGGACGCGCCTGGACCAGCAACAACTTTGGCATCTGGTTGCTAGGCGGATCCCTTTCATTCACCACCACCACTGCTATGGCGCATACCCTATAACGAATATCCAATCGACACGCACTTCAAGTATTCAAAGACATATAGTTTACCGTCATGGACGACTCTCCACGATCAACGAAACGAAGAAAGCTCGATGCCCCCAAGCCCACCGAGTCGACCGCATTGAGAAAGCCATCGACAAGGAAACCTACTGGCAGGCTGGCCAAGCCACCTCTCAGCAATCCAGACGGTGGCAAATCATCAAAGGTTGATAAGAAACCTGTCAGGGCAGCCAAAGGGAGGACGTTAAAGAGCGCAACAAATGGCACAGCTGCGAAGCCGGCGACAACGAAAAACGTGGACGTTTACGACGATTTTGAAGGCGCATTCGATATAGAAGTACCATCCAAAGCGAACCGTCAACCACCACAGGCAGCGCCACAGGGAAATGTGGCAAGCGCTGCGCATGTTCCAGACAAATCACAGCCAGCCACTGCACCCAAACGTAGGAGGGGTCGACCTACCAACGCAGAGGTGGCAGCCCGGAACGCTGCGAATGGAGATACAATCAATGTTGTTCCTTTGGCGACACGCCCGGCGGCTGCAAAACCTAGCGCAAAGACTGCGCGCAAGCCAGCAGTCCCTCGAGCAAAAGCCCCCAGGAAGAAGAAGGAACCAAGCCCTATTCCCGAAGAAGAAGAAGAAGAGGGTGAAGAGGACGAGCTGCAGGACTTCAACAAGGCTATCACGCCTCCGAAGCCGCCTCTTGCTCGAAAGGCGGCGACGAGTACACGAAAGAAGGCGGTACCAAAGACGTCTGGTGTAGACGAAATCACTGCTCCAGCAACAGCTCCTAGACGGCGCAAACTTACAACTAAAGCGACCAGTACAGAAGCGAGCGAGGGAGATTTTGTAGGCACCTCCCTGACAAGAAACAAACGACTACCTGCGAGCACAACACGGCGCCTGAACCACACCGATCACATCGCAAACAATGGCGAAGAGCGATGGTCAGATGTCGAAGGGCAGGCTGATGCACACAATGATGACGACGATTTGGATGTGGATGGCAACAGTGCCTTGGGTAGTGTTTTGGACCCTACCGAACCCAGTCCGTTCAATAAGCCAACTTCGGCGCAAAAGACAGGTTCTGCTCTACCTCTCATATACAGTAACCTCGCGCCAGGTCACGAGTTAGATTTGATCAAGACCATTGTTATGGAACGAATCACAGGCAAGCGCCCCTCACCTTTGATTGGCTTGGACGAAGAATACAAATCGGTACACCAAGTTGTCGAACACACAGTCACTGCTGGCGAGGGTAACTCTATGCTCATCATTGGCGCTCGGGGTAGTGGGAAGACGGCGCTGGTAAACAAGGTGCTGTCCGAAGTTTCCAAAGACAATGGCGGACACTATCATGTTGTTCGACTAAACGGATTTGTACACACCGATGACAAGATTGCGCTCCGAGAAATATGGCGCCAGCTGGGCAAGGAGATGGATATCGAAGAAGATGGCAGTGGGCCTGGTAAGAACTACGCTGACACACTAGCCACCCTGCTCGCTCTGCTCTCACATCCGTCGGAACAGACAGGTGAAGATTCAGATCAAGTAGCCAAAGCAGTCATCTTCATCATGGACGAGTTTGACCTCTTTGCCCATCACCCTCGTCAGACACTGCTGTACAATCTCTTTGACATCGCACAATCGCGGAAAGCTCCCATCGCCGTTTTGGGGCTGACAACGCGCATCGACGTAACTAATACACTGGAGAAGCGCGTCAAGAGTCGATTCAGCCATCGATATGTGCATCTCAAGCTAGCGACGTCATTTACTGCTTTCCAGACCATGTGCAAAGCTTGCTTGACATTGGAGCCCGAACAATTGAGCGTCAAGGAGCGAGGAATTCTGGGAGGCGGAGCCAAGGGCACACCAAGTAAAGGACAAAAAGGCGATGCAAAGCAAGACATGGTCAGCGAATGGAATGCCAACATCTCCGTAAGTCCTTCCTTTCGCAACCATCTCTATCTCACGTCACTAACACCCACCCCACAGAAACTCTTCTCAACCCCCTCCTTCCTAACCCAACATCTCGCACCTTCCTTTTACCTTACAAAATCAGTCCCTCAAGTCCTAACGTCCTTCCTTCTACCCACCGCAACACTCAACCCGGAAACCCCCTTCCAGCCCGGCTATCTACTCAGCGCTCCAGACTCAAAGCTATCTCTCGTGCCCTCCCTGTCAACACTCGCACTCTCTCTGCTTATCGCTGCGGCCCGACTAGACATTATTCATGACTCGGACACGTGCAATTTCAACATGGCGTACGATGAATATGTTACTCTGGCTTCGCGAGCGCGTATTCAATCAGCAGCGGGCGGACTTAGTAGCAGTAGCGGGGCGAGCAAAGTATGGGGTAAAGATGTAGCGAGGCGCGAGTGGGAGGGCCTGGTGGAGCTGGGCTTGTGTATGCCGGTTGTTCAGGGTCAGGTGGGCTCTTTTGGTATGGTGAGATGCGATGTTGCGCTTGAGGAGGTGGGCGAGGTGCTCAAGGGGATTAGGGGTGGAGATAAGGGGCTGGAGAGGTGGTGTCGCAGTATTTGAGCGTGGATGTTGTGTTGTCATGGACGTGTTTGAGGATTCAACTTCTGCTTTTAGGCAGGGCAGTTTTTTTTCTTCTTTTCTTTAACGCAGATTGCATCGTTTTTTGGCGTATAGCGTACATCATTTGGCAATAGCATTAGCCTTAGCATTGTTGGATGGCGTTGTAGACATTTGCAAATATTCATTCTTCTAAATCAATCCCTGTTTGCCGGTTATCCAGCCCATCACTCGTCACTCCCCCCAATAAGTAGCATACTTGCTCTCGCCGCCGAGTACATTGAGAAATTCTCTGGCTATGACGCGGCTGGTCTGCTCACCTGGATGCAGCGGATCATACCACATGAAGCTATCCAGACTACTAGCTGTGGTGCAGTTGCTTCCCTGGTCGTTGCACAGATGCGCCGCACCCTCTACGTTGGGAGGCGCAGTGCCATTGAGATATTCGCTTGGGTGATAGTAAATTTCCTGCATCAGAGCGTTGACGTCGAAATTCACTACCGTGGCGCCGTCCCACAGCTCCGTGTGATCGAACTGGTAGGGCGTACGGTACTTGAACAGCCTATTCAACGCGGCAACCGTGTTTTTCATACGGCCATGGAGCGCAGTCAGATTCTTTCCGGGGGCATCGTTGAAGAATTGCGTCGATTGCAAGCCACCTTTCTCGGGGAGCTGGTATTGTGGCAGCAATTCAAGGGGCGCCAGGTTCAAGAGAACAATGTAGCGGGCGCCGTTATTGTAAAGACGAGTAATCTGGTCGTAAATGCAGTCCACGTAGTCAATGACAGTCTTGCCGGGCAATTGTTTATCGGTTAAAAAGGCGCCATTGCCGAGATCATTGGTCCCAATCCAGATGGCATAGGCAGTGTCCGAGGCTTTGCCAGTGAAGAATTTGGTGCCGTTCGGATTAACGTATTTGGAGTCAGCGATGAAAGCGGGTAATTCATAGCCATCAATGTCAGGGAAAGGCGCATTGATGGCGGCGAGGGGCCTTGGAGATACTTGGTTGGAGCATACAGCCCCAGAGACAGCATAGTTGTAGAGCTTCGCGCCAGAGTAGTCACTGGCCAATCGAGCCCAGGACCGTCCTCCAGATGCTGTTTTCAAGCCCTGCATTGTATGTTTAGGATGGATGACAATGTCTATAGGTGGGCCAACATACCACTGGCTGCTGCCAACCCACTGGCGGAGCGGAGCCATTGTTGTTGATGAAGTAACCTAAGCGATTTTCATCTGTATAACTGTCGCCAAAGGTAACCAGCGTGGTGAACCTTGCATTGGAGGGGGCAGGTTTAGTTTTGCTGGCAACAGCCAAGTTTACGAAGAGAGCGCGAACAAGCCACTCAGTTAACATGACGACGGGAGTTTTGTGGAGTTGGTAACGGCCCCACGGGCATGTTGACGGGTACTTATACCGTCAAGCATCCGGAGACGGCATCGTCCATGTACATATGCGGAGCACTAAGGCATTTTCCCTGTCGATACACGGGCTTCATCGACAATATTGGAGAAGCAAGATGGAGTGCGGGGAATTGAATCTGCGCATACCGAGTTCGGCAGCAAGAAGGCGGGTCGAGGGCGCTATACGCTTTGTAGATGTAATTAAGGTGGCAGCCGGCTAAATAGTGTGCTCTCCGTGGGCTTGCTGATCAAAAGATGGTGGTGGCCTGAGGAAATTGAGGCCGGCGCTCGGAAGAATTCAAGGCGAGTGTGTATTGCCGTAGTGGGATGGAGGCGGTGCGTCTTTGGCGTCAAGGTCGTGTGGGTGATTGGAATGATGTCGTCATTAACATTGGCGACAATGGAGCACGGCCATAACGGTCATAACCATACAGTAACAGTCCTGAATGACGCTTGGAGACCTGTCGTCAAGCTACTGCCAGCCGAGGATATGGGCGTCGAGTGCTGCGGGACTGCACATGGTCGTATGTAAGTAACATGTGTATATACAGAGTACATGTGTACATAATAATCCAGCGCATAATGTACACATACATACATACATACATACATACATACATACATACATACATACATACACAGAGCGCCTCTGCCGACAATACTGTGTAGATGGCGCCTGGATGGTCATGGCGGGCCGAATCCATGGCACGACAACGGTCTTGGTTTTGTTCGACGAGGGTTTGTCTATCGCACCCGCTTCCCCGATGCAGTGCATGTGCGCACGGCCATGGAGAGAGTTCAACGTCGATAGGCGATGGGGGTGTAATGGATGATAGGCGCCACACTGCTTGCTCCCAAGGCGCGAGCACGTCGTCGGCAGCAAAAGGCCATGCGTGTAACAAGGCAATCAGGGTCAGCGCTGCCTCCAAGTAAAAAATAAATATTAAAAAAATTAGCGGTAGCCATGACACCCGGGCGGGTGAGTGCAAAAGCGAGAGCGTGAAGGATCAACCAGGAGAGGGCCCCATCGGACGGTTTTTCGCTACCAAGCTGTCGGGGCCAGAGGCTTGTGAAATGCCAGCAATGCCAATCAGCCCCCGGACCCCGAAGATGAACAGAGGCGTGACCGATTGCGCCCATGCTGTCAAGGGGAAGACGCGTCTTGCTTGCTTGCTTGCTTGACGTAGGTGGTGGCCGTAGGACTAGTGGTGGCAGTGGTGGCAGGAAGAGAGTTAGTGCTGTTGCCTCTACTGCTCACCATTCCTTCCTTGTCCTCGACTCACAATGTTCGTCCTTTCCTATCCTCTCCTCTACTTCCTTCGCCCCTTTGTCTTTCGCCTTTCTCCATCGTTTTCCTTGTGCGTCTTTGCTGCAACCCAAGACCACCTATCGGTCCATTGTCTATCTACAAAGCCGCCATTATGGCACCGTTGCCAGCAGTAGCCTCACCTCTCATGTATCGATACTTCATAAAACAACACGCGTTGCTCCAACCCTTGCCGGCTCTTTCCACGCTTACATATAGACGGGTATATTGACTTGTCACGTACAAACTACAACGAGCAAACAACCCAAACTAGTTTGACGACAGCTATAATGAATGCTACAACCCTGCGCGTAATCCTATCGCGACCACACGATTCCGTCCCCACACAAGACTCAGGCTCCAACATCACTGCTGACACAAGACGCGCTTTGCAACAGAACAGTCTTCGCTGTATAAGAGTCCTACACTCCATTAACCAGTACTCTTCCGTCCTCGTCCGACAAATCTAGAATACAGTCAGCTGCTTTGTGTCTCTCAATCTTGCGCCGCTACATACATTTCCATGTATAGCTTCAACTCAACATTCTCAAGCTCTTCGCGAACTTCTCCCATGAGATGGTCAAACTGTGCAGCCGTCCAACCAAGCTCTGCAGTGAATGGCCAAAGTCCAATCGACTCAAGGAGATCGCCAATTACCTGCACCCAGATGGCCATAGTCAGTACCTTGGACCTTCTTACTGTTATCAAGCGCCATAACCTACATCGATAGCCTCTTCTCCCATATTGGCCTTGGCTGGGTCTGTTCAAAATGTCAACATCTCCTCACGCTGGTACAACACTGCTTCTACACCATGGCTCGCCCATGGCGGTGGCATCCACGAGACCGTGGCAGATTAAAAGAGACGATCCTACCTGCCGGCCAGCCACCGATGTGGAGCTGCAAGATATCGACTGCTACGTCGCGGTATCTGTTTTCAACAAGCAGTTGAGACAAGCGACGACCTATCCTTGGATCTCTATCCATCCTCGTCATTGCAGCCTGGTACGACTGCCACCACCTCCTGACTGCAGAATCCTCTGTGAGACGCCCGTTATGAGACTGGATGATGGGGAGATACTCCATGACTTGGACCCATCCTCCTGGTCGTAGCAGCAGCTTCACGTCTCTGATGTACCTAGGCCATCTCTCCGTTTTTATCCCCGGAAATACAAATCGGGAGTGGATCAAGTCATATTGATTTGCTTTGAAAATGTCGGGGTCGCGGAGTGGATCGTTAAGATTGTGGCCGATCAGTTCTAAATTCTCGGGTTGGTCTGAAACCTGCCTGGAGAAAGGAAAATTAGCTTAGACTTGTCATGGCCAACATCCCCTACGTCCGATTCACTCACATGGGAAATATATCAATAGCGGTAACCTGTAGTAGTCAATACCTGCTGGCCAGGTGACGGGCATTACTTGAATCAACCCATCTTCGTCAACATGGTCAGCATGTCGGAGCACACACCTCGCAGTCCTCAAATTCATCCGCACACTGGACGGCCCAATCACCTCCCCCATAACCGCATTCCAGTATCGACTGAGGTTCTGTTACTGGTATCCGGTTGGAAAACAACCTGTTCCCCAAGAGCCTGGACATGAGATCATGTTGGGCAGTCAGTCTGCTCTCCTCGCGGTCGTCGATGGCCACCGGGGCGAAATAGATTTTCTCGTCTAGCGATATCTTCTGAAAAATCCGGCCGTGGACGCTTACTCTTTCTGTATCGTCACTCATTGGTATGTTCGTTGGACGGATTTTATGGCTCGAACAGCTCGTGTGCTCCAAAGTCGACTGCAGTACACTCTACCGAGGCGACAAGGCAATGTTGAACAAGATGCAAGTAAGCGACAGAAGGAACCTAATGCTTGTGTCGATGATGAACCGACCAGATGGACACTCCACCTCTTTGATCTGCACAATGCTATGAGTTGGCAATAGACTCGGCACAGGCGCAAAATTACCCGCTATCGTGGCGACTGCCAACGTCACTAGGGGATGCTGACCAGGTGGCCATAAGCTGTAGGTTACGGACACGGGAACCTGAGCACCCCCGACATCGAGGACCTAGGCGCTGTACCTACTCCCAAGAAGCTAGTTCATCATCGTACAGGACAAGGATCGCCAAGCTCTGGCGAAGTACAGACCTCTCAAGGACCGCCATATTAGCAGCAATAACGGCTAGCATGGCATGAGAATAAGGACTCGGTTCACAGGCTCATTCCCTATTCTGCCGCATGTAATTCCCTACAACATGCCGTCGGTGGATGATGAAAAATGAGGCCGAGTCCCGCAAGAGCACAGGCTGCGCTTTCAAGGAATCGACGTGAGTTAGACCTAATCAACAGTTGCATGATGACATTACACCATCGTTGGGAGCCATCCCTGTCTTCGGCAAGCTGCATTGCCGGACAGACGGGTGTTTGGCGCTCGTGTGCAGAAACGGCCTGAGAAGGGGGCAGAGCCGCTACGGCCTTTAAAGATCACCCTGCTTGCGAGGCTCTGTAACATCAGATCATCATGGCATCGACTCATGACAAGGCTGGAAGCCGGTAGCCATCACACCTCCTTTTCACCATTCTTTGTATGAGAACAAAGAGAACCCCCACGCTAACGCATGTTCTTTGGTCAATGACTAGCACGTGGTGCATGCATCAGGCGGGCGGATAGCCCCGCCCGCTGACAGTCTTGTCGACAATGACACCGTTGACATGGCCTCGGGACAGGCCTCCCAAACCAACATCGTCACATTAGTATGTCACTAAGAACCCAACGGCAATTACTTCCAACAGTCTTTCAGTAAGTACAATGCTCATTTGAATGATTTGTCCAGGGTGGCACGCACGATGCTGCGCAAATCCCTTCCTGTATCAACTCCGGACATGCACTCAGCTGACCCTTGGATGGACAGTCCTTTTTAGCCTGATGACAGGCTGATGCACATACCACTGGAAAGTTTAGGGCGCATTCTCTCCGGACCCTGTAAGGCAAAGCAAGTAATTCTAAATGGCTAGCTAGTCACGGAACTTTTCTTGTGCGCATGAAGTGAACCGACTGGATCTGATGAGCAATGTTGCGTTCCGGATGCCAAACCTTTACATTGGTCAATGGGAGTCACTGTTCACATGTATATGTATAGCTTCTGTCCCGCTAAACAGGCACACTGTAGTACAGAGCATGAGGCATTTTTCTGGGGATACCACGTGTATGCAGTAGTCACGAAGCGAACAGAAAGGAATACGAATACGGTTACAGGTCAAAGGACGGTAACAGAAGAGGCTTTTAACGACTCGCTGGACTTGCGAACTAGCCGTGTTGTCCGTGCTCAATCCTAGTTCCACTCCAGCCACGCGGAAGCCCTACATTGAACAGGTCCTTGCACTCTGCGTCCTGCATCTGCCGTGCACACAGCCCTATCGTGAATGTGCTCTATGCGCGATTCTCGGTCCGAGACGATGATAACCGCGCTCAGCACGACTCCTCACAAGCTTCACTAGTGTTGCAGGTACATGGATACCATCCACTGCGCCTTGTCCTGTCTACGCTAGAGTGCGTATACATTGCGATTTAGAGAGCAGGGAACATGAAAATACTCGAAGCTTAAGAGGAGGGTTCTAGAAGGGGAGGCCAAGCTCAACCGAGTTGGGTGATGGATGCCACAAGACGGCCGGGCTATATTGGCGATAGAATAAAAATTTGCGTTCCAGGAGTGAGAAGCGGTGTCGGTAAGAGTACGTACGGCTCGGTATCTTGTTCGGCACTATTTGGATGTGAAGCAGACTAAAGGGATTCTGCTCGAGTATCACTCCATGCACTTGGCTGCTTAGAGTTGATGCTACTTCACAATTGATTAGTGTTTGTATCCCCCGGAGTCTTGATGGGTAGATGAAGAGGCTGTACGATGTGACTTTCGTCCAGAATGGAGATGGGCGCTAAGCAGATGACGCTTCCACCTGCCCAACAGGTTCCAGGGGAGGTATAAGTATATATGCCACAGCCTTTACGATACTGTACGACTACATATAGACTTTTCATATACGCGGAAACTTCTCAACAAATTCCCGACCGCAACAGTAGTATTAGGCTTTGATAATCTTTTGGGTTCGACTTTGAAGGAGGTATATCTTAGTAATGGTACGATGAAGAGCTTGGAATTATTACATCCAGAATGCATAGATGCAGCTTTTGCGTGTTTCGATCGGTCATATCCCATTCCCATGCTACTTTCCCAAGGGCATTTGACGTGACAAGATAGTATGTAATCAACTTGCGCGCCATCACGTGCCGTTCTGGCCAGGGGCTCCGAGATCCGGGGCTATGCATGGTTGGGAGGAGCCATGTATGGAGACCCCGGACAAGATGGAATGTGGCTTTGGCGACTGTCATATGATACCCCGGAGTTCATCAGCAGTAGCATAACATCAGATAATGCGGTGCAAGGACATGTGAAAGTGCGAGGGCGCACGGTTCGCAATTCTCCACACATGACCAACTGCCGTCGGGACCGAGGTAACTCGTCATCGCCAGCAGCTCGGCTGCTTTCATGAGACATGGCCGTACGAACGACTTCACATTGACAGCCACCATAACTTCTGACATCCTTTCCTCTCATCTTCAGCTTTCCTGTTTTCCCATTTGATATCCTGGGATCTTTGCTGATTCCCACTTGACTTGTGGCACCTTCCTTCCTTGCTTGCTGCATCTATCTGAGCTTTGCACAGTCGCGACACAGCTTCAGACGCGAGCAAAGAGCCATCTCTTTCACAAGACTCGCATATATACACACATCATGACTGCACAAGAGCTGCGATACGACGGCCAGACGGTCGTTGTAACAGGTGCTGGTGGTGGATTGGGTCGTGAGTATGCCATCTTCTATGGCAGCCGCGGCGCCAATGTCGTGGTCAACGACCTCGGCAGCAGCTTCAAGGGCGAGGGCCAGGGCTCAGCGGTATGTTTTTTCTTTAACCGGAAACAGCTTCAGACACATGAAGATATAATGTATCCGTGGCTGACGCGAACACGATAGGCCGCAGACAAGGTCGTCGAGCAAATCCGCAGCGCAGGCGGCAAAGCTGTTGCCAACTACGACTCAGTAGAGAACGGAGAGGCGATTATCAAGACGGCCATTGATGCCTTTGGTCGTATCGATGTTCTCATCAACAATGCTGGCATTCTCCGCGATATCAGCTTCAAGAACATGAAGCAGGCCGACTGGGATCTCATCTACAAAGTCCACGTCTACGGAGCATACAAGTGCGCACGTGCCGCATGGCCCTACTTCAGGAAACAAAAGTACGGACGACTCATCAGCACCGCGTCGGCTGCTGGTTTGTTTGGATCCTTTGGACAGACGAACTACTCTGGTAAGCTGGAATTCAAGCCAAGACCAAGATGGAGTGCTAACTCGCGCAGCTGCCAAACTCGCCCTTGTTGGCTTCACCGAGACACTCGCAAAGGAGGGCCTGAAATACAATATTCTCTGCAATGTTGTTGCCCCAATTGCCGCCAGCCGAATGACCGAGACTGTCATGCCCCCGGATGTTCTCGAGAAGATGAAGCCCGAGTGGGTTGTCCCCATTGTCGCAGTCCTTACACACAAGTCGTCCACCGAGACAGGCTCCATCTTTGAGGCTGGAGCTGGACACGTTGCTAAGCTTCGTTGGGAGCGGGCAACCGGCGCTCTGCTCAAGGCTGACGACACGCTCACACCCGAGGCTCTCGCTACCAAGTGGAAGGACGTTGTGGACTTTTCCAAGCCTGAGCACCCTCAGGGCCCCGCAGATGCTCTTGAGCTGCTGGAGAAGGCGAACCAACTTCCCCCCAACCCCAAAGGCGAGCCGCTTGACTTCAAGGGCAAGGTCGCTTTGGTCACTGGTGGAGGTGCTGGTCTCGGCCGCATCTACTGTCTGCAACTCGCCAAGCGTGGCGCTAAGGTTGTGGTCAATGATCTTGTTAACCCCGACACCACTGTTCAAGAGATCCAGAAGCTTGGTGGAGAGGCTGTCGGCAACAAGGCCGATGTTCAGGATGGCGAGGCTGTCATTAAGACTGCCATTGAGAAGTACGGTCGCATTGACATTCTGATCAACAATGCAGGAATCCTTCGGGACAAGGCTTTCGCAAACATGACTGATGAGCAGTGGGACGTCATTCACAAGGTGCATCTGTTCGGCACCTATGCATGCACCAAGGCTGCCTGGCCTTACATGCTCAAGCAAAAATATGGCCGCATCCTCAACACTACCTCCACCAGCGGTATCTACGGCAACTTTGGCCAGGCAAACTACGCCTCGGCCAAGTGCGGTATTCTTGGTTTCTCCAAGTCTCTTGCTCTTGAGGGCAAGAAGAACAACATCTTTGTCAACACCGTTGCCCCCAACGCGGGAACCCAGATGACCCGAACCATTATGCCAGAGGAAGTTGTTCAGGCCCTCAAGCCCGACTACAACGCTCCTCTGGTCGTTCTCCTCGTCTCTGACAAGGCTCCTGAGCCAACCGGTGGCTTGTACGAGATGGGCTCTGGCTGGTTCGCGGCTACTAGATGGCAACGCAGCGGTGGCCATGGCTTCCCAGTTGATGTTAAGCTCACTCCCGAGGCTGTCCTCGCTCAATGGTCGCGCATCACCAACTTTGATGACGGTCGCGCTGACCACCCCTTCGACAACGCCAGTGGACTCAAGTCCATCATGGCAAACATCGAGAACACTTCCAAGGGCAAGAAGGAGAAGAAGTCTGCCAAGAGCAACGAGGAGATCCTCGAGGCTCAGAAGAAGGCTTTGGCTGCCAAGTCTGAGGGTACCCCCTTCAACTACACTGAGCGCGACGTGATTCTTTACAGTAAGTTTCTTGCACTTGAATGCTATGAAATATACAATCTGACCAGTGACAACAGACCTCGGCGTTGGTGCCAAGCGTACCGATCTTCCATTCGTGTACGAGGGCGACGAGAACTTCCAGGTTATCCCTACCTTTGGTGTCGTTCCTCCTTTCAACGCAGAAGCTCCCTTCACATTCGATGAGATCGTTCCCAACTTCGATCCCCGCATGCTTCTCCACGGAGAGCAGTACCTCGAGATCCGCAAGTTCCCCATCCCAACGGAAGCCAACCTCATTGCTATCCCCAAGCTGGTCGAGGTTGTTGACAAGGGTGCCGCTGGACTAGTTGTATATGGCAGCGTGACCAAGGACGCAAAGACCGGAGAGGAGATCTTCTACAACGAGAGCACTGTCTTCATCCGTGGCTCCGGTAACTTCGGTGGCCCTAAGAAGGGTACTGATCGCGGCGCCGCAACCAAGGTTCATCAGCCTCCCAAGCGTGCCCCTGATGCCGTTGTTGAAGAGCGCACGACCGACGAACAGGCTGCTATCTACCGTCTCTCTGGCGACTTGAACCCTCTCCACATTGACCCTGTGTTCAGCAAAGCCGGCGGTTTCCCCACACCCATTCTGCACGGCCTGTGCAGCTTTGGTGTCTCGGGTAAGCACATTCTGCAAACGTACGGACCTTTCAAGAACATCAAGGTACGCTTTGCCGGTGTTGTGCTGCCTGGTCAGACCCTCATTACCGAGATGTGGAAGGTTGGCAACACCGTCTTGTTCCAGACCAAGGTCAAGGAGACTGGCAAGCTGGCCATCAGCGGTGCTGGTGCCGAGCTGATGGGTGGAGCGAGCAAGTTGTAAAAAAAGAAATTGCGGGTTGACGAAGACTTTAATTTCTGCTCAAAGTAGCCCATGTTTGAATATGTAGTTTTATAGCATTTAACGTTTTCAATCAAGTTTGTTAGTCCTTACTTAACAAGTGCTCGGTGGTTTTTCAGTCTAATTTTTACGTTATGTGATGATATCTGCTATACTTTCAAAAGATTGCGGTAAGTTCAATGGATGCTCAAGTCGATTCCCCATGGTCGTTTTTCAGTCATAAGATTGAGTTGGGAAGTATTGGAACTCGTATTGCAGATAAATTTACACTTTTACTTATATCAAATCATGTTCAAGTTTACAAAACAGATTAGTCTGAAGAAAAATCTCCTCTTCTCCACAACGCATCCGCCATCTTAGCAACTTGCGCCATCTCCTTCACATCGTGTACTCTAAGGATCTCAGCACCTCCTTGTACGGCCGCCGAGACAGCCACAGCCGTGCCCCACACACGTTGTCGAGCGTCCTCGACACCCGTGATACGTCCAATGAAAGCCTTTCGGCTTGTTCCCACTAGCCAGGGCATACCCTCCAAACCAGGATACTTGCTCAGTTGATGCTGCTTACGCAGCAATTCAAGATTCTGTTCTTGCGTCTTTGCGAATCCAATACCTGGATCGAGGATCATGCGCCATCGTCTGACGCCCGCTTCTTCGGCTGCCCGAACGCGTTGCAGCAATTCGCGGCCAACGGTTTCGACAATGCCGTCGGGGTAGCTTGTCATCTCGCGAGAGTTCATGGTTTCTGGTGTTCCGCGCATGTGCATTAGGCAGACGGTACAGCCCAGTTTACCCATTGTAGCTAGCATTTCTGTGTCCATTGTGCCTGCGCTGACGTCGTTGATCATGTTGGCGCCGGCTTTGATGGCTTCTTCAGCGACGCGTGCACGGTATGTGTCGATGCTGATGGCTACGTCTTTGGCTTCTGGGATTGAGCGAATGAGTTTTATGGCAGGGAGGACTCGCGATAGTTCTTCTTCTGCGGAGACTTGAATTGCGCCTGGTCGGGTGGATTGGCCGCCTACGTCGATGATGGTTGCTCCGCTTGCAATTTGTGATTTGATTGTTTTGGTCAATGTTTCTTGGCTGTTGTTGTAGTTCAGACCACCGTCGGAGAAAGAATCTGGTGTGACGTTGAGAATGGACATTATGCGTGTTTTTTGCTCGGTTTTGGCGGACGATATTGGAGAGAAATCTGATGCGAGCGGCACTATTGGCACCAGTGGCACTTCGGACTTTGGCAGTTTCGCTAGACGCTGCTGAATGGATTCCCGATATGGGAAATTGACTTGGCTATTTTCTGGTATGAGCCTAATAATAGTTAGCTGAGGTCATCAGCACAAGTGACAGATAGCCTACTCGCTCAACGGCCGCAAGACAAATTCCCTCTCGAACATTAGGGCATGGGGAATCTGAAGCCTCTCGTTAGAGAATTCAGTCTCGCCGTATAATAAAATGTCCAGGTCAATGTTCCGAGGACCCTTGTCAATGACCTTGACACGGCCCATTCTATTCTCAACAGCTTGCAGTTCATCTAGCAGCTCGATAGGCGAAAGTGAGGTCTCTATCTACCTGGTTTAGTGCAATGTTACGGTACAAAAATACGGAGGGCATACCTCGCAGGCGCTGTTGACGAAATTGTCTTGATCCAGAACGTACATGGCTTTGCTTTCCCATAGGTTGCTCGTCCGTATGATGCGTATTTTTTCGCCCGACTCCATCTCTTTGCATGCCTGCTCAATCATGGCTATTCTATCGCCCATGTTGCTCCCCAGAGCGATGAAGGCATGTCGCTTCTTAGCATGTTGGTCATTTTGCAAACTCGATATGTTTTGTCGAGCAAATTTCTGCGACTCTCGAAACTGATGCCAAAGGCCCCGGCTGGGCGCATGGCATGCAGATACGAGGGCCTGGCGTTTACTCTGCCATGGCGGAAAATTTTCCACGGCCTGACCCGATACATGTCGGCTGTAGGCTGGACATGGCTGTAATATACGGTGAATGAAGCCTTCGGATATGACCCTCGGCGCCGGTATGCGCAGAGTGTTAGACAACATGGTTATCCAAGACGGAGTCGATCACAAATCAGCGTGACGACACCATGCGGGCGCTGCTAGTCCCGGCCTTCCCCAGACAGCGCTAGCTCCGGATGTGGCTAGCCTTCTCCGCGTGACACTTGCGCTGTGCCTCGGCTCACGGCTCGGTCTTGTGAGAGACGAGCTGGGAAGGATTCAACTCCTCTTCTCATCACCCCATAAGATCCCAGCTAACTCCTCGTCGCTTTCATCTGCGTCGCCATCTGCTAAAATATCCTGTTCTGTCTCGCCCTTCTTCCAGCTATAGATACTTCCTTACTTCACCGCAACCATGGCCGCACCACGTATGTCGCTATCGCCCCCAATGGCACAGTCCTATTTCACATGCGCCCATGGCTAACACAGGACAGAGCAAATCCGCACTAAACTCACCGACCTGCTGAAGATCCAGCATCCTGTCATTCTTGCCGGAATGAACGTGGCTGCTGGACCCAGGCTTGCTGCTGCCGTCACCAATGCCGGAGGTCTTGGTGTTATCGGTGGTCTCGGATACACACCAGATATGCTCCGTGAGCAGATCGCTGAGCTCAAGGGATACCTGACCGACAAGAATGCTCCCTTCGGTATTGACCTGCTTCTTCCCCAGGTGGGAGGCAACGCCCGCAAGACCAAGTATGTCCTAGCCACAGGGCCCACCTTTGAGACACAATAAACTGACCAGGGATAGCTACGACTACACAAAGGGCAAGTTGGGCGAGCTCATCGATGTCATCATCGAGTCCGGCGCCAAACTCTTCGTCTCCGCCGTTGGCGTGCCACCCAAGGCCGTCGTCGACAAGCTGCACAAGGCGGGCGTTCTATACATGAACATGATCGGACACCCCAAGCACATTCAAAAGTGCCTGGATATCGGTGTTGACATCATTTGCGCGCAGGGAGGCGAGGGTGGAGGCCACACTGGTGATGTCCCCACATCTGTCTTCATCCCAGCCGCAGTCAAGATGGTTGAGGGCCACAAGTCGCCTTTGACCGGCGAGCAGGTCCAAGTCGTAGCTGCTGGTGGTATCTACAGCGGTCAATCACTTGCTGCCATGCTCGCCTTTGGTGCGACCGGTGTGTGGGTTGGAACACGCTTCATCCTCTGCGAGGAGGCTGGTGCGCCAAAGGTTCACCAGGAAGCCGTCCGCACCGCTGGCTGGGACGACAACATCCGCACAATCATCTTCACCGGACGACCCCTCCGTATCCGCAACAACCCATACGTCAACAACTGGGAAGAGAACAGGCAACAAGAAATCAAGGAGCTCACCAGCAAGGGCATAATACCCGTCGAGCACGACCTCGAGAAGATGGGCGACGATGTCGATGATGAGACTATGGATAATGCCCGACCCTTCCTCATGGGCAAGGTTGCTGCCGTTGTCAATGAGAAGAAGACCGCCAAGGAGATTGTTGACGAGCTTGTCACTGATGCCGTCAAGGCGCTCCAGGACGGAAACTCGTTGATTGTATCCAAGCCTAAGCTTTAAGCGTTGATTTTTGTCTGCATTCATATCTGATCTTGTTGTTTTTTGTTCTAGCATGAATACTGGATACCTGATTGTACACTCGAGAATCAGTATTTTGTTGAGATATTGAGCAATTTTTGCACTGTTTTTCGGGTTGTAGTATTGTCTCACAATTATGATGTCACCCTGCAAGGCTATAGAGGTCACGAAGGAAGAGAGAATATATGATTAAGAAGATGATTGCTTATTTCTCATGCAAGATTCGTATATGGTGAAACGAAATGTCTATTTTGAATTGCCGAGTAAAGTGATGAACCAAATACTATACATCTGAAAAGAAAACAACGATATAAATTCCTCACGCCTTTTTCTTGGGCGAGCTAACCTTTTGTTTCTCAGTGGACTGAAGCCGAAAGTTCGGCAACACAGCGCATCCAAGCACAAAGACAAGCGCATAAAACGCTGGGCGATTCTTACACAACGCGAGCGTATGCAAGCTATACAGTATTGTCGACAATTGCCAGAAGAACATGTACACCCAATCGTAGGTGGCTTTAAGCTCAGAACGTGCATATGCTAAGTAGGCATGGAAGTAGTCGCTGTACGTTGGGGGTGCAAGGATAGCAGCCCATTGCTCGTGTCGAGCATCATGAGACATGTTGTGTACGTCAAGAGCCGCTGGGGACCGTTGCTCCAGCACATAACTCCACACGACGTTGAGATTCCCTTGCGAATCATACGGCTTTCCCTCGTGTATAAAACGCTCCCACTTCTTCGCAGTCTCGACCGCCATATCTTTTGAGACTGCAAACCACTCGTTATGTCCCTTTGTTTTGTTGGGACAGGAGCGATACCTCACCTCATAACACAAATCGCGATGTATGAGCCTTTCCAAGAGATTGCAGTTTTGAATCACTTGGGCCGACACGTGGGCGACGACTGGTTTAAGCTTGCAACAGTTAATGTGTTCTTCCATTCGTTCATTGTACACGCGCTCGGTGACGCCGATTTTCCAGACATCCTCTTTACGATTTTCATCCCGGAAAACGTATATGAAGCCTTTTTTTCGATCGTGTTCGCTCAGCTTGGTCCTAATACGACTGCATAGTTTATCGTGTGTGATTCTTGCAGTCTCCGGTGTCTTGGATTGGGAATAAATTTCTTCACTATCAGCTCGCCGTCCAGAAGGATGTGCAGTCTTTGTATTTGAAGTGCAAGTACGTTTCTGTGGTATGGTGGCGTCGAAGACGTCAGGTAATGCATCTTGAGGTCGTTTCAAGGCTGCAGTTGATGGGGTCTGATATGAATTGACAGATCTAGATGGACGAGTGGGCGATTGATCTGGTGCTATCTGTGGTCCGTTCTCTGAGTTTGCAGATGTGCGGCGCTTCGAGGTACGAGTTGTAGACACCCTGCGTTGAATTTCTGCGGCTGATGGTTGGCCTGACTTTCGCACAGCACACGAAGGGGATGGTGAAAGTTCGCCGAAGACCATGGTGGTAGAGGATGTGTGAATATTGATTGAAGAACAGCAATTGAACTCTATGTTTCTGCTGGATCTGCTGCACCTGAATTCCTAGTTTAAGTAATGCTGTCAGCCTAATTTTAGCGACTGCGAAGGATTGAAGGAGCGCTTCCTTCCAGACACATGGAACACATTGGCAGACATGTGGCAGTGCTGGGGCTTGTTTCGTAGGTCTGACTGTGCATCCTTTAGAGAAAACCCTTGTCAGATTTTCACGAATGCCATTGGACACCAATGAAGCTGGGCACGAGAGAGTAAGTTATCATGTTAGTAATACCAGAAGAGCAAATGTAGGCAGACCGAAGCTATGGTGAGAGGTAGACGAGTTGATGACATATCCGCTGCGTATGCTCATTGCAGCTTTTACCCACACCCAGGGCGAACGATGTTTTCGCACTCAAACGTGATAGTCAAAGAAGTAGAGATGCAGCGGCTGAACCCGCTGGTTGGATTCGGCTGAAGGATTCCGTAAATGCAAGGCTCATGGCTTCAGCCCCCAGGATTAGCGCTGTGGCCCAGGTGGGAAAGGCTTCGAGTACTGACACTGAGATGATTGGATGGTAGCGGGGGAACACTCGCGCGCCTGCAGATCGCCCCTTAGTTGTGCAGCACTCGCGCTTCTTGAATATGTTTGATTCCATATGGAAGATGATGTGGCTGTGGCTGGGAGTCCCGGTAACGTAGAGAGACTAGTAGTACTTACTGCCTATATAGGCAGGCAGATTGCTTTCGCGACAGTTCAAGTATCACATAGCATTCAACTTGCATAAAGTAGGCAAGAATATCGGACGATAGAAGACCGGCCGTCGGCCTGGGGAGAAAATGATGCAAGGCTGGCGGCGGGGACATGAGTCTGGGTATCCGGTGAAGTTTGACGGATCCAAGAGATTTCGCTTCTTGGCTAAATATGTACCTATGCTTGACAGATTGACGAGCTAGACTGCCATGAGAACGGCAAGCTGTTGCCGGCTCAGATTGCGGGTGGCCATGGGTGTAATTCCTCCTGCACTCGTTGTTTAGAGAAACGCCGATAATAGGGAAATACTAATAACGATGATGATGATAATGATGTTGATAATAACACTCAGCCGATACGAAGCCGGTGCGATAAGATATTAGGTTCAAGAGTTGGTCTCCCTGAGCATATCTCTTCGGTTTTAATTCCGTCCATTGGCAGAAAAAATCTTGTGATAGGCTGGTAGTACGGGAATAATTGAGGAAATAGATGACGTAGTAGTAGTCCTTCCAAGGTCCTAATTGTATACTTCGTTGGGCTGCCGAGATAGACACGGCTGCGCAGCACGTAGCGGTATATGAAAAGCAAAGCACGATACTAGTAGACAGAGCAGTTGCAATGCAATATCACGGTGTGCGATGTATAGAAAAGCAAAGGTTCCTGCTTGAAAGGTGTAGTGTAAGAGACTACGGTGTTAGGCTTGTGGGGTACGCTAGCCAGCCCCCAGTCCGGCCCGCGTACCTTTCGGGACTACTGTTCAACGTCCTCACCGACACCCTTCTCACTCATGCAAGCTCTTTTCCCTGACGCCTAGCAAACCCGTCTGAATCTTCATCTTCATCTACATGCCCGCAATTGTCCAACTAATCGATTGCAGCTTGGGCATCAGGTGGAAGGAAGTCTTGTCTAAATAGTTGCTGTTGGATGCTTGTTTGAGGTGGCAACAAACAACATGGCGTCGTCCCAGACTCCAATATCCCACCAATCATTCTTTTCAGACATACCGCCAATTTCACATTGCCATCGCCTCTGGGTTAGTACCCAGAAGCTACCACTTTGTCGACATATACTGACCTGATCAGGACCTAAAAACTGCTAGGTTTACACCATGCGCGTTGCCTTATGTTGCAACCATACCAGCCATACTTGCGGCCTTGGTCTTGTTGAGATATTCTCTAAGGGTGGCAAGTCCGTACTGGCCAAGATGGACGAAACCCCTGATACAAGAGACCCAGGAGAAAGAAGACGAGTTTGAAGCCGCGTCGCCTCAGCGGCCTTTGAGCGCGACCATCTGGCTTCTCGTCATAGCATTAATCGGTCTTACATTTCAAACTGTTTACATATTTTTTCCTTGGCACCAGCCGGTGGCCATGTATCCAGCAATCGCTTGGGTACGCACAAGTCCAAATTTTCTTGATGCATCCATGGCTAACAAGTTGCCTAGGCCGTCGCAATCGCCATAATTCTAGTCAAGCAGCCGAGGACTGCGTCTTTATCATTGTTAATGCTCTTTACAGGACTCATGTTGGAGCAAATTATCATGTTATCTCATAGGCAAACTTTTCTGGCAAGCGATCTTCCGTTGGCCGTTCCACCTGCAGCAGCGTTCTTGGCAATCATCATTATCCTCAACATGCCGTTGCGCGACCCAATGTTGCCTAGATATGATATTAGTGCCGTCCATGACACACCAACTATCAAATTACGCACTCCGGAAGATAATTTGACCCCTTGGCAATATATGACTGTATCATGGATGGAGCCGTTGATAAAAAAGGGTAAAACTCGACAAATGGAAGACAGTGATATATGGGACCTCGGCTGGGAATTTAAACACGCACGATTGCATGATGCATTCGGGGCGCTCGAAGGGTCAGTAACGAGGAAGGTCTTTGTTGCAAATGGCATGGACCTGCTGCGCACCACATTCTTGAACGTAGTGCGCTTATGTGCGAGTAAGTCTTGGACCTCGTCTTGGCTTTGTAACCTCAACCTAACAATAGAAGCTCTCCTCACGCCCGTCTTCCTTCAGCGCCTCCTTGCCTCCATGGCACATCATCACAATCGCGCAACAATTACGTATGCTTGCATAATTTTAGCATTGCGCTTGACCTCTGCGCAACTTAACGTCTTCAACTTGTGGTACCAAAGGCGCGCATATGAGAGATGCAGAGGCGAACTCATTACAATGCTTTATGAGAAGACCCTGAATCGCAAGATCTTGGGCGCCAAACAAGAGGTGAAAGTTGGACAGACTAACGGCGACAGCATTGGCGAAGTACGCGAAGAGATCAATGGTGAAACTCGCACAAACCATGAACAATCTAAACCTGCTTTCAAACATTGGAAGGACACCGTACTTGCTTTGATTCGATCGGCTTTCAGGAAAAACACCAAAAATGCCCCAAAAGAAAATAACGACCCTGCATCGATGGGAAAGATACTGAATTTGATGCGAAGCGATGCTTACGAGATAGCGCAGCGCTTCTGGGAGTTTTCAGACATTGTCACCAAACCCACTGGCGCGATTTTTGCAATTATACTCATATGGCGCATGCTGGGCTGGGCATGCCTGCTGGGCGTACTGGCTTTGGGTGTGTCGCAACTGTTAAACATTGTTATTGCTCGCCTACAAGTTCACTTTGAGAAGAAGCGTCGATCAGCAACAGACGAGAAGATCCAACGAACAAGCCAGTTTATCGAGTCGATTCGACACCTTCGTTGGTACGGATGGCAGGATGCATGGCTCGATGGTGTTCTTGAGTCACGTCAAAAGGAGCTGCATTTACGTGTCGCTAACATCTTCTTTGTAACCTCACTTGCCTTCATCCTACGGTTTGGTTCCGGACTATTCCCTGCTGTGGCCTTTTACGCCTTCACCAAGTTGGCGGGACAAGATTTGCGCATCGACCTCATTTTCCCTGCCATTGAGCTGTTCAATCAGTTGGAAAGCTATCTCCGAGCCTTGCCCCAGTTGATAACGACCCTTCTCAATGCGTACGTTGCGATGGGCCGCATCGAAGAATTTATGGCAGAACCCAACAAGGAGGAGACCCATGTGACAGCTGAGGGCTCCGCTGAGCTCAGTACGCATCAAGCATCATTTTCCTGGCCAGGCGTGGACCACAATGTGCTCTCCGAGATTACCCTATCCTTTCCTCCTGGACTGACTGTCATCTACGGAGAAGTAGCCGCAGGGAAAACTGCGCTACTGCAAGCATTACTTGGTGAGCTGGACACTACGGACGGCGAACTCATACGCCCTGACCAGATGGTTGCGTATTGTGCTCAAACCCCGTGGCTTCAGAGCATGAGCATTCGTGACAACATTCTTTTTTCATATCCATTTGAAGAGGGGCGTTACAAGCAAACGTTGGAAGCTTGTGCCCTCTTACCTGATATGGCGGAGCTGAAGCACGGCGATCTGTCGAACATTGGTGAGAATGGCATTGGGCTATCTGGTGGACAAAAGGCTCGCGTAGCACTGGCCAGGGCAGTATACAGCAACGCAAAAGTTTTGTTACTGGATGACCCATTGTCGGCTCTTGACCATCAAACGGCTGAGTTCATTGTTGCCAAGTTGCTGGCCGGGCCATTGCTCAATGGAAGAACGACTATTCTGGCTACACATCGGACTGAGCTCTGCCATGGTATCGCGAAGCAATGGGTTCAACTGGAACATGGTCGCGCAACAATTCACGAACCTACCCAGGCTGAAGATATCGACGCCCTGAAGCGGACGCAGACGACCGAAACGGAATCCGAGGAGGACGCAAAGAAGCGTGAAGAAGAACAATCGGCAGCCGTTCCAGACAAGTTCATCGAAGACGAGCATCGTGCAAAAGGTGGCGTCAAGTGGAGCGTATACTGGCGCTACGTC